TAAAGTAATGATGAATATATACTAGTGATTGATCCGTGTGATTATTGCTCCAAAATAATTAAATATATTTATGTATAGGTTGATAAGATAGAATAATGCAAGAGGAATTGAAGTTGAAGATGGAGCCTACCACCCACTTTAGCCAGGTTGTGGGCACATATATATGTGTGTGTAATCCCCGCTTTATGAAACCATATATAGATATATATATATATATATATTTGTGTGTGTGTGTGTGTGTTGGATAGAATTAAAAACAAAAATGAATCGATCATATATGCATCTATCAGATAGTGGTTTGTGCAGAAAAAGAATGTCCATATAAATACATAAGTTAAACGTTCATGTACTCCACAAATTCAGCAGCTATGTATATACACACATACATGCATATATATATATATATGTATCATGTATGTATGTATACATATGTAGTAGTACTAGCTAGTGGCCAATAAATAGATATATATATGTGCATGCATAAACATGTACAAACAAACAAATCTGATGTTCTGGAGTTGAATTTGTAAAAATGGTTTCAATATTTTATTATCAAGCATTATTAATAAATTTGGAGTTTTCTTAAAAAATATTAGTAAAAAATAGACTTATAATTGAAAAAATAAAATACTATAGCAGTTGCATTTAAAACTAAAATTGTATAAATATAGAATTTATAAATTGAAGAGGACCTTAGTTTTGCAAGACAGACATGTTGTTCAGAATCTTAGACCTGTCGTACAAGTCAATAAAAGTTCTTTTGGAGTGTGTGTGTTTGGAAGTTTGGATTTTGGGTAAATTAAAATAATTGTATAATAGTGATATAATTATATATAATATTTTGAATGTAAAATTAATTTTTAGTATAATATAAAAAATAAAAAAATAGTTATTTGATTTGATATTTTTTAGAAAAAAAAAAATAATGAATAGTAAACATTTGATAATGTTTGATAAAAAAAAAAAAACACACACACACACACCCTTAACATGCATTGTTCTTGCATACTATGCAAGACTTTCCAAAATGTTTGATATTGTTGAGATATTTTACATATTGAATTTTACATTTAATATATCTAGATTTAATTTTATCCAAATATTATTTAAATTTGTGTCTATTTAGTTTGTTTTATGTCTATGTATAGCCCTTGTTTTGGTGCAAATTTTCAATTTTCATAATTTGTTTTCACACACACACACACATATATATATATATATATATACTAAGAAACGTGTTTAAGTTTAAATTATTATCTAAAATTTTAAAGCCTTTAAAAGATATATATATATATATATATCCAATGGGAGGCTCATAAAAAATGTCGATTAAAGAAGGGAAGGAAATAGCCCGAGCAAGAAAGCTAGCTAGTACATAAATATAAATATGAAATCAGAATATTCCTTTATAATTATGCTTCTGATTAAATATAATCCTGCCTCCTGTCTATCTATCTATGTAATTGAGCAATATAATTAATTAATTAATTAAGAACAAGAACAACTAAGGAGGAGGAAGAGGAGGAGCTAGCTAGCTAGCTGTATTGATGATGAGATCATTACGAGGGGATGATAACGAGAACGAGGTACGGATGCCATCCAGAGGTTATATATTACTCTATTCAAATTATTATTATTATTATTAATCTAAAAAATATATAGAAGAAGAAGAATAATAATATATTTGTCTTATATTAATTAGTTAGAGACAAGAATTGGGATGAGATGCAAACGATCGTTGAAGGCGGCAATCAATCAATCAATCAATCAATAAATAGCTGGCTGGCTGGCTGGCTGGCGACCAAATGCAAGGAATTATTGTTGTCTAGTGCAATGCAATACTACCCATCTCTTTCCTGCACTTCTTATATATATATATATATATATATATATCCTTCCTTTCTTCCTTCCTTCCTTCCTTCCTTTCTTCCTTCCTTCCTTCCTAATTCGTAGCTACTGTATACAATATTATTTATTATTGAAATTAATTAATTAATTCTCCTTCTAACATATATATATATATATATATACACACGCAGTACTTCCACTGTTAGTGAGTCAGTCAGTCAGTCACCCTACATACATACTGCATGCCAGCCAGCCAGAAGCTGCCGTGGGATCCATCCATCACCATCATCAATAACACACGTGCATGCATGCATGATATACACACACATACATATGTGTTCTCTCAAGTTTCAAGAGGGGCAGATCTGCAAGAAGATGCTTGCCCACCTCAACTTCTTATTATTTTTATTATTATTGAATAGTACATATAAATAATTGGGGGTGGGTGCTATCCTATATGAGCTTTACCTAATTCATTCAGCAGCAGCAGTACTATATCATACATACATATATATATATATATATGGAATGGTATGGTATGGTACGGATCGGATGAGTGGCCGGCGTGGGTGGGTGGGTGGGTGGGTGTATTATTAATTAATCGCGTGTGCTGTTTGGTTGGTTTTTGTTTTTTGACTTGTTGCCTTTTATGCGGTGGGGGGTGGGTAGGGTTTGGAGGTTGTAAGAGCCATTTCTGAGGCTGCAGGAGCTGTTTGTGGTTGGGGCTTGTGTGTTGCCTGCTGTCCCTTCCCGCTCTCCCCTGCCCCCATCCCACCCTCTCATCCCTTGTCTATCCCTCCTCCTATTGAGCTTATAATCAATATACATACATACATATATAATTAATTACCTATCATTTCATCACCCTCACCCTCAATTTTCTTTCTTCCTTTTTTACACACGGGACTGTCTGGATTCTGTCGGGGTACTGCATGTATAGAGTAACTACCATAATGACCGGATGAAAAATCACTATTTTGACTTTTTATTGCAAATAATGAGATAATACAATCTGAACTCAACTTACTTAATTCTTTCCTATATTCGTTCTTGTCATTTGACAATAGGCCTGTTAAATTTAGAAAACACATGCATATATATATAGCAAGTCCATTAAAATTCCAACATACTCGAACCCAAGTCTCATAGCAAGTCGACTATATCATTTTGTTTTTACAAATTCATTTCTTCAAATTTTAATTAAGTAAGTAATTCACTGCACTTTAATTTCCTCTCAAATAGATAGTATTTTTAACAGGATCCCCTGCCCCCGCTTTACCAATCTTGCCCCTTCCTGCCCTACACAATTACAATGAATGGCATCAAGCCCGACCAACCCGCTCAGCCCGGCCCATATTATGGAATAGTAAGCAAGCTAAGGACATTTGTAGTATGTTGCGTAATTATTACAACATTAATCCACAATTTACAAAGTATCTTTCAGCCAACTCTTGACAATGTACAATAATTAATTATATGTACAATACCTGTTTGATTTGGGGAATGTTTCAAGGTTTGAGAATATTTTTGAATTTGAAAATTTGGGTATATATGACTTGGAAATGCTTTGAGGATTTTGGGGATTGTAATGACCACAAGATATATATATATATATATATATTTATAATCTCCGATTTATGAAACTATATATATATATATATATATGTTGGATTGAATTAAAAATAAAATGAATCGATCATATATACAAGCATCTACCTGTTAGTGGTTGTACAGAAAAAAAGAATGTACATACGTACATGTGTCGGTTGTTGAGCTAAGCACTCCACAAATTCAGCACCTATACATACATACATATACTAGTTAGTGGCCTTTTATATATATATATATAAAATTAAATTTAATTATCATATTATTTTTTATTTAATTTTATAAATATTTAAAATAAATAAAAAATATTTATATATTTTTTTAATTAAAAATGTATATAAATAAATTTTTTTTTAATTATAATTTTATTATTAATAATTTACCAAATAAAATTTTTAAAAGAAGAATTGATCATATTAACTATAAAAATATATAAAAATACATATTAAATTATCTATACAAAGTAGATACTAAAAATAAAAATTATAAGATTAAAGTACAAGTTTATTATTATTTCTTGTACAAAATTATAATATTTTGCCTAAAAGGAAAAAAATTGAGTAAAGAAATGTAAAATGTTAATTTCAATTAACAGGATAGGATAGGATATGAAAAAACATGCATGATTAATTATTTAGTAAACAAAAAATATTTACAGTGTCCTCGCCTCTCTCTCTCTCTCTCTCTCTCTCTCTCTCTCTCTCTCTCTCAATCGATCAAAGTTGCATTAGTTGTTGACAAGAGCAGAAACATCAGCTCCAGCAAAATAAATAAATAAATAAACAATAAAACTAATCCAACCAATTATTGTTGTATTAATTCCAAACTAGTGGTATAATTAGTTAATTAATACAAGTACTGCAATAATGCACGTCGTAAAAGGGGGCAGCCTAATCAGAAAAAGGTAAGCAGCATTACACAATATAATATAATTAATTAATTGAAGTGTATATATATATATATATATATATCAAAGAAGTTTCATTCACTTGTGTAGATCGAGAGTTCCTAATTGATTGATGATTATATATAATAATTGGATTTGGATGGCTTATTAGTTGGTAATATATTAACTAATTAATGTAATAAAAGGGCGTGCATTACTAAATAAATGAATTGATTATATTGATGATCGATGATCATCTCCCACTCTCGTAATAAGTCTATCAGTCCATCTCTATATATAGGAGTGAGTTGAGGCGCAGTTCTCTTGCACCAAACAAACAAAACAAACACACACCCTACCCTACCCTACCCTACCCTACCCTACCCTAGCTAATTAGTATTTAGTACTCCTCCGATCCGATCCAACTAACTTATACAAAGGCTGGGATTGGGAAGGTTCCTCTACGGTACGCATCAATCATCAATCCAATCCAATTCATTATATTTGCACCTTAATTATTAATTATAAACCAACTAATTTGCACTGCTACACCTACTACTAATATGCAAGATATAGATATAGATATATACATGTAATGCTGCATGCTCCCCATATATATTGATATATATATATATATATATGTAGGCGTGCGTATGTTGTAATTCTTCTCCCCATGCCACACACACGCATCTGCATCTGCATGCACTAACATATATATATATATATATATATCGTTACTGTTATATTTTATATTGCTGGCATATATATTTACCCACACACACTTATGCACCATCGAAACCCTAATCTCTAGCATGTCAAGGGAGGGTTCAACTACTTGAACTACATACCTTCGGCTTGCTGTTTTATTATTATGCATATAGGTAGAGCATTAATTCATTAATATATATATGTATATACACACTCTTATATATCATTGAATGGTGGTTTCTCTCCCAGGTTTAATATATATATATATATATAATTATAGGTAGGGCGTGCAGGGGGGATGGCGAAGAGTAGTAGTGGTTCATCATGGGCATGGTCAGGCAGAGGAGGAGTTGTGGCTGTGGTCGCGTGGTGTGCGGTGGTAGTGGTGGTGGTGATGGCGGTGCAGGGAGGAGAGGCTCACGAATACTTATCCGGCCATGGTGGTGGGGGCGGAAAGAAGATGGTGATGAAGAATTGGAAGCAGCGTAAGATGATGATGATGATGGTGAATAGCAACAGCAACAACAATCAGGTGGACAGAAATGTTCCCGGAGGACCAAATCCCTGCTACCATTGCCAGCTGCCACATGACCATGACCATACAACTCCAACTCGCCATGAGGATGATGGTCATGAATCTGCAGTAGGAGGGGGTGGCAGAAGCAGGGGGGTGTCGTCAACTGCTGACGATGATCATCCTCTTAGCTCCTTCAAGCGCCCGTGATATGTATAAATGAATAACATTAATATTGGTTTAATTTGCTAGCATGGCGTGTGAGTGTGTTGCAGATAAGAGTTTGGATTGGATTTATAAATAAATAGATTAATTAATTAATATATTTGGAAATGGTGTTTTGTAAGATTTTTCTGCCTGCCTGTTGAGCATCTTCCACTGAATGAATGAATGTGTGTATAATAATGTACTCCATAATGAAGGGTTTTTTCTTATGATAATTATAGTAGTAGCAGTAGTAACACATTAAGAAACAAGATAGATGGATGGACATGGACGGATAGATAGATAGATAGATGACACGGTGAGACCCAAGCTAGGCTAGCTAGTACATGTATTACAATGTAACAGCCCATAAATTATTAGCAGCAATGCTGTATTAGGTTTGATTGATTATCTGCTTGCTTACCCAATTAACCAACTCATAAAATTGGGCACTTGGGCATATGCTGCTCCTCCTTGGGCTGCTTGAACTGCTCTTCTGTCTGTCTGTCTGTCTGTCGCTCACTAACTAACTATGCATGACGCGCACACAAAAAACAATACATTCATTAAAAATCATGCCAGGCTCTAGTCCTGCTACCATCCACACGTAGCAAGTGGGTTTAGGGTATGTGACAATTGGAATGGAATAAATAAGGCTCGCACGCACGCACGATGAAAACAAAAATAAAATACTATACTTTAGTTGCAAATTTGGTTGGTTATGGTATAGCTATCATCCAATAAGTAAATAAACTGTCTGAGAGAGAGAGAGAGAGAGAGAGAGACGACGGAAAAGGTAACATTCCTCCGCACAGCAAAAACACAACACAACACAACAACACCATCACCATCAACAAACTAATACAGTGCGTGCCCACTCTGGCCAAATGTACACTAAAAGACGACTGACGGAGGTCTCCTCATTGCAGATTGCAGTTGGTCGGGTCGGGAGTTGCATGCATCACCGATTCTACCACCATCATCATCAGCCCAGTTAACAAGTAGCCCGCCCTGTCCTGTCCTGTCCTATCCTATCCCTGTTTGTTCATTCGTTCGTTCACGGAGCTCCAAGTTGTGGAGGGAGGCCGAACAGACTACTAACATCACGACACCTCTCATCATAGCACACACACACCCCCACCCCCTCTCTCACTGACTAACGGTAACATGTGAGTGCAGACAGGAAAGAAACATGCATGCGAGCTCAACAATGGGCTAGCTGATGAAATGCAACCACCTCTCAATGTTCTACATACATAGATTATATCCATCTATCTATCTATCTATATCTATCTATCTATCTACCACTCGCTCCTCTCTAAACCGCCCATCTATCTGCTCAACTTCCACTTGGCTAACCAAAAGCATCATCAGCATTATATTCCTGCACACGTATAACACAACCATAGTGAGCATTCCAAGTGATGGTTAGACGCAACAAGTATACTAAACACCAGTGTAGGGAAAAACAAAAAAAACAAAAAAGAAAAAACATGATACTGAGGGTGTGTTTGTTTGGGGGATTGCATTAGATTTCTAATATTCATCCCATTTTTTTCCCCCAAAAACATCAAATCAAACACCTATTTTTCATTTTTTATATTATACTAAAAATCAATTTTACATTCAAAACATCACATCAACACCTATTTATATCACATCATACAACTATTTAAATTCAAAATTTTTACTATTCAAATCCCAACTTAAAATCCAAACTCCCAAACAAACACACCCTTATTATATACCCTTCACTTCAAACAAGTATATACAGAATAAACAAAGCAGAAAAAGAACTAGAGAATGAGGCGTACAAGACCAGCACACGTCTCTGCTGATTCGCAACAAAAAACAAGTGGGGGCACACTCCAGTTTTGTATACAGTAAAGTGTCACATAACTACTAAGAGAGAGAGCACCAAGGAAGAAGTGGAGACCTGAATGTTTATTCCTCCGCATCCATTCTTGCACAGCCTGAGCGCCACCCTACGAATCAGAAAAACCAAGTAATATCCCAATATAATATTATCATAACACAATAAATGGACTACAAAAAATAAAATAAAATAAAAGCCCAACCTGTTGATGTTGTGATTGATCATTTACCAAACCAGTCATTGTAGGTACTTGTGAATACCCTTGTTCTGGATGCTACAAGATAGATCAAGTTTAGATTAATAACAATAGAAGAAAACCATAAAAACAATTTGAAATCCAACATCGTGCACGCACAACAAATGGCACATCATAAACATATCAAAACCATAAACAGGGTAAGTTTCGGAAGGCATCAAAAGTAAACAGCAAATAATTCAGCTTAATTTCAGACACAACGCATCATGCGGATCAGTGGTAAGGTAAAAAACAAATTTTGCTTGGAACAAGTTCCCAAAAAAAGAAGAAAGGCAGTAAATCATCTGGTCGAACTTAGAACGGAGGAACTTAGTACACAAAATGCAGTATACAGTGAGAAGTGAATCATAAAGAACATATTACAATGCAATACCCACCAAAGTTTGAGAAGCTTGCTGTAGTGGCTTGGCCTGGTTATGTAGCTGTGATTGACGTCCCTGATACAGCACTTGCATTGGAGGAGTTTGCTGTGCCAATTGTCCGGGTGGGTGAGACTGCAGCTGAGGCTGTTGGTTGGATGGTTTCTTTTGCTGCTGCTGCTCATATAAAGTCAATTCTTCCGGTTTCTCCCACTGCAATAAAGAAATGACAGTTATATATATACATATATATCCCTTTGCCCTTCTAAAATACGTATTAGAGATCGGGTGTTCACTTTGCTTTCACCAGTCAAGCTGTTGTAGTAGTATTTGTATCCATCTGGTGATAAATGCTCTGTCCAATTACAGTTACTGATGGCAGCAGTTGCTGCTGGAAAATTGGACAAAGAAGATGACGTAGCAGCTAAATCTCCTGCTGCGTGGGCATTATGGGTACTGACACCTGGCTGAGACGGTGTTCCAGACCAAGCAGACTGGAGAAAAGAAAATTAGATGCACATATGATGAGAAATCCCATCAGTAAAAAAGTAAAATATATAGTTAACCAAAAAATAAAAACTAGAAAAAATAAATTTAAATAACAAGACAATTATATCATAAAGCGCTAGAAATAAAATCCCAGTCACAAAAATGCCTGATTCTAAACATTAGCCAAGTGGAAAGAAATCTAAGACTACAGATACCTGATGTTTAGCAGCTTGAGCAGTTAAATTTTTATTTGGTGGCTGCAGCTGCTGCACCTGCTGTTGCAGCTGATTCAAAGTTTGCTGTGATGACTGAAATGTAGCCTGCAAAGTCTGCTTCTGTTGTGAAAGCATTTGAGCCAATTGTGATGGAGATTGAGATAGAGGTTGTAGCTGCTGAACAGGGGCTGGTTGTTGATTAGCCATCACAGGAGCTGGTTGTTGATTTACCATCACAGGAGTTTGCCCGGGAGTTGATGGTGCATTATGCTGCACTTGAGCATGAGGTACAGGAAGCTGACCATTCCGCCCCAGTAAATGTTGAGATGATGGAGCCCCAGCATAAACAGTCTGGCCAGAAGATTGAGGTGGCTGCATTTGACCAGGTTGGGCATGAGATCCCTGCATGTGCATGAGAGACGGAAAATGCTGTGGCGATTGGAGTGGTCTTTGTACAGGTGATATTTCAGAGCCAATAGATGGAACTTTTGGCAAAGGCTGGTTCGAACTCTGAAATGGAAGTACAAAATTGCATCAAATCAGTCTTACTTTTCAAGAATATAATTGACAACAACAGTGGTGTTAAACTCTTCCACTTGCCATATGTGATCCAGGTGTAGAAGAAACAGCAGCTCCAGTCAGTGAACCATCAGAATGGCCAGGGAGGCCTTGGGTAGTACCCTAGGATAAGATGAGGATAAAAAGATAAGATCTTGAAATAGAAAATACATAGTAGCATTCATATATAAATTTAATGTTAGTTAACACCAGGGGCATATATGAGAATAAATTATAGCCACCAAACAGTGAAAACAGCACTCATGATCAAAACCACCAAACAGTGAAAACAACACTCATAATTAAACAAGCCAATTTACAAGGTGCTAGCTCCCACTGATAAGCTGGGTAACTGCCAAAACAATACATACTTGTACATATATGGACCCAAATATAACATAGCGTATAGGTATTGTTTAACATAAATATTTATTAGTTTTTTTAAAAATAATATAAAATAAATTAAAAGAAAATTTTAATGAAGAGCAGCTCCACAATCAAAATGTATGATTGTTTTATTATTTAATTACAACAAAAAAACATAGATAATAGTCAAAAGATAGTATCAAAAATTATTTTGATCTACTACATTCAGTTTTTACTATTTGCTATAAAAACGAACAATATCCTTTGAAGGATTGTATAAATTAAAAAAAAAAAAAAAAATGTATTGATTTTGATTTAGCTCACTAATAGAAAATTTTTAAACCTTAAGATAGGAAAACCAATAAATTAGCAATAAGACTAAAACATGCATTTTTGTAACCGATTACATTTGCAAAATAAAATGATTGCAAGTAAAACATGATAATGCACCTACTTGAGTGGCTATAGCAGTCATATCTCCAGATTCCGCAGGAAACTGATTGCCAAAACCAAGAGTGCCAACATGTGAAGGTGGTCCCAGATTTTGCGGGCTTTGTGAAGGCCAAGAACGAATGGACCCATGCAGCAAATCTCCATGCTCTGGCGGTGGTCTACATAGGGTACATAATAGGTTGTGCATTGAGGTTTACATCCGTAAGAAGAAACCAAAACAAATGGGAGTATAAGGAAAATATATATACATACCTTATCCCAGGAGCTGAAAGCTGGGGGCCAAAACCTGGTCCACTGAGAGGAGGACCTCTAGAAAGAGGACAGAATAACATTTAGAAAAACATAAAATGTTTTACAGAACCGATAATCCTAAAACAGAGCAGTACACCAAATAAAAGATGCAAGCATATACACCACGTGTAAACATCCAAATCAACAATAAAAGATCCCTACTATCAAACCAAAAATCAAGGATTTGTTCTTTGTGTTTTGACAAATGTTTTTTAATCAATTTACTAGTTTATTTTCCTTCAAAAACATCATATCCAGCCCTCATTTTTCATATAAAAGATCAAATCAAACAACTATTTTCACCTAAAACATCAAAACCAATAATATAAAACAAAATTACAGAAGAACAGCTCCAAGGCTCTGTTAGCTCACGTCTTTAACTACATTATTGCACTATTCATAGAAGGGTTCCCCCTAAAAAACATCACATCAAGCACCATTTTTCATTTAAAACATTACATCAAAAGTCTATTCTATATTCAGAATATCACAAACATTTACCAACACCCAATTTCCATTTAAAACATTACATAAAACACTTATTTTACATTTAAAATTTTCCTATTCTCAAAACAACCCAAAGCACCAAAATACTTCCTATACACAATTAAACAAACCACAAATTTTCTGAATCATGGATTGCTAGTAACCCAACCCTAATGAGACAAGGTAAAGAGCTAAAGGAAAAATAACTAGTCGAAACAAGATTAATAATAATAAAAGACGATATTATGTGTGATTAGCTACCTTGGCTCCCCAGCTCGTGGTCTTTTAGGGTCAGCAAATCGAACAATTAAAGGCTGGTTGCAGCCCTGTAATGCAAGGACAACAAACTAAACACTGTGAGCTATGTACTTGAGATTAGAGGACCACATAGTAGTAGGAGCTTACACTCATAGTATATGCTCCATTAAGAGCATTAATTGCTGCTTGTGCCATCTCTCTCTGAGAATATTTGACAAATCCACATCCTACAAAGCAAAAGAAAAGGGTGGCATATATGTCATGTGGAAATGCAAGGACAATCGAAAGGTCATTAAATTATGTAGCTGCACCAAAGCTATGTAATATAATAAGTAAACGAAGAATAGCAATAGGTGTCTTACTACCCTAATTTCAAATTTAAATCTGGTATCATATAACTATAGGGTGGACATACCACGGCTCTGCTTCATTTCATCACGCATAATATAGACATCTTCAACTCTACCAAAGGGTGAAAAAATCTGAAGATGAAAAATCAGTAGTTCAAGTCATTCTCATCGTTTCTTCAGTGAAAATTCAGCCAAAGAAAATAAATGGTACTAGTAACTCTATAGTGGCAAGTCAGAAGACAAAATAGTACAGCAAGTAAAATTTTCCTGTTTAGTGAATTTCTTGAAAAGAGGTACAATCAGATTAATACAACTTCATCCTCAAAAGAAAATGACAATGGGATACCAAACCCACATTACACCAACATAAAAATTAAAATGGCAGAACATACTTCTTCAACTTCCTTCTCAGTAGCTTGCCTGTTCAATGATCCCACAAATAACTTATATTCAGTTGCACCTGCAATCAGTTTAAATCCAGGGGAAAAAAAAAAAAGGAACAACACTTCATTGAAAGTTATACTGAAAATATAAACAAAGGATCAAGCCTACTGAGGTAAAAAGATTAAATAAAAGTAGAAAGACAGAGCATTCTGAGGATAAAAATAGCATAAAAAACTAAGAGACAATCATAACATAGTACCAAGGCGTTCTCGCTCTCCATCAGCATATCTTACTTGAATAGGGCCCACTCCCTGTACAACTCGGGAATAAGTAGGACATATATGAGTTCAGTTTACACAACAGAAATAGGTAGAAATATACCCCTGGTAACGTGAACTGATTATGAAGTTCTCTGATGGCTCTATCAGCCTCTTCAGAAGAAGCATATTTTACAAAACAGCATCCTGCACAGGCCAACAGTTGATATCCATGTTTTATCAAGATTTACAGCATTTAACCAGACGAAACAAAGGCTCCACAAACTAGAGTAGAAAAAATTATTGCAACTCCTGTACATCACTTGTATATATAGATGAAGGAAACAGATCAATGAAAACATCCTTCTAAAGTTCAAATTATCCACAGTGAAAAATAAGCATTCACATTGGCATTTCAGCAGCTCCAGAAACAGAGTTGTAGCATCTCGGAACTTAGGTCATAAAATGCATTGGTTCATGACCATTCATACTCATCAAGAAGATTTGTAATAACAAAAATGAACATTGGCTCAATAATCATAACCTGACAACTGTACAACTAATTAACCACGGAGCACAAGACTTCTATCATTGAATAGAAAAGTACATGAGCATAATAACAGAGCCCCGAAAAGAGGACAATTGAAAAGGGAGTATCAAACCAGAAATGTATACAACTAAAACAAGAATTTTACAAAGGCTAGAAAAGGTAAGGTATAATCAACTGCAGATTTCTTTAGCATTTCTCATAACCATAACAATCCCAACTTGAACTCTCATGATTGTGCATGTAAATGGCAATAAATTAACACAAAACAGTATATATCAAAGCATGAGCCTCTTAACACAACCAAACACAGCAGTAAAGTGATAACAATCACTTCAGTGTCACTTGTGACCACCAATGTTAAGCAAAGATTAATAAAGTACCAAGAGGGTCGAGAATGTGCAACAGAACACTCCAAAACTCTATATGATATGGCAACATACAATTATACATTAAATGTGCATAGACAGAGATCCTTCATACAAACTAAAAAATAAATAATCAGATGACAATGCATGCGGCCACAACACTAGGAAAAAAATTTCACAATCCCAATAAATTCCAAAAAGGAGGCAACCAAATCCAACTGAAGACAATATTTCAATAACCTAGCAAGCTTTATTGCCTTATCTCAATCCTTAGATCATGAGCTCAATCAAACAATCCAACAAAACAAAATGCTTGATATTGAAGTATAATGAGAGCAATAAATGGTTGCTCTTGGTGCTCATTAACAATTTACAACACCAAGCAAAAGTTCAAGTAAGGTACATGTCCCATCTATAGCTAGTTATTACATCTCCATTATTCCACAAGAATAGCATCATAGCATGTTCAGGAAGGGAAAACAAACACATTCAATACCAAAACTAGAAGTGCAACTTTTTAAATTAAAGATTTCCGCCACCATATGAATTTCAACCGCATGCTTCCGCGAAATACCAAAGTTCCTTTAGTGTAAATCAAAATTATCATGGAATGCAACTCGCAAGAAAAAACATCATCCAATCACATATTCAATCAGTAACTCTGCTGCAATGAAGGGGATTTGAAGCACACAATTTTTTAACTGTGGTATAAGTACACTACACACAAACCATCAAATGTATTCCCCAATCACATACAAGTTGGTCATCATAGTGTAGACACTGAAGAGTAAAACTAAACATCTGATATAAACAGATAGAGCAATTCTTTTAGCTCTATAACTCGAGTTTAAAGCACAGAAAAGTTGGTCAGAATTTTCTAACCAATGCACATAACATCTAGCACAAACATGCTACATAAGCACATTCATAGTATGATAAGTATAAGGTTTAGAAAAATGAACCAGTGTGGCATTAAAAGTTTGGCAAGAAAAAGTTTACAATGAGTACCATATAAATAAAGCCATCGCCGCAGCACCATTACAACTCACAGAGTCAAAAATAGTAATAATAATAATAATAAACACATAAAACTGCAGCAGTTAACATATTCACTTGCATTCACGGTTCTTCCACACCCAAAATGTATCAACAGGCCCTGTTCCAAAGATAAGTTAAACTGTACACTGATGGCCAATATTGACCAGTGAACTGCAAATGCTATCAAAAATAAAAGTATTCATATCAATGCCCACCAGAAAATTTATTAGATACAACCAATATGGCATTCACAAGGTACAATACATGATTGACAATATGAAAACCCAAAAAGACAGCCATCCATTCACATGTAGAAACTCAGACCCAAAAAAACCCTAAATGTGGTATTAGTGTCTTCAAGGAAGCATGAAGTGTATTAGCAATCATAAAAAATCAGATCTAATCACACAAGCCCCATCATCAAAAGTATCATGAAAAATGTGCATGACTTGTAAATGATGCACAAAAGATAGAAGTCATCCCAAGTAATAAGAAGCCTTCAGTACTAAGACATGGCATAAACGCCGTTGTACAGGTTAAGATAGCAGTCTTTTGGGAGAAGAAATATTTTTCCACAAGCCTGAGCTATGATTAAAATAGCATTACCTCCACAGGCAACAATTTGATTGCAGTGAGCTCAAAACTACAATTACACTAGCCATCAAGCAAACCCAAAAAATCAATATCCTAAGGAAAATTGAGCTCTTGACACAAGAAAACATAGCATTTTGATAAATTTAGCAACAAGAATTTAAAGATAACAACAAGAACCAACTATGCATTCAATAATATGTTGTAGCATTATACCACGAAGACATTCTATGACCACAGGTTACAGAAGTACCTATTGCAAGCATGAAACATCCTTGTAACTATCCTTATAGCTCAATGGACCAAAAATATCCATTGTGAATTGACATAGCATCAACAACACAACCTAAAGCCAAATTATGAGATAGTATAGGACAATCATAATAAATAATTGGAATCTCATAAGACAGATCATTCTCCTCAGAAAAAGATCACTAATAATTTCAATTTATAAACCCAATTATGTTCCATTTCCTTTTTCAATAATCTAATTCCAATTTATGAATAACTACGCCATCCATACATCTAAACATGAAGAAACAACTACACACATTTATAATGTTTGAATCCTTAAGCTGGTAATCAGATTTAACATCGTATGGTTGCTCCCTTCTTGTGTGACAACAAATCTACTCACACAATTCAGTAAAAACAAAGCAGTGAAGTAACTGCTATCCAAGTCTACGCCACAAGGAAAAGAGATACGTAAACCCAAAAACCAAATCTTCCTGCTAAGTATACATGAATCAATTTATAGAATATTTAATCTTGTTCTCTTCTTGGAGGATGAGGAATGAACATAATAGATGATGATGAATGAACTGACGAGAAACATAGGGTACAATAGCCTCCTTCAACACCCTCAAATGACCTGAAAAAAATTAGAAAAATTCCAAAGTATGGTGTAACTAATATGCTAACATACCTTGCTGTTGCCCAGTCCTCTTATCCTTGATCAAAGCAACTTCCAAAACATGCCCATGCTTTTCAAATAAAGGTCGAATCTAGAATCAACAGACCAAAGATAAAGACAGATTTATCACATAATAACCCAAACCAGCCATTAAAACGTTCAGTTGGAATGAAATAATGTGCCTTTCAAAAGCTTCAGCCCTTTCTAAGATCGTATCAGCTTGAGCATGCTTAATGCACCATATCAAACTAGCACATGAAAATCTCAATAATTAAACTGCATTACCCCTTATTAAGACATGCAACTATTAAGAATGACTATTTGGAAAACTAACAAGACCTCTTACATATTACTCTGCCGATTCAATACATTTCAGCCAGAAACTAATGACAACAAGTCAACAGGGTACAAAATTATACAAAAATATATATCAAATTATGAAATGAACAGATAACTGTACTTTAATAATCATTGATACCCAGATTTAATATTCCTGGAATGTAAACTATCTGGCTGAATTTCTTGCAAAATAGCGTGCTACAATTAAAGGGGGCTTTGTTGCTTGGCCTAAAATTTTTTCATCTCAAGGCTATCGATATAGGGACTTCTAAGAACTTGGTGCAAGCTCAATTAGAAAATTAAAGTCAGGTCGGGTGCTTGATTTTTTGTACTCTGTCATACATCCCATATAATAGCAAACCAGAATTCATGCAATACTAGTCCATTTTCCAAATAATGATAATAAGAATAAAGGAATCAAAAAGGGGAGTTCATCATTAGAAAAACTTACAAAATATTACAGTGCGGCATTACATATTATTTTTTACAAACCTAATAGGGCATAGATGTAAAGTAGTTTTCTTCAAGGATCATGGTGGAGAGATTGAATCATGACAAAGAACTTACATCATCATCAGTTGCGGTCCTGGGAACAGACCCAACAAAAAGCTTGGCAAAACTACCTCCTCCTCTATCTGAATAAATACAAATGGAAAAAAAAACATGAAAAAGATGGTTATTGTTAATAGAGAAAATGGCATTGGTCATTTTTGGTGGAAGTTAACAAACATAACTACTTTCAAAGCCACACAAAAAAGATCTTCGTATATATACATCATCAGTCGAATGTAGACACTAAACTCAAGTTGTTTAGATTAAGTTTCTTTAAAAATAAACAAATGGTAGATAAATAATAAACGTATTATCAAAAATCATAATACAGAGAAAAGGATACAAAGAATTTTAAGCAAATATAAGAAATAGAATGCGGATCCTCCAAGCATATCCAACTTCCAGATCTGTAAATTTAACTTCCAGGATCTAAAGGAAATTCTATAATATTTAGAAATTAACAAGTTTATACAACTATAAAAACTCAAGTCTTCTACCAAGCTGAGAGGACTCCCACAAACATTCGTGCTTATACAAGATAAATTATAGATCAAACACAAACGCTTTTCAAAATCAAGCTGATTTTATTCATTGTTAACATGCAAGTTCATGTTCGAATACATTGCCCATATTCCTATTTCTTAATTACATCTTAACAAGACCAAATGCAAAATTCCAAATGTTAAGTCAATTGAGCTATTGTAGTTACACACAAACTACTTCATCAATTGAGTCCTTCAAGTTAGTTAATTCTCAATGGAGCCCTAGAAAAGTATCGAGGCATAGTCATGTTGGAAGACTTGCCATTTTACCAATCATTTTCAGCTTCAGCTTCAGCTTGGAACAGCATTTCAATGTAAATTTTTATAAGAATTTTCATTTCAAATATTTTCACTAACAATTGTGTCCCACATAAACTACTTGTTTGGCTGTGGTTTGAAATTGAGTTGAAATGAGGTGTTGATTTAAGTTCTTGTTAAAATAGTATTTTGATGTGATGTTCGTTATAAAAAATAAAAATAAAAAAAAAATAAAAAAACAAGTCTTTTTTTGGAAACTGTATAGAATGAATAGTGTCGGTTTCAGTTTGAAATCACAAAAGAACAAACCCTAATGTGATCCAATCAAATAATAATTAGTGTCATTATTACTCAAAATGTGCCACCTTGAAAATGAAGCATTCCCTAATAAATAGTACACTCTGTTCGACTCTTTTCCCTTCTATCCTTCTATAAATACACATTACAGAAAACTTGTGGCCTCCTTGTAGGCTTGTTCTTGACAGTAGCTGATTCCTATTTCCTGCTCCTTCAATCTATTTGCTGAAGGCATGTTATACCTTGCCAAATTATTTTAAAAAGGATAATGTTATTCTTTAGAGCACAACTGATGCACATGTAAATCAATTTCTTCACTTCTTCTCCTGCATAAAATTCATTTTTCCCCTTACATATTAAGGGCATCCGTACAAAAGCCTAAATATTAATCCAAGAAATTATCAATGAAGAGTAGCCTAATTTTGTAAGAAACAACTTTGTAACACAACAAGTAGCCAGCACCAGTTTCTCAATCGGGGCTGTCCTAACTGAAAATATAAATAAAGAAATAAATCCCCAGCTATATGGGATGAGAAGGGCCCCTTGATCATCATAATATCATATTCAACTTCAGCTAAATCATAAAGGCAACTACAATTAAGTCCCATGCACGTATAAAGCTAAAACATCAGAACGTATACAGTACCTGGAGATCTTTCTCTGCCAGAAAAGGGGTACCCTCGCTTCTGGCCCGTAAGAGGAGGTGGTAGCATGTGGAGACTGTCCAGTGCATACCTTTCTCGGTCAATGCCACCAGAACCAATAGGTTGAAACACTCCGGTGTGCCTGCCGCTACCAGCAGGTCCTAAACCACCACCATCATCGACACGGCCGGCCATCGTTTGAAAAGCTCCACCAGCCATGGGGCGAAGCCCTTCACCAGCGTTGCTACGTTCAACGACGGATCCAAACCCGCGTCCGGCACTGCTACCGCCACCGCCACTGCCACCCATATGTTGAAATTCGTCAACCCCGCCACCCCTGTCACCATCCATCTGCCGAAACCCTCCCACAACAGCTCCTCCTCCTCCTCCTCCTCCACCTACAGGTGGAAACCCCCTTTCGCCAGTGACACCCATCGGTCCAAACCCTTCCCCACCAGAAACCGGGCGTCGAAACCCTTCAATCCCATCATCCATCAGCCTTAATCCTCCACCACCTCGATCGCCGGTAGGCGGCTGAGGATAACGTGGCGGGCTATTGAAAGGCCTGTAGCTTTCCCTACCAACGCTGGCGCTGGCGCTGGCGCGGCCACCGCCGCTCGAGAATGCGCTGGTGCGATAATCGTGAGGACTGCTGCCCCCTCCTCCACCTCGGGAATTTCTCTGGCGGTGGTGGGGAAAGGGGGATCCACCGCCGCGGGAGTGCCTGGCGCTCGAACTGTAATGGCGAGGCTCTTCGGTGGTGGTAGCGTTGTATCTGTCCCCACCTCCACCTCCACCTCCTCTATGCCTATCGAATTTATTATCCATGGAAGTGAAGGAAATGAAAATAAACCCTAACCCTCGTAAGAGAAGAGAAGAGTTGAAGGTCCCGAATTGGAGAGAGAGAGCGAGGGGCGAGATGCGGGCTGGGTGACTTTGACGAAATATGAGAGTAAAGCTGAGATGTGGATCTCAGTGGATGATGAATGGGAATTTGAGGGGGGCAACTAGAACGAGCACACCTCCCAACCCAACTCCAAGCGTCGGTTGGGCTTGCATGGGCTGGGCTGGGCTGGGCTGCCAACTTGGCCATGGCTTTGAGACCCTTATTGTATGAATATGATATTAATTAAAAGAAAAAAACACAGCGAGTAGACCCGATAAATGAAACCTAACACACACACTCTCGTTCGTTCCATCTTTCTTTATTTCTAATTTGTATAATAATTAAATAAGCAATTGCAGGGCACATGTACAATGGTCTCATAGAAATTTAGAAAAAAAAAGAAAAAAACACTAATTGAGCTGATTCACGCATGTCCGAACTAATTTTGAATGTTGGAGGCAATTGAAAATTTTATCACACAAAATGTTCGTCGGTGTAAAGGTTGTTTAGTAACGTAGAAATAAACACGAGATCATAAGATCTGGGTTCAAACCCGACGTTCTTTATCCTTGGTGATGTAAGAGAAGAGGAAATGGAATATCCATAGTAACCCGGGAATGGGGATGGGGTGGGACAACAATTCCACGTGGTGAGAAACGTCCATGATATGAATCCAGTCTCCCTCTTGTCTGTGTGTCTGTCTGTCAGTGAGTCAGTCAGTCGGTCCACGGGACGGGAGGGTTCTTGAATGAGCTTGCCTAAGCCATCTATCCAACTCATTCATGTCTGTAAGCAAGTAAGACAGACAAGAAAAGGGGGGACTAAAGATCGAAGTAGTTTTAGGGAGGAAGATGAAGGAAGACATGTCTGAGTCTGAGAGTCTGTAGTGTGGGTGCAGCAGCGATCAATAATAAATAAAACAAAGAGATGATATATGGAAGATCAGACTCCGCAGCTGGGCGGGAGCGGGAGTGGGAGTGGGAGCGGGACTGACTCATCATGGAATAATAGTATAATACAATAATGGTGGACTGAATTGACTGTGTGTGTAGTGTAGTGTAGAGATAGCCCCATAGGGGTTTGGGGTTGGTTGGCTGGCTGGATGAACATCAACTCTTCTTTTTGTTTCTTTTCCTCTTCTTTCATTCGGGAAACAAACAAAGCCAGCCAGACAGACAGCCATAGTGCACCCGGGACACAGATCATTCATTAATGCCAAATGGTTTGGAATTATTGGATGGATGGATCAAGGAATAGCAAAGCAAAGCAATGTAGGGAGGCTTTCTTATCTTAATAATTGAGGAAATCATTATCAATTGGTTGGTGATTCATTCGGATGGGATGGGAGGTCGGACCCATCCATCTAATCTCATCTCTCCCAAGTCTCCCCCAGTCAGTCAGTCAGTCAGTCAGTCAGCCTCAAGTCTTATTACTATTATTCTCGTCTATAAATCTGTCTATCATCCCCTTATCTTGTTCAACCTGCAAGGCTGACTCTCTCGATGTTTTCTCAGGAATAAATATAATCACATATATACGTAAATGTAAGCACCTTCCTTGCTTGCCTTCCATCTCTCTCACTACCTTCCATCCCTCCTTAATTTCTCTCTTCCATCCTCCCTCTCCCAATTAATTCATTCCTTCCTTCCTTCATTTACGACTTTCTGCCTTTCACTTCCCCAAATTCAATTAATCGAACCCAAAGCTTCTATTCTTCTTTCTAATTTCCGCTACTTCAATTCTTGCCCATCTCAACACTCTGTCTCGATCGCTCACACTACTCAGTTTGCTGCAGTATAACTTTTTCGCACATCTTATCATAATCCTCTGTCTCTCTTTACCGTTGTGACTTGTGAAGGAATCCCCTTTTTCCCTGAGCTTTAGCTTGTTCATTCTATTCTCTTCTTTCTCTTCTCTTCTCTTCTCTGTTCTTTGCCAATGGACATGTTTGACCAACTCTTTTGTTCTCTTCTTGCTTCTCAATTATTGAATATGTATGAAAATATTTACTTTTTGTTTCTGCCTTTCCCCACTGGCAATAATGTAAGGAAGAGAAGAGGAATCATGGCATCGCACTTCTTATATTATTATAATTGTTCTTTATGTTTTTTTTTTTGTTGTTATTATTATTGCTTCCATTTTATTATTGCATTACTGCACTGCATGTTTATCTTGTGTGCAATGGGAGATCAGGAATGTTCTTGAATTCTCTGCTCGTATATTTTCTGCAGAATTTCTCAGGCCAGGAAAGGAAAGCGTAGCTACTTGGTTATTACTCGTTGTTTCTGGAGTGGAGGGATGTGGCGAGTGAACAATTATTCGCCATTTATTTGCTGGATGGTGTATCTGGCGAAAGTTGAAAGATGGCATTCCTCCCATTCTACCCAACTTTAATTAATTAAGGCGTTGGAACTTAGAGGAGGAGGAAGGGGTTGGCTCATATATATGGATTGTACTCCAACTCAAGAAATGGGGGCTGATATTGATATCGAGAAAGGTGATCAAAGCACCATGGGAGCAGGAGCAGGAGCAGGAACTCCAGCCATTTCAGACGGTGAGATCAGAAATATCACAGCTTATTCCCTCACCGCTCCAGATGGAAAAGTCAAGGTTGAGAAGTCATCAGTTCTAGATCATCCCAGCTGCAATCAAGAACCTGCCTGGGAGCATTCTCTAGAATCGGGTAAGAAAAAGAACAATAATCATAAGAGGGAAAACCGCAAGCCAATGAGCACCAAGAAGCCCCCGCGGCCTCCAGCTCCCAGGGGATTGTCTCTGGATGCAGCTGAGGAGAAGCTCATCAAAGAGATCTCTCAACTGGCCATGATCAAGCGTGCTGGGATGGAGCGGAAAAAGGCTCGGAGAAAAATGAAAGAAGCAAAGGCATCTTCCGATTCGGCAGCGCCATCGTTGAATTTGATAGCTGTTGTGTTCACGATCCTCTTCTGCGTGGTAATCATATTTCAAGGTGTGTATCTTCATAGATGCATTCTGGATAACTTGGATACATTGATTGTAAATTTATGACTGTGTGTGCATCTGTCTGTCTGTCTTCTTCTTCTTCTTATCTTGCTAGGCTGCTGCCAGTCGTCGTCTTCTGGAACACGAAGCTCCACTTGTAGCAACAAACTACTTTTGTTCCCCATGAATCCTCCTCCTCCTCCTCCTACTACTACTACACGAAACACATACAGTAGAGGAGCTGCTGATGAGGGTCGCAAACTTCAACGGGAACCAATGGCGTATTAAGTAAGTAGTAAGTCTGTCTGTCTGTCTGTCTCCCACTGCCATGTATGTATGCATGCATGCAACTAGTTTTATCCCACCAATTATGTATGGATGTATGTGTGTATGAATGATGCAGTTTAGTGAGATGCAATAAATAGAGCCTCCAATTCCATTCCATGCATGTGGTTCGAATTATATAGGTTCTATGTTGGCAAGGATGAAGGGGGAGAGGGCGGCCATATCGATCGATCTTACATCAATCAATAAGATGAAGAATGGAATGGCGCAATTAAGTGTAAGTGAGTGATACTGACATACTGTTCTGTTCTGTTAGGGGGGTGGGTATGTACACATACATACATACAAACAAACAAACAAACAAAAACTTGCGGGCATATCCATCCATATCATATCAAGTGCCGAAGCTGGAGGGAGGGAGGGAGGCTGGCAATTAGCGTTGATGCTTGACACTCACTCACTCAATTAAGATCATCCTTCAATTCAATTCATTTCATCACATTTTCGATAGCCTAGCCGGATCGGATCGGACCGCATCTGATATGTCTTGTCTTCTTCTTCCATCTATTCGTTCGTGTCTATAGAAACGTGATGGACGCAAGATTATTATTATTATTATTATTAGGTATTAGCGTTCGTTCATTCATTCACTCACGCACCCACACATCTGTCCATTATTCGGATGCTTGTTGAAGATCCAATGAAATGAAATGGGAGGGATCCACCACTTCAATCTATTCACAATTGTATTGCGTACATGTAGATTAATTGCGCATCACTCACACACTGACACCCATCTATTCGAGATTGTGTTTTGTGTCGTGTGAAGATCTAGAGGGTGTTACCAATAATGCCTATGTCTCAACTTGTTCTGACAAATAGCTTATTGAACAATTTTTACTGTTTGATCGGTAAAAAATTAATTTAGGTGTTTGATAAATTAGTTTTTGGAATACCTTTTGGATAAAAAAAAAAAAAAACTAATTTTTGAAAAATTAACTTACTCAACGTTTTAAAATAGCTAAAAAAATTTTATTCCTTATATATGTCCTTAAAAATCTATTATACATTTTACACAAATAAACATATTTTGAGTATTTATTAATTATATTAAAATATTTTATTATATTATAGTTTTACTTTTATAAATTTAAAATAATTACTTTTTATATATAAATTATTTTAATTGTAAAATATATAAATTTATTAAAATCAACATAAAATAGAAAATATAAATATTAATAATTTATTTTTATTTTAAAAGTATATTATATAAATTTTATGCTAAAAATAAATTAAATTTATTAAAAATTATAAATATAATGAATTATTCCATAATTAACATAATAAATATATATAAAAAAAATTATTATTTTATATTTTACATCATTTTCAATAAAAAAAATTATTTATATATTTTAATAAAAATATATTTTTTTTAAATTTAACTATAATAAAAATAAATATTTTATAACAGATTTATAATTTTCAATAACTAATAAAAAGAAATGAAGAAATGGGTTGAATTTAGTTGAGAACTGTACATATATTATGCATACAGACTGACAGCGACCGACATAGCGTAACCCCACAGGAAATCTTCCTCCCTTTCTTCCATACTGTATACTCTCTCTCTCTCGCAGATAGATCGATCAAACCCCACCCACCCTTTGCCAGTGCCTGTGCCGATGCGGGCGCGCATTCGTCACTTTTGAATTCTAGCTGCTCGATCGATACACACATACACACACTCGTTATTCCTTCAAATTCAAGATTTGCTGCGATGCATGGAATTCTTGATTCAAGAACGCTTCTTCTTAACCTTTCCCCCCTACCCGCCGCTACTGTGTCCTTTCTGTCACCTGCGCCTTCCTTCCTTCTTCGCATCCTATCCAGATTTGTATAGAGCAGAGCGTGAAAGATCTTTGTCTTTGCTTCAGGTTTGACTACTCGGTTCCTTCTCTTCTCTTATCCTCTTATTTTTGTCAAATTAAACTCTTCTACCCATCTTTCTTCATTTATACTTTTCATGAATGCAGTCTTGTTTGTTTCTTGAACGATTCTCCAAAAACTGTGAGTGTGTGTGTGTGTCTGGTTTTTTTTTTTTCTTTCTTTAGCTTATGAACAGTGAGGGAGTGGTGCCGACTCCGGACAAGGAAATCAAGAGAAGAAACGCTGTAGACAGTCTGAAAAAGGTGCGGTCTCCCCACCTCTCTCTTTCTCTTAGCGCCAATTTCGTTGTTTTTAATCTCCACGAGGTTGTAGTATATGGATTCCATCCAGATTCCAGATGCTGCTCATTAGATTAGATGCGCACTAGACTGCCTGTATGCATAATGTTTTCTGGGTTTATGAATTATGATGCTTCGCTCCGGCAATCACAAGAAGATTGCCTGCCTGCCTGCCTTCACTTGTTATCTTCACATTCTTATTGATAATTCAACTCTGCGTTCATGCTGTTGGTGTTGGTCTTGGATTGGATCCTCGGAGGAGTCTCAGATCAAAAGAAGCATTTTCCCTTCAAAGTTCAAATAACAATTTCAGATTGCTAGTTCCTGACACACAGATGACAGATCCCTGAAATTTGTTAAATTTGAAGTACTTTACGTTTCTTACACAGATTGTGAAGCAGTGGGTCAAGAGGGTTGCTCATCGGCGCGGATGTCCAAAGAGTTGTATCAGGGAGGCATCTGCTACAATCCTGATATATGGGTCATATGGCCTCGGGGTGAGTTATGATCTCACTACTGGCTACTTGTGTATATATATAAAAAGATATAGTTGTTTAGTTAGTGAGCATGCTGTGGATGTAGGTGGATGATCACGAGTCTGATGTCGATGCTTTGTGTGTTGGACCATGCTTTGCCACTATGGATGTGGGTCTTCCTCCTTTTGATTCCGGTTCTGGAACTTTTTGCTAGCTGCATACTTCATTTTTCTTTCTCTTTTCATGCTCATGTTTACTATCATCACTCACACTTGCAGGAAGACTTCTTTATTGTTCTTCGAAACATGCTCGCCAGTCGACCTGAAGTTTCAGAGCTCATATGTGTCAAGGATGCCAGAGTTCCTTTAATGCGATTCAACTTCGATGGGGTTCCAATAGATCTTCCATATGCCAAGCTTAGCACAGTACACATTCCTGAGGTAGGTTTTCAAAACATTTGCCCCCAAGAATTTTCTTACACTCAGTTCAAGGTTTATTCTCCAAGCGAAGAAGAATCCATCATAACTTGTTGATCAAATAGCAACCTTGGAGATAGCTTGGATGTTATAAAGCTAATATCCACCATTCTTCTTTGACGTGTAGAATGTGGATGTACTCAACCCATTCTTCCTGGCAAATATTGATGAGGTCAGTTGGAGAAGTCTGTCCGGTCTACGTGTGAATAAGAGCATCCTCCAATTTGTGCCAAATATTGAGGTAGAGTGAGTGTTCCGTTGTTATTCTCCTAAGTCAGAACTGATGATGATGATATCCATGTGAGATGTTGAAGTCAGCTGCAAAATGTTGGAAAACCTGAGCACATGCATACAACATACTACACTTGTTTGTCAATGGACTATTTATTATCTGAACTTAAATATTTAATCTCTCTCCTCTCTTCTCCTGATTTGATTCCATGAAGGTATATCAGTTGCTTCTGCGGTGTGTCAAATTTTGGGCAAAAAGGCGAGGCATTTATGGGCATGTAAGAAGCCTCTTTTGTCTGTCTAGGGTGTATATATATATATATGTATGCATTTCTGCTGATTATAGTGGTGGTGTATGCAGTGCTTTGGATTTTTTGGAGGGGTGCATTTGGCAGTCCTGGCCGCATTCATCTGCTGGAGGCATCCGAACAGCCAACTGAGTGCGCTGGTTTCGATTTTCTTCCAGACATTTGCGTTCTGGCCTTGGCCAGCACCCGTGGTCCTGGGAGAGATGATGCCGTCGACTCAGAACCATGCCGTATTAGAGAGGTTGCTAATGCCCATCCAGTTTCCATGCAGCTCAAGTGAGTACTGCTATTCTAACATTACCAGAAGTACTTTCAATCGGATCGGAAAAGAGTTCCTGCGAGCTCACGCTCTCACAAAGGTGAAAATGCTGCTCTCAATAACCAACCTTGTAACATTCAATTCAGTTTGCAGATTTGATTTGAGTAGAGCCGCAGTTTGTGTGTGCGCTCCAATAAATCCACTCTGACTGCTTGCTTGCTTTCACTAGATCAGCTCAGCTCAGCTCGATTACATTTCTCTATATTTGTTGCAGGGTATTCTGCAGCAGCAGGATTTTGAATGGAGTCTCTTGTTCGAACCGCATGTTCATGCAAAAGAGTACCAATGGTTTCTCAAAATATGCGTCTCAACTCATCGGCCAGACAAGCTAGCAGAGTGGGTTGGGTGGGTAAAGTCTCGATTCCGCTGTCTTATTATCAAGGTATGGGTAGAACATGTGTGCTGTTGCTATTGCTTTTGCTCCTGGCCTCCTGGGTATTTCTACGCTGAAACTGCCAGCCTAATATGATGATGGGTGACATGTAGTAAGTAGATACTGTTTTGTTTTTCTTCTGCTGATTGCAGTTGGAGGAGTTGCAGTGGTTCTGCGACCCGAATCCAAGAGAGTTGTGTGCAGGAGGAGGAGGGGGGACTAGGCCGCATGTAGCATTCTATTGGGGGCTAGGCCGTAGCGGGGATGAGGTTGACATCAAGAGCATCAGGTCAGGTTTCGTGAAGACGGTGTCCAATGGCTACGAGGGGCACATTGGAATGATAGAGTTGGCGGTTGTTGCAGCAGCAGAATTGCCCTTGCGCAAGAACGAGGGCATCATCATCATCGATGGCACCAAGCTGGCGTGCCCACCCTGGGCCTTGGGGGGGTGCGGGCGTTCGCGATGGAATGACTGCTTGGAGTCATGATGGTGGTGGTGTCCCCAACCTCAGCCTCGGCATTACTTTGCATGTGACAACACAACACCATGCCTCCTCCTGCTCCTGCAGCAGCACACTGGAATTGTATTGTATGATACCCGAGTAGCATCAATAGTTAGTTAGTTAGCTAGTTCAGTACAGCAGGAAATATAGAACATCGATCAGAGGCTTTCTTTTTGCTTGTGTGAGTGCAGTCATCCGTCCGTCCGTCCTGAAGAATGAAAGCAAGCCTTGCCTTGCCTTGCCTGCCAAACACAACAGCAGGTGAGCATATAGCAGCATGGGTGTATGCATGACTTCAGGCTCTGCTTCTTTCTAGTGAGTAGTGAGTTTTAGGACTGATACGTACGATGATGATGAGCTCCTATTGAGTTTTACCCAATCTTTCTGGGCTGGGGGTCCCTATGATTCTTGGGACTGATAAGTTTTGAGGGGTCAAATACGGGGAATGGAGGATGTTCTTTCAAGCAAATCCCTGCAAGCAAAGCAGTCCTGCAATGCGGTCTCTGTCTCTGTCTCTGCTCGCTCACCCTATCTTGAGATTCTCTTAAAGATTAACCATAGAATCCCTTCAAGTGAGCATCCAAGAAGTGATGTTACGCCCTTTCTCTTCAACTTCACCAATAAGTACAAACAAATCAAGCAAGAATGCGGACTTATTCTTGGGGAGGAGCTCATCACGGTTCTGGAACTTGCCTTAAGACAAATCAACTCACCCAACACTTGCTGGCTACCTAACAATTATTGTCAGCAATACCCAACAATGATCTATCACTAAGCGAGAATACAGTTTCAAATTCAGTTACCCAACAAGTACATTCTTCACTTTAAGGCAGCCAATCTTTCATTATGACATATTTATATATATAATATATATATCAAAATCATATCAACCGCACCAAAAGTACATTGGAGAGTGTTCGCGGTGCTCAAAAAGAGAGTTCCAATAGTCCTTGCACTCTGAAACAGCCTTCCTTCTTGGATTCTTCAGAAAATATGCACCATATCGTATGCAAATCTTATCCGTGTCAAAGAAAATAACTGATTTTAAATAAGACAATGGCACATACTTGATAGTAATATGCTCCATAAACTGGGGGAAGTTCTGCAACTTACAGTAAATAATCATCTTTCTTCATAAAAATCATGGGGTGTTTTCACCCAACCAAAAAAACATGCACACTTCCCGGTTAATATTACCAAAAAATATAATATATACACACACTCACACACAATAATATTATATATATATATCCTGCATATTCACAGATGTAAATAATTTTAACACAAATCATCATTACTTCTCCATATCTCACATAAAAAAACAACTCAAACTAAAATCACCAAACAAACACACCAATAACATCCCAGGCTTATTTTTCATTTAAAACATTTCTTTCAAAACTTATTTTGCATTCAAAAAACTACATCTAGCACCCATTTCCACTCAAAAAATTAAAATAAAAAAATTTCAAAACACCTATCTACTCCCCAAAACACAACCCAACATAACAAGATTGATTTGAAGTTGATTGCCATGCTTCTCAAAATTATATTTAAAAATCAAGAAAATAGAAAACAATAAACTAGAAATTGTCTTAAACTCAACATCATAGAATGCTCAGGATACGTCCAGAATAGCACGAACGACTGCAAGTAAAGAAAAAAAAAGAAGCAACAATTAGAATCACATATGAAATTGTATGAGAGAAGAAAACATTTAAAGAATAAGAAAAACACGTGCATCAGCTAAGTGAGAACCATGGGTGCAGGGAAGAGCTTATATTCCACTGAATACACAGCACAGTTAATAAACCAAAAAAATTGTCATCATTTACAGAAAATGGATTAAATTAACACCGCATAAGATTGCTCATCACACTAGAAAGTAAGCAAATCTTATCTTGGAACCCACATTTCATGTTCATTACAAACTTAAATTCACATATTTAATTCTCTATTCTTACCCATTTGCATCAGAAATTGATTTACTACAGATTGTTTTTTTCCCATTTCACTTCCTTTTCCAATGCTTACTGAACAACATTTCAGCGCATGGACATAGAATGCCACCATTAATGCAACCAAACTTGACAATTCTGACAAATGATAATTAAATTCAATCTAGCCATCTAATTTAATCATAATCCCGTTGAATTGTTAAATAGGAAGAGTGCAGGTACTTATTCCAGGAACAAAACTTTGCTGCATATATGTTACAAGCATGCCATACACCTAAAATGGTGCAGTAAAATTTTCACTTGGAAGTTAAAAACTAAGAAACACCAAACGATATACTATACCATAAGTCCACCTAGAATGCCATCTAGTGCAATCCGGTTCCAGCTATCAAAATAAGAATGAACAGCAAACCCAGTCTTTGCTGCAAGTCCTGCCGTAGTTATTGCCATAACAAAGAAATAGAAAACGAATCCCATCAAGCCAGTGAATCCCAAAATCCCTGCAATAACTCCGCCTATGATAGACATGAATGTACGGCTGAAAAAGAAGAAAGGCATAGAGGTTCAGAACATCCTCCAGTAAATTGACTTGAAAAGAATAGAGAAATACTTGTAGTTGCTAGAACTGGGATAGCAAGACCGAAATTCAATGATTAAAAAGTAGTGAGGTAAACGGCAAACCTGTAATTGATGATTCTTGCGTTGTTTTGCAAATTTTCAGCATTCAAAGCCTGTATCTCATCCAAGGAATCACTTGATTTCTTGTTTTGGGGACTAGAATCTTCATGGATTGCCATTGCAATATCCACCAAGACCGCTGAGGTTGGAAGAAACCAAAAAAGAAAATGATTACAACAAGCAAGCGCATCACTTACAAGAAAATCAACAAATAGCAGTGATACTAAGAAGCCCTTTGTATCTTCAACGTACATCTAATCTAAGTTCCCAAAAAAATTACATAGACTTGAACAGTAATTAAGAGAAACATCAAAGCGATCCAGATAGAGAGAAATATTTATGTAGGTAATGCAACTAAGAAATAGTTGAACCATCCTCGTGCAAAAGGTTGTCAAGTTTGCGTTCGACCAGAACAACAGCCTCAACTTTCAAGTCTCTATGGGATGAATCAACGCGAAGTGGACGTTTAAACGAGTAAAGACAAGCAAAGCCTTTAAAAGCAGAACGGATCTAACACGCAAGTATGAGGTGAGATACGCACAAGGAGGCAGTAAGGAACCAGCGAGTCCAGATATCAAATACCTCGACGGCGGGAGACGACGGAGCAGTGGATCGATCTAGGTGAGTTTTCCGGTCGCAGGCGAGCAGCAAGACTCGGATGCAGCAGATGCAGGGCAGGGCAGGTTTGCGGATGTGGGATGTGGGTGGGGTTGATGTTTTTGCTTTACCCGCCCCGAAATTAGTTTTGTTTTTGATGCGTAGGAAGGAAGGCCCAGCCCAAGTCTCATCTCATACATGGTTTGAGTTGACTTTGAGCCCATACACTAGGATTTTTATTTATTTTTTATTCGCTGCTCTGCTCACCAGCCACTACTGTCCGTCGTAGGACTGGTGATGTAAGTTGGGTAGGGTAGGGTAGTAAGCAAAAATACAATGGTTGAATGCATTTGCATTATCATGCATGGTAGGAGTAGGAGAGTCTGCTGCTGCTGCTGTGCTTGTCGGGGTCCTTCCTTCCTGCCGAGGAGAATTGTGACTGAGGGAGGTAGGCAGGGAGGACATTCGTCCTCCTTATCATCATCATCATCATTTATCTATCTATATCTACCTCGTGGCCTGCGGGGGTGAAGAAGAATATTAATTATATTTTATTAGCCGTGCTGCTGTTGTCGTCTGTCTGCTATGAAGGGAGGAAGTTCAATACAATAATACAACAACACACTACTGCAAATCATCAACAAGTGACAGACAGACAGACAACATTGATTCATTTAGGCAAGTTGATACTGTCAGTCAGTCAGTCAATAAAGAAAGCCAGGGAGGGAGGGATTCATTCATGCTTAGCAAAACCCGTCAGTCGGTCAGCCCGGTAGGTGTAGTGATATAACACGCTGTACAATCAACCCTCCTTCTATAAAGCTCATCTCGGGTATAAAATCTGTCAACTTGGTCGGCCTAGGAATACTACATATATATCTAGAAAAGATACACATCTCCAAATATGTCCATCTTCCTTCCATCCGCAGGTGAGAGAGCAAAAATGCATTGCCCTGCCCTTCCCTTCCCCTTTTTCTTCCTTCTTTGCTTTCCCTGGCTGCTCCTGCTCCTGCTCCTGTATCTTCCATCCCATCTCAAGAGCTAAAGCTACAAATACGCTCACCAATGCTTTTTGCCCTTTTTCTTTCTCTTGCTGTTGTTGCTGCTACCGCTGCCGCCACCTCCGCCACCACTGCTCTTAAAATCAAACCCAGGGGAAGTCTCAGACGTGCTGCCGCCAAAATTCTCAGATGTGCTGCTTTGAGTGGCATTTCTTAGCCATTCAAAGAGTTCCTCCTCCATCATTGTCTCTTCCGGATTAGGCGCCGCACCTCCTCTTTGCCCGAAACTGGCTCCCTTAGCACGACCATTCTTTGAGACAACACTTGTATTTACGTGAAAGGAAGGCTTATGAGCATTGGCAGGACACCTCAACCCCTAAAGGAAGTTTTCACCACACGGCAGGGAAAAAAAAACAATTCAGACAGGTTCAGTAATAAAATCACTGCAGTGCATTCAATTACTTCAGACAAGGGATGCTTGGCTTTCCATTTTGGAAAGCTTCACTATTAATAATCATACGAAAAAGTGCTCCGAAAAACCAAAAAAAAAAAAAAAAAGTATTTATAGCCCCAGAGGAGGAAAGGTTGCGACTTGCTAGACATCACCTGACAAATGTACCATTCACTTGCATCATATATCTTGCCATCCGCACACACATAAGCAGAGGGTGCTTCCACCTTAAAAACAAGCATGAATAAGGTTAGACTCTGACAGTCCACTAACGTTTTTGAAACATTGTAGCTAGCATCTTCTCATTGTGCATACCTGCTGCAATATTCCAAAGAACAGGGGTTTAGAGCCCTGTTCAACCCATCCATCCCCATCTTTAGCCTGATGAAAATCCTTGCATTCCTTCAATGTAATGTAAGACAATATGCCAATCAGAACTCTAGTGAGATGCACAGTATAGTTTGTATAGAAATCCAAGAAGCAGGTGCACAAAACAGAACAGGTTTCTTGTCGACAACATTCATATCCAAATTCAGCAACATGCAAAGTAGAAATTACCTGACACCATCTTGCCCTGGATTTTGCTTTCTTGGTATAAACCCACAAATGAAATGAGCCACACTTCCTGCATGCTATTCTTCTGGACTCTCCCATAAGATCGTCAGCATCAGCTTCAGGATGACCAAAGCTGGATTGAAACAAGCTGTGCCCTTTATGCTGGAAAGTTAAACAAAGAAAAACCTAATAAAGCGGCAGTTCATGTGTCAAGCTCATGCTTCTTTTTACATTAGAAAAACAGCAACTTCAATGAATCAAACATAGTGGTTTGCAAAGAGCAAATCACCGCAGATATTGTACGGCTCAATAAAATGAATAAAAGTGCAATCCAATGTAGATCCTCAGAAATTAATTTTAAAATAGTGGCGTAGGGCAAACCAAAAACCTTATTTGAGCTATTATGGAATTTACGAAAATAATTCAGCAACTCTTCCCTTCTCAATTCGTCATCATATTCTTTTCGCTTGGTGGAATCCAGCAGAACCTATAAAAAAATTTATCTTGTGTTCAGAATCATAATTTAAATAAAACTGTATTTTATACAACCATATTCGACCTAAAAATAAATCATATTCACCATAGAAAGAAAAGGAGGAAAGAACCATTGAGAATTACCTCATAAGCATTCTGAAGTCTCTTGAAAGCTTCAGCAGCCTTTTCATTGCCCATATTTTTGTCAGGATGAACAAGCATTGCCTACCAACCAAAGATAAGGTCAATTCTATCATTTTTAATTCACTCTTACAGCCTTGAGTTATAATGTCTCCAGGTTGTTACAGTGACTGATGCTACCCTTTATTACAAGATTAAAAGTTAATAAGGTTATGCAGGCATTCACCTTTTTCCGATAATCTCTTTTGATAACAGAGAGATCAACATTTTCAAATCGTGATAGACCCAATGCAGCATAATGATCTGAACAGTTTAACAACCTCACAACTTCATCTTCGGATGTCATTTCTGAATCAATTCCACTAGTAGAAGGGACTCCCTGGCTGCGATCAGGCAGGCCAGTAGCTCCTTTCTCCATGGGTGAAGAATGATTAGACTGATTAGGAGAGGGCTGTTGGCCTTGAACTCCAGCTGCTTGTTCTGAAGAGCTATTTGGCGCTCCTCGTTCACTTATTATATTCCTCAGGAAAAAGAGCAGAGCATCACTTGACACAAATGATAAGTTCATCCCCACAACTAAACCAAGCCATCCGACATAATTCCATGCACAATAAAGAGCATACGCACTTGTAATAAAAAGTGCAATGCGATCATGAGCCATCATGAATGTTAAGCCTGCATTTCACAAACCACCAACCTCCATGTTAATATTGCTAAATTCAAATGGTCACATAGTGAAATATAGAAATCGCATATAGACTATAAGGAAATTCTGGATTCTATAGAAAAGCACCTCCAAGGAAGATAATAAGTCCTGTAGTCCAGAAGCTTCCATAAAACCATAGAAACAACATGCCAACAAGGCCAATCAATAGAAATGCAGGCAGGAACCCAAGAAAAAATCCAACAGCAGCAGCTACAGCCTGCATTATCCATGATACAGACAAGAAACACAAACCCCAACGCAATCATCATATCCATATTTCCCGCATAAAATAAATAACTAATCAAGGTAGCATGGAATAGTTCTGAAATCAAAATCCCTTCAAGATCCGGGTAATGTATGACAATACATTCAAAATGAGTGCACATGACATACCAGCGTGCATAGAACCTTGTTGAATCCAGCCATGGCAATAACTGAAAGAACACTGCACCACAGAATAGAGAAGAAAGATGTTGTCCCCATGCGGAGGAAGGAATCAATGCCCCTTACTGCACAGTCCAACCAGACCATAAACAGAAGAAGCATTACACCCCCAATATGCGTAATCAGCCGGAATATTATAGGTTGTGCTTTCTGAATCTTCATTTGAACATAATTGCAGGCCTTTACGATGTTAGATGTTACCGAGACAAAGGTAGGTTTATGCCTCTGCACCCAGTTGGCAAATGACCTTGCTACAGAAATGGCTCCAGTCCTTATGAATTTAAAAACTACTGTTTCAGGGAAGTGAGTTTCATCCAAAGTATGTCTATGCAGACCATCAGATAAATTTCCAAGATCATCATTCGTATGATCTATGGGAGGAACATGGGGTAGTTCAGTTCCATCTCTTATATCTGGAGATTCAGATGTAGACATGCCATTCTTTCCTAATTCAGGATTACCATTGTATGGCGCATCACTGCTTGCACTTTTCCCACCTGTAGTCTTTCTGTCTTTTCTTTGAGATTCCCTATACTTCTTCCTACTTCCCCCATCCTGACTATGATTTATCTCAGTAGTGCTCTTTGTGGGAGGCACGGAATAGCTACCATTTGAAAGTTCTTCACCAGAATCCATCTCTTCGCCATTGACATTACCTCTATCCTGCTGGTTAGTCAAAGGTGAAAGGCCATGACTTGAAACTCCCTTTCTATCACTAGGTGAATGCAAATTCAATCCATTCTTTTGCCGGTGACCCCTTCGAGCCATTCTAATGCACAGTATTCCCAGTTACAGATAATGGAACAGTTAAATTTTAGGTCTTTATAAAGGGCAGCCTGACCAATAAGAATGAAATGAGTTCAACTACACTTCAAAGAAAATAATATAATCACTAATGAAAGCATTCGGTTACGCATAGTGAGGGAATTAAGGCAGATAGCTTAATTTAAGAGAAATAGAGAACAAATTTGAAATAGTTTGATATTGAGGACAAGGACAATCAAAGGATCAGCCCAAACAACCTTTTGCCATTAAACTATGGTAGTGATTGATCACAAAATGCATGTGAGGGAATATTTTGTTGAAAAATTTGAAGAACTTTCTATTCAGGAACAAACCGAATTGAAACTGAATTGTGATCAGTGCAAAACCAAGAGAAAAGTGACTGAAGCATCTGTAGGCTCTTAATCATTGAAAGCAAATATAAAATGGAGTCAATTACTGTAACCATATATTCACTTGCAAGTGCATTAATGCGCTATTCATTTTATGTTAAAAACATAAGGCAAGAATACTCATCTAGATTCCAGAATTGAATTACCAAGTGACATAAGACTATTGAAGAAGAAAGACCTAATTATACAACTGGGCAGCTCGGCCAGGGACTCGAAGCTTCTGCTTCGCCTTTTCAGAATTTATCATCTCTAAGGTCGCTTAAACTCAGAAAGTTCATCAATAGCCTAAAATCCTCTAAAAACATAAAGGTCAATTGCCTTCAAGAAACCGCGTAGCAAAGCCAAAATAAAAATAAAAAAATTGAGCAAAAACTCAAAACCAGCAACGAAACTAACACACAAACAAACCAGAGATGTTGATAATCAGTTGGCGGCGGCGAGCAGAAGCACCGAGATATAGAGGGGGGGAGAGAGAGGGGAAGGAGCGGAAACAAGAACAAAAAAGAATTTCCCTAAAGGGATGGATTACACTGGATATCGGAAGGGAACGCAATCCAGCAGCTGCAGCAAAGTAAATGAAGATAGACACAGACGGGGAGGGGAGGGGCAGCCCTCTATGGCGCTGGGTGTAGATATATATCTCTCCAATTTTGTCCCTCTTTCCACTTCTTCGTCTTCTCCGTGGAGCCCAACCAACACAGAGAAGGGAATAGAGAAGGAATAGGGTGTGCCCAGTAAATCGCAAAATGCAAATCAGGCAGCCACACCGAACCCAATTTTTTTTCCTTTTCTTTTTGTTTTTCGTTTTGTCTTGTGTTATAGAGCAGAGCGCTTTAGTGCTGAGTCCCAAGCCAGCCAGCCAGCGTCGCCCATGTGTTCGTAGGGGTTTTTATTTTCCTCTCATTAAGTCTCCTATTTGATCCAGAAGAGGACCATATTTACTATTTAGTACATGCATATCATGGCTAATTCTGCCTATAGCTATTGTTTATATTTAGATTTTAATTAAAAGTTTTTATACTTATTATTAATAATATATATTTTTAAATAATATTACTCCATAAAAAACCCTCTATAAAAACGAGCCCCAATTATTTATTAGTAGTAGTTATTATTCTACTCATTTGGTCAGAAGTATCGGCCATCAATTATTTCATACATATACACTTCAATTAATTTATTTGAATAGTTTTGCCTTTTCTTATCGTTCAAAATTTCTTTCAATAGATTTTTTTTCTTCAAATATATCATATTTAGTTTATATTTTTGTATACAAAACATTTTCTTAGTTCACGAAGAATATCATGTAGATAAAGAAATAATACTCAATTCATCCATAAAATTTGAACTCGTATGAACCGGTACAGATTTAATGAATATTATGGAAAGGATTTGTTGGGAGAAAAAAAGAAGTTGAGTTAGTGAGACATGGGAGGAAATTGAGTAAATGATGGTGCCAAATTTGCAAATAAATGGAATGATGTGTTTAAAATCATTGTGTTGTCGTGTATAATAGTGTGCTCTGATCTTGCAAACCCTTGTTGCCAAAGCCAAGCCATGCACGTCCGATTCTGAGGTGGAGAAGAAGGTGAATAAAAAGACTTTGACATGGAATTACTTTGTGGGAGTGAGTGTACTCTGAGAACGACCAGAGACATCCATAAATAATGAAGAGAAACAGGCAAGAAGAAGGATGAGGAAGAGATGAAATTTACCTCACAGCAGCTGCAGGGGAAAGATGATCAAGTTGACAGCCCCGTGGAGCGGAGGGAGGGAGGGGCAATAGGAGAGGGTAGGGATGGATGCTGCAGACAGAGAAAGTGAAGGTAAACCAGCAGCAGCAGCAGCCAACTGCAGGGAGGCAGGGAGAGAGAATGAATGAATGAATTGAAGGCCCCACGAGACACAGATGAACAAATAAATAGATAGATTCAATGCTGGTCTTCGCATGCCCATTTGCTTGCTGACTACTTCTTTTCCCTTTCTTTCCATGCACTCATATTCATAGCAAGAAGCAGCTGCAATTGAATATCGAGGAGGAGGAGGAGGAGGAGTGAGCTTCAACGCAGATATAAAGTCCTACAATGATATGATATGATTTGATATGGATATGATATATGCACACACATTCAATCCAAATTTTGGAATTCAGCACTAACTAAACTACCTTAGCATTTGTTCTAAGAAAACAGCGCAGACAAACCATGTCAGATAGATAGATCACTTCCATTCGCAAAACGTGATGGCTATGGCTGCTGCTATCCGTCAGTCAATATACACAACATAAAATCATACCAACCTGGAGAGATCAGAGTGCAGTCCACCCTGCCAGCTAGCGCCTCCAGTCTGTTTCTGACCATGATTTCCGCCCCTGCAAAAATATACACCCATCCAGTTTTAGGGTTTATGGTATGGATAGGATAGGCGCTGGATATTGCTCGAATTTAAAAAAGAAAGGCAGCACCAAACATTTTGCTATTGGTAAATAGCATCATATTCATATTGCACACTGCCAACTCAAAATTGCACGAATAAATACATACATACACACCGCCAACCTTTAGGAAGAAACCCATTGTCCGTTGATCCAATCTAGATGAGGCCTTAGCTCATAATGTTGAAACTGCAATGTCTCTTTTGTGGTATCAAAATAAACCTTGTAATATCCCCTCTCAAGGGCATTGCAGATTTGCCCAACCCGCCACCCATCATTGTACCAAGCATCAACTACCTCACACGACCTGAATGGCTCTCTTCTCTGAACTACAGGAGGGCACGGCCTTATGCAAAGACCATCAGCTTCTTGTTGGTGCAGTTGGGTTCCATCTGCTGCTTTCAGTGTTTGGTATTTTACCAAATATTTTCGGATTCCCAACGGTTTTACAATAGAGCCTGGATACCAGAAGCAGCCGCAGCCTTGCTCATCACTTTTTACCTCTACTTTTGCTCCATTCATAAATTTTTCTTCTACACCATTTCCGTCATCCTCTCCCTGACACTTTCCAAGGTTGTCCGTCACAGGCACTTTTGACTTATTCTACACAAATATAGAAAGTGACTCCTTGTTAGCTCTTACAAATTATCAAATTACTACACATGCTTATCTTCTAACAAGATAAATGCAGGAGCACATGGAAACAAAGTTAAAGTTAATTACAGAATTACATACCCTGGCGGCCTTAATCCATTTCCCACCAATCCATTGTTGATGAGGCCTCAAACTAAAATGTTCAAACATAATTTCCTCATTTGTGGTCCAGAAGTATACAGCATACTTTAAACCATCAACAACTTTGGAAACAAGGCCCACCCACCATCCATCATTATACCATGCATCAACATTTTCAAGCATTTTGAAACGATCTATGTGCAGGATTTTAGGGGGGCAAGGCCTAATATGTGACGCAAATGCCTTCTCTTGCAGCTGTTTAGACTCGTCTTCTGTTTTCAGTGTCTGGTACTCAACCAGATATATACCACAAGGTAAGGAGCACACTATCACGGCAGTGTACCAAGAACCATGGTAGCCATCTTCATCACTTCTAACCTCCACCATCAACCCATTTTTGAAAAACACCTCTGATGCCTTTCCACCGCGCTTCCTCTTTAATTTAATCTTGTTGGACCTCAATTTAGCATCGCTTATATTTACCTATAAAGCGAAAGTTAGAACAAAACAGAGACAAAGAATGTTATTTACTGCAAGAAACAGAACAAGTTTACACACCTTAGCAGCTGGAAACCATTTGCCATCAATCCATTCCTGATGAGACCTCAATTTACAATGTTCAAACACCATATCTTCATCTGTATGCATAAAGTGAACCATGTACTTGCAACTGTTGAAAACCTGGACAATGTAACCCTCCCACCAACCATCATTATACCATGCATCAACTTTTTCAAGATAATCGAAAGGCATAACCCTTTGAACAACTGGGGGGCAATGTCTGATGCATGATATATCAACTTCTTCAATAAGAAGTTCAGTCTTATCATCTGTTGTCAATGTCCTGTACTCCACCAAGAACTTGTTATTTCCCAGCAATTTAACAATAACGGCAGTAAACCAAGAACCTTGAAAACCTTCCTCATCACTTTTGACCTCAACCAACATTCCCTCATTGAAGTTTGTCGCAGATGCATTCCCACTACACTTTATCCTGAGTATCAAACCCCTCGACGTCACTTTTGACACACTTGGCTTGTTCTAAAATTTTAGAGATTCCAAGATCAAAAAGAAGCGAGTTATGAAAATGAAACTAGACAGAAAAAACAACAATACCAAGATTGTTTACATACATATACATATACATATATGAGAATTCATTACACAAAATGGAGCTTGCATGCATACATAGATACTCTCATGGACAGATTTTTAATTTGCAACTCTGTTTTGCTTGGTGATTACGATACCAAGAAGGAACTCAAAAGTTCAATTCACCAGTATCTTTGTTTGCTTCACAACATACACGTTTCTCTGTTCTTTATAACGCTTCAGGAGCATACTTGTGTAAAAGCAACACTTGAAAACTAACACACACGTGCAGAAAAAGCATCATATCTCAGGTGACTTATATATTAATTCATTAACAAGCTCCTATTTATCTTTCCGGCTAGCAGTTGAAAAATAGTAAAAGCGGAAAGGCAACTAGAAAATAAAATAAAATAATCTTTGATGTAATGCATGGCATCATCTACAAATGACTTACTTACAGTCTTGCATCATATTCATATCCAGTGTATTCATTATTTGGTTCGCACTGACAGAATTATTTTGAAGTTGGTGAGTTGAACTAAAGGGGTAATGGATTAGTGGAAGTGATTAGCAACTATTTCAAAAATTAAAATCATCATGATGATGGGATGGGATCGGATGCTCTTGGGTGTTTGCTAATAAAAGTAGGTAGCAGTGGCAGCAGCATAGATGAATACGTATCTTAACAAACAATTCAGAGAAACAAATGACGACGTTACGTACTAGCTCAAGTTGAGAAAGCGGCGGGTGCCACGAACCATCAACCCACTCCCTAAGAGATCTAACCTCCCACGGTTCCAACTTATCAACACGAGGATTACTACTACTCTTATGGGCGTGGGCGTGGGCATGGGCGTGGGCGTCGCCCTCCTCAAACGACACCGCGTACCTCGATTTCTCGAGTATATCCACAATTGTGCCCTTCCTCCACCCCTTATTCTCCCAACAGAAACCCTCCACGAGTTCGCCAACTTTAAAGTATCTGTGCAGCTCCGAAGGAGGAGTCGGCCTAACGTCCTCCGCCCTGACGTATTCCCTAAGCGGCGGCGATGTCGGGTGGCCCTCAAACTCGCTCAACGTATCAAATTGTACGTAAACTTGCGGGGGAGAGGAGCGGAGGAAGGTGGCGGGGTACCAAAGCCATACAAGGGTGGCCGCTGCTGCATTGCCAATGGGCTTGAGAACCTCGATTGTTTGGCCCTTGTGGAAGAGGGATAGGTTTGGGGGTTTTTGAGGCGGAGTTGGTCTCATGGTGGTGAGTAAGCCCTAAATCATAGAAAGTGCGCAGCGTGATTGTTCTGTTCTGTTGTGATCGAAGATCGTAGCAGAGTACCAACAAATTACCAATGAAATGAGAGACGGACGATATGACCGCACCACCGGCCGGCCAATGGAAGGATAAGCGTTTGGACTGGACTGGGCCGGCCCGGGCCAACGGTGGTTCAGACTCTGTGTTTACTCCATTCTAGCTTCTCCTAATTTATGTTTTATTTATTTTGTTTTTTCTATTCATCCATCTAAATAGTCTCAAAAGAGATGAAAGAATAACCGCTGTAGAAGTACGTGTTTCATTGTGAAGTTTTAATTTTTGAGTGATACAATTCACTTGGAGTCAAATTATCGTAGTTTTATAAATTTTGTTTGACCTACACTCTTCTCTAAAAATATATATTAATTTATATTTTTAAAATATTAACAATATTATTCATATAAAAAAATAATAAAATTATATTATAATTTATTATTAATAATATACTAGCCTAAATAACTATGTTTCAAATGAAACAAATAGATCATCTATTGCACGAAAGAATATTAATCTTTTCTCAAAATCAAATTTCAGTGAATGAGAAATAAATGCAATAAAATATTATCATTTATATCACATTATTTAATAATACGTCGAACAGAACGGCAGGCTTTTAGATCGGACATTATACTAAAATTGTAACTTTTTAGATGAAAAATCCGAAAAAAATTATTTCCATATTGAATAAATATAATTGAATAAATATTCATATATATTGTAGACAAAAAATTGTGTTATTTTTAATAAACACAAAATTTGTACAAATTATATTTGATTTGAATTTAAAGTGGGTCATATTCTCTAAATGAGTCCTTTGATTCTCCTTCCAGATCGATTTGTTTTCCAAGTTAGTTTTCTATGGCTTCTTTGATCCGAAAAGATTTGGTCTTCGGTTTGATTTTGCCAAACTTTGGAGAGCTTTGGTCTCCGTGCAAGCAATTTGATCGTCGGCTTTGGATTTGATGTCCTCTTTGGACGATTCGAGCCTTTGATCTTTGATTTGACTTTGCTACCTTTTTGAGAGCTTTGGTCTCCGTATAGGCGATTTGATCGTCGGCTTTGGATTTAGTGTCTTCTTTAGACGATCCGAGGCTTTAATCTTTGATTTGGCTTTGCCACCTTTTGGAGGATTTTGGTCTCCATGTGAGTGATTTGATCATCGGCTTTGGATTTTATGTTTTTTTTGGACGATCCACGGCTTTGATCTTTGCTTTGGCTTTGCCGTTTTTGGAGGGATTTGGTCTCCGTGTGGGCGATTTGATCGTTGGCTTTGGATTTGATGTCTTTTTTGGACGATCCGAGACCTTGATCTTTGCTTTGACTTTTGCCTCTTTTAGAGGGCTTTGGTCTCCGTTTGAGCAAATTGATCGTTAGCTTTGGATTTGATGTTTTCTTTGGAAGATCCGCGGCTTTGATCTTTGGTTTGACTTTTCCGTCTTTTGGAGGATTTTGGTCTCCGTGTTGGCGATTTGATCATCGGCTTTGGATTTGTTGTCTTCTTTAGACGATCTGTGGCTTTGACCTTTGCTTTGGCTTTGCCGCTTTTGGAGGACTTTGGTCTCCACGTGAGCAATTTGATCATCTGCTTTGGATTTGGTGACTTCTTTGGACGATCCGCGGATGTTTCCTTTGCTTTGGCTTTGCCGCTTTTTGAGGACTTTGGTCTCCGCGTGGGCAATTTGATCATCTACTTTGGATTTGGTGTCTTCTTTGGACGATCCGCGGCTTTGATCTTTGGTTTGGCTTTGCCGCCTTTTGGAGGACTTTGATCTCCCTGTTGGCGATTTGATCATCGGCTTTGGATTTGTTGTCTTCTTTAGACGATCCGTGACTTTGACCTTTGCTTTGGCTTTGCCGCTTTTGAAGAACTTTGGTCTCCGCGTGAGCAATTTGATATTTGGTGACTTCTTTGGACGATCCGCGGATGTTTTCTTTGCTTTGGCTTTGCCGCTTTTGGAGAACTTTGGTCTCCGCGTGAGCAATTTGATCATCTGCTTTGGATTTGGTGTCTTCTTTGGACGATCCGCGGCTTTGATCTTTGCTTTGCCTTTTCCGCCGTTCAGAGGGCTTTATCCTCTATGTGGGCGATTTGATCATCGACTTTGGATTTGTGTCTTCTTTGAACAATCCGCAGCTTTGATCTTTGAGGATGTGGATTTGGTGTTCCATAACGCTTTTGGCGGCGTGTCCCTTTGATTTTTGGATCAAAGAGGGCCGAGTTGTTGCTTTGGTGAAGAATGCGATGAACACCTCGAAGCTTTTGGATGAACTTTCGATGCTCTTCCTTGGCTTTGATGGACTCTTCAATAGATTTTGGAGCTTTGATCCTTGAAGAGGTGGATTTAGTGCTTCATAACGCTTTTCGAGGCGTCTCCCTTTGACTTTTGGATCGAAGAGGGCCTAGTTGATGCTTTGTTGAAGAACGCGATGAACATCTTGAAGCTTTGTGAGGAACTTTGGAGACCTTTCCTTGGCTTTGACGAATTCCTCAACAGCTTTGAGAGCTTTGATCATTCCTCCGGCTTGGACATACGACGAAGAACGTTAACATCATCGATTCGTCAACCAATATTGGATCATTTGTCCAAATCAGTGACTTTCGACGAAGAACGCTTCGAAGGACACGAAGAACAATACAGAGAGAGAGAGAGTCTAGAGACTTACCCTTTCCTTGAATCCCTGATGCAACTTTGGTGTGTCAAATGAACTGACCATGGCTCCTATTTATAGGGATGGGTGGCTGATGACTCCAAATGTGAGCATATTCTTAGCTTGACAAAAATGTGTATTACTCGAATTTCTGTATAAGAACCATCAAAATAATTCGTAATCGGTATACAATATTGATTTATATCACTAGGCATGATCCAGAGTTCGTTGTTGAGATTATTAACGATTTTTGCCCTCTTAAGCGGTAATCTGGAACCAGAAAATACTAAGGCATGAGAGGCAAGCGGCCACCTTCACAGCCCGTAGGCGATAGCCTCTCCCACTTGCAAGCGACAGTCCATATACCCACCATTGCAGACTATCACCAGATTTCAACTAAGTACTTCAATTGCAGCGGTACAACCATTCCAATTCCAGCCAGCACAAGTGAGCCGAGCTGCACTGATGCCCTCCAGCTCTCCAGCAAGCGAGGAAGATGTGTGCCCTTAACCTTCAACGCAAGTGAAGCGGGCACCCTGGGAGTTATGGCCAGCAATTGCTTTAACAAAATAACTACCAGCAACCGTCTAACTGCCAAGCGGTTGGAACTGCCTAACAACTACTTGCAACCGTCTCTTTACACCTGCTATAAATAGGGCCAGATATCTTTATGTAAAATGATCGAGTTTTTGGTGATTTCTGCATACTTTAGCATTCGTCATCTTCCTGTTTCCGAGAGCTCCAACCCTGTAAGGGAGTTCTCCACATGAATGACCAATGGAGTAAGGGTCTTCCCTCTCCTTTGGTCACGTCTTTACTGCTTTATTAGATTAGATTACTGCTTTCGTTTACAGCTTTGTAGTTCTAATCTTTCACGCTTTCATAGTATATAAATAAATATCATTCATTTCTTCAAACTAAATTCTTTCACAATTTTCCACACTTATATAAATCAAGTTTAGAGAATTTCATTTCACTGGTATAGAGCGAGAGAAGAATTGATTATCTAAGCCTTGTTATGCGCCAAAAGCGGTCTCAAGATAGTTCAAAGTAGTTAAGTACGCGGGAGCCTTGTTGACCTGCTTAACTGCTGTGCTAAATTCGATTTTGATTAAATAATAGTAACATCAGGTGGTAAAGCCACTAATGAGGCAGAAATTGGGAAAATTAACGGGACATAGACGGAGGTTTATTAGGTCGCAGAAATTCTTAGTGACAGTAGGGTTTCTTTCTTATAATGTCTTAATTCTGGGTGTCATTGAAGTCTTGTTGTAAATCCCCCATGCCAAAATTCCAGTGTGATGAGTTCTTTACAATTTAGTTTATATAATAACAACACCTTTCTCCCATCATTTCCATAATATACATATACTCTTCCGATAACACACTTACATCATTCGCTTACTACATCTAGGAAAATCTATCCATTTAGTAACGCACAGATCAGATACAACACCTCTCATTCACTCTAATTCGCTCATATACATATATATATATATAATGTGCCGCTCACTTATGCCCCGATTCTCTGGTAACCGCGATTCATCCATGCCCCGATCATCTGGTTCCCACTTCCGCTCATGTCCCGATCATTTGGTTACCACTGGCGCTCCACCTATCGCTTTTCCTTCACTCGTTTCCGCTCACCTCATCTTTATTGCTTTATTTACCGCTTTCAGTAGTTAAATTTCGGTCCCGCTGCAAACAGACTTTTTCTTGTATTCTTCGTCGCTTTCCTCAAGATTTTCACCGTTGAATTTCATGACTTAAAATCCTTGTGTTCGACCTGGAAAACTCACCAGTAAAAAGAGTATAAATAATTGTGATAACTACTCAGGGTCTACAACCACACAATTGCTATATCTGATCATTTTCCTATAAAATCCTACTCATCAATTTTCGAATAAAATTCCTTGTGAATTTGTATGCAAATTACAATAACAAATTTGGTTATCAATGGCTTCGGCTTCCTTTTTAACGGTGCCACGTGGCGCATTTTGATTGGCTAATGAGAAGATTTTATAATCTTTTATTTTCCATCGGATGCTCTTTTTCATTCTTGACGATTTTGATTGTGCACCTTCCTTTCTCGCCAAAATTTTTATATCATTGTCATTTTTCGGAAAATATTAATTTATATACTTTCTTTATTTACAAGATTAATTTATTTTGCTATCAAATTTATTATGGCTCTATTTATGTACTTAATATTTGTACGATATCTTCCATTTTAAGCAAATTTTTGCATGATTGATATTTATTGTACAAAAATTAACATATGTGCATAATTAAATACCATATATTTATTTTATTAAAATTTTATTTTCTTCCAAAATACATAATATTTAATTGATTTTAAATATATATTTTTAGTGTCTATATATATAGTTCTAATTAGGGTTATTATCATAATTACTATTGCTTTCACATTCTCAATTCTTAAAATAGGTGTGTTTCTTAATTACAATTATTTATTTATCTTTGAAATGTTAACTAAGGAAATTTTATTATTCGATCAAGTGTAAAAACTTATAAATAGATCTAACCCTGAGCCTTCAAAAGATATATATATATATATATATTTATTTTTTTCCCTCCTTATATTTTCTTTCAAAAAATTGAAATAATCTCATTTCATTATTTTTAACAATTATTATACATTGTCTTGTTCTTTAGCCTTTAAATTATGGCGTTGATTTGAAAAAATAAAAGTTATTCTACATTTGAAAGAGCTGCAAGTACATTGGTACTTTACCAATATTTTATTTTATATAGTAGAAATCCGCAAGTTATTTTATTTATTATATGAAATTATGTTGTATTAAATTAAAATATATACAACTCACTTGTTTAAAGTTGATGTTTGATTATACATACTCATTTGATTATACAAATTTTATATAAATAAAAAATAAAAATAATTAATCACTCCAATCGGAAATTGATTCCAGTCACGAGAAAGTTTGCAATTGTGCCGGAATGTAGAAGTCACTCTGCAAGTTCGTCGGAGAAAGACACTAGAAGCGCACTGCCAGTTGCCAGAAGAACTGTTGTCACTTGTTATGGTCGTTGTGGATCAGTTTTGATGTCTGGGTTGCAAATCAATGTAAAAACTAAACATGAACAGGAATGTATCCCAATTTGATTATGCTTTGATTTAATTCAATTGTTTCAATGTGTTGTTTCTTTGTATTGTGTTTTTTATATTTCCAAAGTAACATTTGTTAATTAATTGTTTATTTCAATTTATTTTCGGTTATAATAATTTGAGTTTATTAGATTATTTGCTTCGGCTAATTCATAGCTAAATTTTAAAAATTCAAAATATAAATTCACAATAATAATATTTCAATTTATAATTTTGCATAAAAATTAAGTATCAGATCATTTTTTTTTAAAAAAAATACTAATTATTTAGTTATTTATTTTATTTGAATTTTGTATGATAAAAGTTTAGTTGTAAATGTCGTTTTATACCCATAAAAATGATAAAATATATTTATTATTTATTTTTTGAAGTAATAAATAAAATATGATGCATTTGATGTATTTTTAATAAAGCACAACGATAATATTTTGAATGGTTGTGTTAGGTATGTTTTTTTTTTTTTTTTAATTTTAAACTTTGAATTAAAATTTTTGGTTTGTGATATATTAATTGAACAACAAGTATTTTATTTAATAATTTTGATAGGGAAAAGAATTTAACGAATAATATTGGTGGAACATATTGGATTGGATTATACAGGGGAATGGGGACACATGATTAGACAGACATCACATAAATGGGCGCCGGGAGCAAATCCAAATAAGACTAATTCTATCATTCCAATGAAGCCCAGAAAGAGTGAGCCTAGCGCAGTCCGGCCCATATCTACACTCAGTAATTGTTTCACATATGCTAATAATAATACTAATTATTATTAAAAATATGATTGTTTAAGCATTATATATACATTCAATTCAATGCAGGCATACCCATCGTTGTTTGTCAAACACTCTTCTCCGTTCGCAGCCCGCTATTCCTTTCTTTCCCCTTTCTTGGAAAGCGGAGGAGCAGACGAAGAAGAAGGAAGCCGCAGCAGCAGCAGCAAGCTGCAGAATATACGGCCGCATCCCATATTCAATTTTCTCATCTCGGGCACTTGAATCCAACAAAACATGTTTTTCAGTGGTGATCCGTCCACGAGGAAACGGGTGGATTTAGGGGGTCGGAGCACCAAAGAGAGAGACCGTCAGAAGCTTCTAGAGCAGACTCGATTGGAGAGGAACCGGCGCCAGTGGGCGCGTCAGCAAAATTCTGCTGCTCTCAAAATTCAGGTTTCCCCTGTTTCCCTGGACTTTGATTATTCGTTGATCTACTCCATATTTAATCGAGCCGTCTTCTTTAGTTAAGCATTCGATTGTTCAATTCTAATCACTAATTGGAAAACGGTATGACCTAGCTCAGTCCTTGAAGAATGCAGGGCACAAACAAATTAATGAAAATATTTAGAATAGACTAAGCTATTGGATAAATTACTTATCATATTATCATTGTTACAACTTACGGTTGGGTTGGAATGGAATTTTTGTTGTAGCCTTATTCAATAAATGCACGTATATGTGTCATTAATTCTTGAGTGAAATGCACCCGAGGAAGAATCAACGACTAAAATGATAAATTATTTCAAAGAGATTTATTGTCTGTAGTCTTCCCCTTTTATCGTTTCTGTTGCTCTCAGGCCAAAACTGGGAGTGAAATATCTGAGCTATTCGGCTTAAAGATACTCTGAGATGGTTGTCACTCAATCTTAAAAATGATTGCTAGAACTAAATTTGGAGGTGCTTTGATTTACATTCACGTTAATCTTGAATTCTTGATCCATTTCAACATTATTATCTCTATTGTATAGATTCAAAGCGCACACTACATTTTTTCAATGAATTGAAGGAGCAATCTGTCATTGGATAGTAAAAATATGAACTTTTGTCGAAAAAGACATTAAAATATTTTGAAAGGTTCCATCTTACCCAGTATAGATCTGTAAACAGAAAAATAAGTCGGAAGGAATGGGGCTTCTTGTGTTGGATGACAATCAAGATCCCTTCTTTGACTGAATCCCACATTAAGAATAATTTTATATAACAAATAAGCGTGAATCGATGTGATTACATCCTTGATGCACTCTCTAGATTGTTTTTTAATAAATGATACATCAATGAAGGATAAGTCTAATTTCATTGTGTGAGCCCAAGGAAAGCCTACAATACTACAATTAAGTGTCTAAGTAAGTTTGCTTACTCAAATCAAGTGAAAAGAGTTGCAAATTTAATAAAATTGTTAATGAATGGATAGAATAAGTTTAATAGAGTCCAATGTAAGAAAACAAGATCTAGAACAATGTGCTAAACAAACAACACAACTAGAGCTACGATACCAGAAGTTTAAAAGTAACTTGAGTTACCTTGCCTAAAACTTGTTGGAAGGAATGGTTTAATGATTTGTCAATCTAATCAAACATTGCATGATCGTATCAGAGATAACAGTGAATTAAGAATTGCCCATATCTCCAAAAGAACAATTCCAAGAGGAGGGAACATGGTGTGAAGGGAGTTGATGCCAATCCAAACATGTTCATAATATACCAATAATTGGAATGACATAAACAACTTGAAATTCACAGAATTGACATGTAATGCCTGGAACCTTCACTGAAAGCTGGCGTTACATGCTAGCACTTGATATTGGACTTCGATTATCATTGTATTGTGTCCGGCTCATATGGCCTGGTTTCCGTGAAAGCAGATCCCTAGTGGTTGGTGGAGGACTACGACTCTGTAGGGTTTCATCTATTGTTCACTTTGGAAAAATTCTAGCCCATGTTGCTCAGTAGGCACCTTTAAGAAGTGTTACCATGTAACAGTATTTAAAGAAAAGCTTTCTTATTCCATTCTTACATATTTATATACATACTTTGAGCTAATAACTTTATTTGGTTTCTTCCTAATAGATTTTAGTCCTTATTTATGGTCCTGTTCACAATTTGGTAATTTAAAGATAATAAATATTTTAGTGTCTTAATCTAGATATGAACTTTTGAACTCTCTTCCTCAAGTTGAAACCGCACAATGCTTGATACTTCAAGTTCAACCTAGCTCTCAGTGTTACTTTGTCACCTTCGTAGTGCTGGAATGTACAGTGGTAGTGGCAGCAGGGAGGCACCAGAGAAACTTGAGACCATAAAGAAGAGCTACATTCTATAATTATGCTGATTAAAAAATTTACAGAGAGGTTATGGGAAAGAGAGCCACACAAATTTGAATTTCATAACAATAGAGATTAGCATATCAATGGCTTGAAGTTCTTGGGAAGGGTGGGGGAATGACTCCACTTTGGAAGTGTTATATGAGAATAGGATATTCAACATATTAGCATAAGTGAGGTTACACGCATATATATACCCAACTAAGAGTCTATCCAAACCAATAAACTATGCTAATCCAATTCCATTATGCTAGTTATCACCTTTTAGCTTTGCAAGAAGATCAAGTTTATCACCAATTCTCATCAATTATTATATCCTTATCATCTCACAGATAGAGTTTGCAATGGCTTTACATGCAACAGACCCTGAGACGACATTTTCTTTTTGCTGTGCCAAGATATAAGATTGTCTCCTGCAGAAACACTAAATGAGAATAGGGCATTCTATATATGAACATAAGTGAGGTTACACACACACCCACATATATTGCCACCACGAACAGTCTATCCAAACTGATAAACTAGACTAATCCTATCCTATATAATAATAATACAACTCCACCTAAACTATATCTCATCAGTCTTCTACACTATATGTTAACTATATAGTCAACAAGAACGAAATAATGGGAGCTAGTACAATTAGCCTGCAATTAATTTTCTTCTCATCGATACATGCAACTTAATTTTGAACAACCCAATTAGTATGCCTGTAACTTAAAGTATTTAGTGTTTCTTATTTAAGAAGAGAAGATAACATAGCATAACACAATAGTAAACTGGATCATATAGTCAGCTTCTTAAGTTATAATAATCCTGAATTTATATATAACTAACATATTGTCAGTATAATTCCTGGAAATAATGGCAAATATTGCAGTATCTTATTATAGAAACAATAAGTAGGAATGGGAAGAGACGAGTCTACCACTCCTGTCATAGTTTGCCTACAGCCTGTTAATCTGAGTATAATACTTCTTATCATCCTCTCAATACACTCTTTAACATGCATTTCTTACTTCATGCAATAAATCTGTTTGATTTTGGCACGTGCATGAAGAACCTGTAGGATTGAGATAGACTCTTGTAATCTTTGTCATGTCTCTAAACTTTTCATTTTGAATGTAGTGTTTATGTTCATGTACATTATTCTATGTTCTTGTGGGATGCTGTGACAATCTTCTTCAGATTATAGATCATGACCTCTTATTGCTTACCACTTACAGAAATGCTTTAGAGGGAAAAAGGTGCTGGAGGCTGAACACTGTAAAGTCCGTGAGAAGTTTTTCTTAACCTATGGGCAATCTTGCCAAAACGTCAATAGGTAGTCAATTTGATTCTTATATTATTTAGTGCCTTTTTGCTTCTATATTTTAGATTGTGTCTGCAGCTGAACAAATTGCTTTGTTTTCATTTTGCATTGTAGTTGTAGCATTTCTTATCCTTCTTATGATGTCATTTTTGTCTCATAATTGCTTCTGCCATACTTCTATTCAGGCAGTGCTTTGGCGCCGATTCAGATTTTGTTAATCAGCTTCTTTTCTTCTTTAACCCAAGACACGCGGCTGATTTTTCGGCTCTTGTTGAGATATGCCGATTGCTTCTAGAATATGTTCATGACAGCGGTGCGTTTCCTCGGGTACCATCAAATATCTTTTTATTTATTTTGTGATATGGTAATCATTGATGGCGAGTACAATCATATGATTGAACTTCAAAATTTCCAACTTTGCTGTTGACTTAAATATGTTGTGCATCCTCGTGATATTTTCTTAGTATCACATTTGCCATGATTTGTAGACACCTTCTGTTTTCTTATTTATTATTATTATTATTATTATTGTTTTCTTTAATGTGGTAGCTTTTTGTTTATTCCCCCAACTAATACTAATATTTAATTTCAATGGCTGAATGGTTTATATTTACTGGATTCAATCTAAAACTTAGTTATCATATGATGGGAACAAGTTGGAGGGTGGCCACATAACTGCAATATAAATGTTATGATCAGGTTTTGACTAAACAATTGTTAACCTTTTGACATTTTCTTTAAGAAGTAATAACTAAGATTCATTAGTTTGAATAATAAGATATCTTCCAAAGTTGGAGCTGCTTGCTGCATTTGTACTCTTCAATTTAATCAATTGTTTGGAGTCTTCTTTTCCCATAGCCAATTGCAAAGGCTGCAGCATAATGGAATTATTCTCCTTAACTCAGCCTTTTATATGACCGTCTTAATTACAAAAATTATTGAATTCTGCAGTGGTAATTTGTTGTTTAGCCTCCTAGACAAGGGACCTATCTACTTGAGATCCTTATCATTCTCGGTTGGATTCTCTATGATGTCTCTTTTGTGTTATATAAATATTTATATCTGCAAAGCAGCCTTTCTGCATATAAAAGTGCATTTTTTTTTATTTTTATTTTTAAGAAAAAATCTATTTGTAGTGCCATTATTAAACGTTAACACATCATCTCTCCTATTAATCATTGAGCTCCATACATTGCTATTCCCCGTATTTCTTAATCATGCTTTTCAATAATCTGTTTTTTGTTCTTTGTTCTGCAGCTTCTGTCTTTTGATAATTATGCAAGGGTTTTGAAGTTTCTATTTATTAATTGTATAACATGTTTTTCATGATAAGCTTTAGGACTTTTAATGTAAAATGTCAATGGCTTTTTACTGCTGCTCTGTATTTGTTTTACCCAGGTTTTTTATTTTATTATTATTATTTTTTAAGCAGGGGATATGGTGAGCCTCTTTGCAGGCAAGGATTACTCATCCAAGCGTAGTCTGGTTGAGTACAGGATCAAGCGTCTTGCTTATGTTTGCCTTTATGCAATCTATGAAAATAGGTCTGTTTGCAGGGTACTTTTTCATTCACTTTCCCTACAGTTTAAGATAAACACTCTTCAAATGTTTGCAGCATGGAATTGCATGCTAAATGCTTGTCTTGCTATCTGAACGCCATTTATTCGAACTTATATATAACGTTGTTACTTGTTAGCTATATTCTAAACCAGGAATCACATATGCATTTTTCATTTATAATTTCACGAATTACCTGGTTGGATTTAAGAAATTTATTACATACCAAAAAAGAAAAAGGAAAAAGTGCAAGCTTGTTCCATGAAAAGCAATTTGTTATATCCACAACAGGATGCCTGTAAAAATTGAGAGCATACATTTTCTCAAAGTAAATTAGCGGTAAAGTCATTGTTGAAGAAAACTTGTGAAGACTACTGCCACTCTTCAACTAAGTAGGCGTTGTTCCCACTTTTCTTAGTGCATTGGACCAAGTTGAAGTCATAGGTTCACGCCATGTTTTCATATGTACTATACAAAATCTGATGGAAATAGAGTTTCTGATCCTGTATGTGCCTATCAAGAGAGAATCTCTGTCTCAGAAAAAAGCGGCACAAACATTGAGAAGCTGCCCTAGGATGCTGATCTAGCTGTCAGAATTCAATCACATCGAATTTTCTTTTCCTTTTGTTTTCCAAACTAATTCCACTTTTGTCTCTCAGTTAATAATTTGGGGCACATCAGTCAGTGACTGGAAGAAAATGTGGTTTCTCTCTGGATCTTTTGGCTCAGTTCTTTTTGAATTTTTTTTTTCAATTCTTTACTATGCAATCCCCACTATTCCCTTTAAAAATACACTATTTTTTCTCAAAAAAATCACATCAAACCAAATACAAACAAAACACACCCTTTGCCTTTTCAGTTTTTTGGTTAATTTCCAATATATCTGTAGTCCTGGTTACAGATGTCATGTGGAAATAATTAACAAGTCTATTACATTCTGATAGTTAAAATCTGAAAATAGTTTGGGTTATTGATATCGATGAGTTCCCAACAAGTTACAGGGAGCTAGATAAATTCTTTTCTGGTTATGATATATTTCAACTTGTTATATTCTTGTGCAATTTATAGATTAGTCTTGTGATTGGGATGAATATTAAATAATGCATGAGGCTGTTTATGTACTCCTGTAAGCATATGAGATGTCCCTGTCAATTTGTTTTTACAGGAATCAATTGGAAGAACAGTTAAAATTTGCACCGGTCTTGCTAGAGACAACAATGATTTTTATTGATCATAGGTTTCCATGGGCATGCAGCACAATCTGCTATTTATCCCAAAGGAATATATACTCTTTGTTCAAAGAAATAATCCTTGTGGGGCAGGTATTTTTCTCCAACATGAGATTCTGTTATGATGTCTTTCAATGTGAATGCATGCCTCTATGATTAACGTATATTTTTTTCTTTCATAATTTATATTGTTCTAGTGAAATAACGCATGCCGTGCATGAACCAATAGAAATATTTTCAGTTGCCCTCTATAGAAATTTACTTACTTTCGTAGTTCACTAGATTACAAGCCTTAGTTCAGTTTATGAACACATTTTGTGCTTTCTTTGCTAACTTGTCATCTATGCGTTGAGGTAGTTGACTTGTGGAAAATTAATATAGTGGTGACCCTCTCATATATGCAAGAAATCCTTTGAAATTTGAGGGCTTGAAAGAGGACTTCTTTTTGTAGCAGATGCAGTAACCTATTGACTATTAAGGGCTTGTCCCTCCTTGAATTCACATTTAGTATAATTATAATTATCATTAAATTTATTGTCATTTCACAGAATACCTTCTTGGCTGAGTATAACTTAATTTTCTTGCAATGAGGTCTAACAGTTCCCATTTATTTAGATTGTGTTTTTCCTTACTTTCCATATGGGGACTACTGGACCGTGCAGTTTATATTTCATCAGCTTGGTAGTACCAATTTTATCATGCATAAGTTTGTATATTCATATGAGGTGGAAATTGTGGTTGCATAAGTTTCTAATTTTCTATGAAAGTTTTTCATTTTTCTTTATAATATTTTAATCGGTTTCAGTTTAGTTGGCGACTTATTTAACCCACTTTAACTTCATGTAGAAAAATCTTCGAGGTTCTACTGCCGTTATCTCTTCCTTGGAACATGTACTTGCCCTTATTATTGGCCATGTGGATCAAGCATCTTGTACTTGTTCGAACACTGATCCTCAATGGAACATATCATCCCAGATTCTTGTAATTCCTTTCTTGTGGCAGCTGTTTCCACAGCTGAAAGAGGTAATTTTCTGTCACACTATTATATTTCATTCTTATAATCTTTATTCGTTAAACCGGAAATTAAGGTTCTCTGGATATTATAGTGAAAATATTTTGCTTGTGATGGGGTATGTCTGAAATCTAGCTGGTTGAGTGATAAATATATAATATTCAAGTGTTGAGCACATTTAATTGTAAGGCTGCCTTGTAAAGTTGTATGTGTCATTTTAATGCAGGGCTGCAGCTATTATATCATTTGTTATGGGTGGATACTACAATGACTATTTCAATCATTTTATCCATAATCAGGTTTTTGCTGCACCACAGTTGAGTCAACATTATGTACATCAGATGGCGCTTTGTGTTAAGGATCATATCAATGTTCTGCCTGCACATAAATCCAGCGATTTTCCTAGTTACGCCTGCCTTCTAGCAAATCTATTGGAAGTTGCTGGGGCGGCTATCTGTCAGCCTGGTTCCTTCGCTTGGGTACAACTTTATACTCTCCAGTTACCTTCCTTCTGTTTCTCTTCTCCAAAATTATGCAACATCTCATAGTTTGTGAATGTTGGTCTCTGATGAATAACAAGTCCAGAGTACTTTAAATAATTTTTTTAATGAAACATTCATTTTTTTTTTCTGCTTAGATTTAATTGTTTCAACAGAATAATTGCTAGTGATCACTAAGAAAGATGGACATTGTGCATAACTTCAAAGGATTTTCGAATAGATTGTTGAAAGGATGTATTATACTTTTCTGCCCACCTTTTTCCTGGAAGAAGGGATTATATATATAATAAGATACTAGAATTACAGCCCAAGGAACATACATTCGGAGGGATGGCACATAGGGGGAATGCTATAGGAGCTGAAACTAAGGCGCAAAAGACATGAAAAACTGAATACAGGACTAGACTGATTGTTATAACCATACTGAGAGCTCCGTCTGCTCTTGCTCTACATTTTGAAAAAGATCTGCCAATTCATTTGCATTACAAGAGGTGTGTTGGAAAGTGACGAAGGGCAACTAGAAATCTCTTATAGGGGAGCTTATTGATGTTTGAATCCAGTTTCTGAGGATGTATTGTACTTGATAAGTCCTCATGAGAAATTTCTTCTCCTAGGACAATTCAAATACTGATGACCTGGCCCTGTTATTTAATGCAATCAACATTACAATATAAATCTAATAGTCCCTTGTCTCGAAGTTTTATATGAGGCTGCACTGTTAAATCTCATAGGTTCTGGTATTGTCTGTTGAGGTTATTGCTACCCTTTCTGTATGTTGTTGACATCATTCCATTTTCTTGAAGTTCCCAACTCATTCTTTTGGTTCTAAGGATGTTTCTTATGATATCTCCATTTCATTAGGCTATAGACTTTGCAACTGTTGCAACATTTCTGTTGCAAGAACTTCCACCTCTTCAGACATCAAATCAAGGAGGTAAATATGTGTGCTCTATTCATGTTTAAAAATTAAAAAATTTTACTGATTACTAAAATATTATCTTCTTGATTGAATTCTGGTTGATTTACAAGTAAAAACAAACATTTCCTTTGAAACTTTTTTTCTTTTTCTCTATGCAATCTACAGATTCTACAATGGGTGATGATGAAATGCTTGTTGGTGAAGAGTTAACAGTAGTTTTGAATAGAGATCTGGAACAACAAATTTTCAGCAGTCTGGATTCACGCTTTCTTTTACAATTAGTAAGTGAATTTGTCATCCTGTGGCTGTGTTTCTGTACATGTAAGCATTGCTTATTCTGTCCTGATCAAAAGAAAATGTAACTCTTTTTCACCGCTTGTATTAATCAGACAAATGTGCTGTTGGGAGGAATCTCTCCTAAAGTTTTTCATGAAACTAGATCCGATTACACAGAGATGGCTGCTGTTGGTGCTGCTTGTTCGTTTCTGCATGTCACCTTCAACATTTTGCCTCTGGAACGCATTATGACTGTACTTGCATATAGGACAGAGCTGATTCCCATTCTATGGAATTTCATGAAAAGATGCAATGAGAATCAAATGTGGTCTTCCTTGTCTGAGAAATCATTTTATATGCCTAAGGATGTGCCTGGTTGGCTGTTACCCTTAGCCGTCTTTTGCCCCGTTTACAAGTAAGAATTGGGTTGTTTGTTTTCATTCTTCTCTGTTAATTGCACCCTGTGATAGGTTACTAGTTAATTGATGGCCTTATATGTTCATTTTCATGAGCAGGCATATGCTGATGATTGTTGATAATGAGGAGTTTTATGAACAGGAGAAGCCATTATCACTGATGGATATCAGATTATTGATTGTTATTTTAAGACAGGTAGTCTTACATTGCATGATTGATTTGGTGTGTGCACATTGCGTACTCACAACTAATAAAAAAGCTCTCTGCACTGGCATCTGGAAAACTTCAATCATAAAGTATTTGCCATACAACATTAACTTGGAGTTTTATCCGTGCAAAAGGAATAAATGATCTTCATTTTTACTGTTGATGATTTTATTTTGAACTTTGTGGAGCCGTGAGGTAACTCTTATACTCCAAAACATTATGATGCCTTGCAATCTCAGGACATTTAACCATGCTTGCTTGTGTTTTTTGGTGGCATTTTGTGGCTCTAGTGATGCATTTATCTCTTTTCTAGGCCTTGTGGCAGATTCTTTGGCTCAATCCTGTGCCAATTCCTAATTTCGAAAAGTCCACAGACCGTTCTTCTGCTATGAAAAAGCACCCCGTAGAATTTCTTCATCGCAGGGTTTGTGTGGTTGCTTCTGAGCTCATGTCCCAGGTACACGAGATCACATAGTAGAAAGTTTACACTTTTGAAAGTGCACTTGAAATTCTTGTATTTGAGTATATCTTAATATAGAAACTGTCTGTAGTTACAAGACTGGAACAACAGACGAGAGTTTACCTCTCCTAATGACTTCAATGCTGATGGTGTCAACGATTTTTTTATGTCTCAGGTAACAGTGTTGTCATTGTCTTCATTATTTATGACCTTGTCAATGTTGTTATGATAAACTATGTAACTGGCCGTTGTAATTTGCAATATTTCCCAGGCCATGATAGAAAATTCAAGGGCAAATGACATTCTAAAACAAGCCCCTTTCTTAGTTCCATTTACAAACAGAGCTAAAATAATCAATGTGAGTGCTAAGTTATCGCACTGGATTTATCTTCTTGCTTAATTCTCAAATGTTAATAGATAAGTCTATGAGAAATTTTCATATGGATTTGCTAGTTTCTTTCATTTACTTTTATGCCTTGCCGAATGGTCAAATTGGACACTGCAGTCACAGCTAGCAACTATGAAAGAGAGGAACAGTGCACAAGCAATTTTTACAAGAAACAGATTTAAAATAAGAAGAGATCATATTTTAGAGGATTCTTTTAGTCAATTGAATGCACTAGCTGAAGAGGACCTTCGAGGAGTGGTGAGCTCTCCCTCCCTCCCTCTCTCTCTCTCTCTCTCTCTCTCTCTATATGTATATATATATATGAATATATATACTGTGTGCGCCAGTTGTCTCTTTGAAACAAACTTCCTATATTTGTTTAATTTGTATATAAATTAGTACTTTATTGTAAATGATATTTCTCCTACTTGCTAATGTTGCTGGATCTGCTTTTGGTGCTGCAGATTCGAATTACTTTTGTTAATGAGTTTGGAGTTGAGGAGGCTGGTATTGATGGTGGAGGGATTTTCAAAGATTTCATGGAAAACATTACTCGGGCTGCATTTGATATCCAGTACGGACTGTTTAAGGTTGTAATTGTACCTAGTAATTGATATATGTTGTATTATCCGTTACCTCGTTGTGCTTCTTGCTTAGAAATTGCTTAAACATACTGATAGTGAGAGCAACATGCTAAAGGAGGTATCCCATAAACGAACGCTTCAACTTAAACTTGGAACTGGACATTATATGTTTCCACTTTCCATTTGTTAATCATCTCATGCATCCATACTCTGTAGAGAAAGATAATGTACTACTTGTTTCCTTATTTTAGTTGCTCCAGTTTGTGTTATGTAATTATATAACAATATGATTCTTGGAATTTCACTGTATGTTGTATTCTAATTTTATTATATCTGGCTTTACCTGCCTAGGAAACTGTGGATCATCTCCTGTATCCTAATCCTGGATCTGGGATGATACATGACCAGCATCTTCAGTATTTTCACTTTCTTGGGACTATTCTTGCTAAGGTATTACATTCAAAGGTTTAAGTACATGCATCCAGTATTTTCTCTATATTTCATTTTATGTTAGTTTATTGATATGCTCACTCTATCTGCATAGCTTTGATGCGATTCAGTATAATGTCCCTTTTAAGGGAAGTTTCTGTTGGCTATTAAGTAGTAATTTCTTTGATTATAAACCATTAACTATTGCCATAGCAGCAATAAAATTCCAATGAATACATACGGGACTTCTCTATATTATTATTGCATGGATGAGACCTTGCTTGTAGATTTTAAATGACACTATGCTTATCAACACTACAATGATTTTACTTTGTTTGTAGATTCTCAGTCTGTCTACTAGAAAAATTCTTATGTTGTTGTGCAGGTTATAAAATGATTTTATTCTTGTAGGCAATGTTCGAAGGGATATTAGTCGATATACCATTTGCAACATTCTTTTTGAGCAAACTGAAGCAAAAGTAAGTGACTATCTGTCATGCTGTGAATTTGGTGTTCTAGCATTTTATATTTTTGTGACTCTTTTAGATCTCCAGGTGTTTAAATGATTTGACATTTGATTGTAATGGACAGTTTATAAAGTGCGACAGTGTAACCAACCAAAATTTAAGAAAATGAAACAGGAAAAATTTGTTGTTGGAAGTGGCTTGCAATTTTTTGGAGAGAGATAAGTTTATTTTATCATGACAAACATAGAATACAAGTAATAGGAAGGTACAGCCACCTAGAAGTACGCAGAATCAAGGACATGAAAGTGGCTCGAAATTACTTGGCAGTGGATCCTTTCTTCCTTCTTTATATATATATTTTTATTTATTTATTTATTTATTTTTAAGTTCTGTATGTAATTATTATTATTTTTTAAATTTATTGTTTCCATTTGCTAGCTCCTCATTTGTTCTTCATTTAACTCAACCTGTGCTTAATGTATTGTTATCTTATTTGGTTTATCTATGTAATGTGACCAGGAATGCAAACTTATGTTCTCTGTTCCTGTATTACTTAAATTTTTAAAAGCTTTACCTTTATAATAGACTTTTCTTGGCACAAGATGAACTCGTGTGCGCATTTAAAGTGAAGGAAACACAGGCTAATTGCAACCATTTGAACCTTGAACTGACTTTTAATCTTAACATTAAAAACAAAAAGAGTTTATATTGATCAATTAGGGCTAAAGACTGAATCTGCACTATATAATTTTGCTCTTGAGAATGAATATTAACTCCTAACCTAATTGTATTGGTCATTACTGCCTATTATTTCGCATCTGACTTTGATATGTACTACTATTTTTTCCATATTGGTGACTGCTATCATTCTCTTATAACTTGTGGAAATTTGTTAATTTTCTGCTTAGGTACAACTACCTGAACGACTTACCCTCCTTGGATCCTGAATTGTATCGACATCTGATTTTCTTGAAAGTAAATTTCATTCTCCTGCAATTTATCTTATGTAGACAATATCCTATGCATATTGCACCCAAATGAGTTGGTATGTGTTATTATTTTATGTTATTTACTGTGCTTTGCAGCATTATGATGGTGACATTTCTGAGTTGGAATTGTACTTTGTAATTGTTAACAATGAATATGGAGAGCAAACAGAAGAAGAGCTCCTTCCTGGAGGAAAAAGCACCCGAGTCACAAATGAAAATGTCATCACATTCATTCATCTAGTGGCCAATCATCGATTGAACTTTCAGGTAGTAGAATTACTTGAATCTGACGTAGTCTGACACAATAATCTATCTCCTTGCTGTGTCCTCAAACCTATGAATTATATACATTTAAAATACAAGTAACATTTTTCTCCAAAAGAATTAAAAATAGATGTTCGTGGACTCACTTTTCATGCTCTTTTAAAGATCAGAATATTTTTCTTGGTTAAATTGTTTTGTAATTCAACAGCTAGTTAACAAAGATCTTTCAAGAAAACTGAAAGTGGATGTCAATGGTCACATTTTCCATGCTTTTTTACATCATGATATTTTGAATACTTAAAAAAATATTTATGCAGATTCGCCAGCAAAGCTCACATTTTCTTAGAGGGTTTCAACAGCTCATTAAGAAAGATCTGATTGACATGTTTAATGAACATGAACTTCAGGTACAAAAGCTATACTGTTTTGAAAATATGGTTTATTTTTGAGTCTTTTGCTTGAAATAAGTTCTCTACTTGGAAAAAATGACGTGACTTGATGTAATAAAACTGATTTTTGAACCATAGTTTTAATCTTGGAAAGGTATGCTTCAGTATCAGTAGTGTTTTGCAATTGAACTGGTGCCCAAGTAACACAAATATATACATATGTTATTATTCTCTCATTATCACTGCGTACAAGCAAAATGTTTAGAAATTCCTTATAACATTGAATGACTGCAAATGACTTTCTGAAAGGAAAGTGTTATTTTAGGGAAGGATCTATTATGGTCCTGAATTTGCAGTTCTGATGTTGTCATAGCCAATTCGAGGTTGATGGTTATGATCCAACTTCTAGCATTGACTTTTTAAGGTTTTGGAAGCTATGTCCAGTATATATATGCCCTCCACCAGTCATATTTCATATATATTGTCATTTTTTTTTTTTTTTTTTTTTTTTTTCATATATATATGCACACATGCACATTAACTTTTTGTTTTTGAAACCATATGTATCTGTACAGCCTGTACTGATGATGCCGATCTGTGTGTGTGTGGGTCTGTGTGTGTATAGTCAATCCAAGGCTTTGCTTAGAAAATAGGAGAATCCATTATGTAGTTCAAAGTGTTTATGATGAAGAAATGCATGGTGTTTAAGGATTTAGAGTAAAATAGTTTATCTCATAACATCTCAGAGTAGGCATTTCCACATTGTTAATGATTAGTTTGGGGGTTTCCAAACAATATGCCACCCTACAATATACAAACTGTTGGCTACTTTTTTCTGGTGATATTTAATTGTATATTTTTAATGGATAGCAAAGAATATTTCCATTGCCAAGTTATAGTGGTGCACTGTTGCTTTGGTCATGGGGTCTAAGACTCTAAGCATAATGCATGAAGTCATTTTTGTAATGTTACTGGTTAAGGTCATCTTTTGGACCCACTTCTGTATGTTTATAATTATTTGCAATTAGGAAAAGCTTATGAAAATGTATTATGATGGTTGTGCCGTCATATTCTCAATGAACTGTATTCTATGTCAAAATCTGCGGATAAAATCCTCACCTTTGCTATATATGTTGATGCTAGTTTTGTCAATGAATATGGTTGTCAAACCAATCTAATAAGTAATTGTGAAAAGGATGATATGGTTGGTGAGATATATCTTCCAACTAGACTGAATCCTTGAAGTTGCACACCTGTTTTTGACACGTTTATGGATCAAAGACTAATTTTTTTTTTTCTCTTTACACTATAATTAAATGTGTATCTATGCATTCAAAAGGAGGAATGGATAGACACAAGTTTAATGTCGCAATAATTAATACTAATTATATCTAACACAAATATACAACTATAATTTCAGCCATAATCTTTGCAATTGTGCTAGAGTAAGTTCGATAACTCGCTGCTCTTGATTATTGCCCTTGATTCTAGCAATTAGTAGACCACAATCTCTTCCCTTGATAGTTCTGATCTTGACTAAATTGTTAAAACTTTTTGGACATCAGCTGTTTGGGTGATGAAGGAGATGTATATATATGTATTATGAATTTTTTACATTATCTGAATTGCATCAACTTATCGGTACATTTTCTGAAGTACTCTCCATTTTTGTCTATTTTCATCAAAACTAGGATCTTATCTGTACAACAGTCGAACTTTGTATTTAATTGGACTTCTTTGAAGTGGTAAGACGTTCTTTATATTTACATTTTTTGTCTGTCTTCTAACCCAGCTTTTAATATCTGGATCTGTGGATGGATTTGACATTGATGATCTTCGAGCTCACACTAATTACACTGCTGGCTATCATGAGGTGAAGCCATGGTCCTCTCTCAGTCAGTTTGTTTGCATGATGAATCTATTGATAAGTTATATTGGTTTAATTGAAATTTGCTCCCATATTCATTTTGTCAATTCCCACTCAAGATCCCTTGATGAAGTTTAATTTTTTCATTGTTTGCTGTAAAATGTGTTAGAAAATTTGTGAAGGGGATATGTGGCATGTTTGTTTTGTGTTATCTATCATGTTTCATTCCATTATTTATATATTTTTCTGCATATTGCTAACTTCCTATTAATTTTTCAGGATCATTATGTCATTGAAATGTTCTGGGAAGTTATTCAGAGCCTTAGCTTGGAAAATCAGCGGAAATTCTTGAAGTATGCGTAATATCCTGGATTTTTTTCACTTGTGTGGCGTTTGTATCAGAAGCAATTTAAGTTGAATAATGAAGATTGCATGGTGTTATCTGCTTGCTGTAGTGTTTCAGTTTTCCTTTGTGTAATATGTCATATGTGTACACATAACTATAAATTTGGTTTTTAATTGACCTTTTTCTTTTGGAGTTTAATCCTTTCTTTTTTTGGTTTTTTGTTTTAATAGCAATATTGGTGTGATAATTTGTGAGAATAAGTAATTTATTTTTATAGAGAATCGAATTGCTGCATAGTAAAAAAACGTAAATCAAAGAACACAACCTTTATGTTCCAACTGTAAGTTGCTTTCTTCTTGTACTACATTTGGGGATTTATTCTGTTATTGTTTGTTTTGAATTCTATTTCCCTTAAATTCAGTTAGTAGTTTGTTGTCCCATTTGACACGTTTGAAATTATTAGTATATATTATATGTTTTTTTTTTTTTTTTTTTTTTTTTTTATCAGAAAGTATATATTCTTTGTTTGAATATATGATTGATGTGAAACGTTTGGCCAGTAAGAAGGTAATCTATCCTAGCAACATCTTTGTAAAAACTTGTCCTGTGTTTTATATCTTTAGGTGTCTGGACTTGATTGAAGATGGTTCCTATTACAGAACTATGTAGAATTTGGATTAGATAATGTTGTTAATTTTTCTTACTTTTTGGTTCCACATCTTGGGGTCTGGTCATGTCAGCACAAATCCATGTTGCACCTCTATGTACTGAGTTCTTATTCATGTGCCCTACTGCAACTCAAGACTACAAAGCCATAAGGTTAACCTGTTGCATCCATATTTTGGTCTTTTTAACATGTTCTCTTCTTTCATTCCACTCTCAGATTTGTGACTGGATGTTCTCGTGGCCCTTTACTTGGGTTTAAGTACTTGGAGCCTACGTTCTGCATACAGAGGTAACACAATAACTGTGCTTGTGGTTTCGCTTATAATATGCATGTGCTCTCTCAGTATTATGTGTGTGTGTATATATATATATCCCCTTGGGCCAACAGGACTGCAGGTAATGCATCAGAAGAAACTCTTGATCGGCTGCCAACATCTGCCACATGCATGAATCTGCTTAAACTTCCTCCTTACAGAAGGTTCGAACATGTTTATTAGCCTGTAGGCTTTGTTGTTGCGGTTAGCTGTTAGTAATTATTTGTTCAAAGAGAACTATTTGCAGATCGGTTGTCTATGGGTGCTTCAATTCATTCCCCATCATAGTTTTTCTCATGCCTGTGCATTCAAATTGACACAAAGTTTTAAGTGTGACCAGTTTTTTTGTGTTGCTAAGTTTGGTATCTATTTTCATACAGCAAAGAGCAGATGGAGCAGAAATTGCTGTATGCTATAAACTCTGATGCTGGTTTTGACTTGAGTTAAGCGAGGCCGCTCCATTGAAAGGAATTGATTACTGTGGGAGCTGAGCTGACTACACAGTGACGGTGCTTCTAGTTGACAGGCAGGCCATATTCTCGTCCTGTTATAGATAGAAAACTTCTCAGTTTTGTCTTCTGTGGGAGTCATCAAGCCACCCAAACACCCCTGGTTCTCAACCCCTAGTGATTAGTGAGTTAGTTAGTTGGTTGGTTGGTTGTTGAGAAACAAACTTGATGAGAAGGCACATCCTCTGTCCGTGCTCTAATTAGATGCGCTTTCAGTTTGGCGGCAGGTGGAATGCCAGCCGGAATTAGGCACGGGGAGAGGGAATGGGAGTGCTGAGTGAGAGACCATGTAGATAGATATGATATTAATAATTAATTCATTTCAAGAACTGACGACTGGATGGGGACACATTTACCATATCATGTGTATAGTTTTTCTCTTCTACTGAAAGGGTCCTCGTTCGTCTGTATTCCTACTGTCATATAAACGTATATACATACATTGTAGGTATTTTGTAGGGAATCAGCATCAACCATGTTGGTTGGTACGCCTTGCTTTTCGATGTTTTGGTGACCTCTTGCATGCTCATGCTCGCTCATACAGTACACAGGTGAGGTAAATAGTCTTAACCATGGGATCCTGCCTGCCTGCTTCATGACTCGCATTCAATTGCCTCGAATCATCCATCCATGGATCCAACCAACCATTTAGGTAGGGAAAATCAATCTGTCACTCAGTGCCCAACCTAGAGAGCGTGGAGTTGGGTTTAGCAGGTTTCCAGCCAAATAATGATTCCAGATGGAAGTGCAATTAGTTGTGTTTGTCTTCCTCCTCCTACAAATCTCTAAATCTATTCCTCAGCAAGGGGGATGTCGCCTAAACCCAAGCCTTCCACTGGCAGCTCTGAAGCTGTCAAAGGTCCCAAGATCCCTTCCGAGCTCTGCAGGAGACAATCAATCAATCAACAAATTTAAGAGGGAGTTCCTTTTCAAGAAGCTCCTCCGCAGTTGATCTCTGAGAAAATCAATCCATTGTAAGTTGAGTATTAAACAGTGGGGACACAAGTATATAGCAGTGGCACAAGACATAAGAATGAGATAGCAGGCCAAGCTTTAGCCTGTGTGTGTGTGTCTCGACACTTGATTTGGCGTTCTCGGTACACTAGTTCAAGGACCATGTCTGAAAGCATAAATTGACCTAGAAAGGCCAAGGCGCTCATATCATAAGCATGCACACTGCACGCATGCAATACAGATAGATAATAGACCAACCGTTGAGATTTGTGAAAATGGCACGAAACCTCCGAGACCCTCCTCCACCACTGCTGCCGCCGCTGCCACCACCACCACGTTTGTTAGCTCCAATTACCTGCATAATTGGCAACACGAAATTTATCAATATAAACACAGAGCCTTGATGCATGAAAAAATTGCTAGACAATCATAATAGTTTCTTTTAGTTTTGACCAAACCCGCCCACCCGCCTACTCTGCTACCTTTCCCTGGACAACAACATCTTCAGCTTGAAGTTGTCTGCACTCTGCAGCGTTTGAACACAAGCTCAAGATTAAACTATCATCAGCCTCATTCTCCCCAATGATTATATAAACTCTTCACGCAAGCCAGGAACTATATATGCCAGCCTCCTCTACATGTTTGATACTGCGGATGGATGCTTCTCGGAGAGGCAAGTAAGCTGATGATTTTGCAGTTATGTCAACTAAAGCTCCATTTGCATCTATTTTGAAAACTCTGCCGATCACCTATAAAAATAAAGGTAAATGAAACCAAACCATAGGATCAACAACATGCACATATGAAAGATAATGGTGTTGAGCATTAAACTTGATTCAAAAATAAAAATAAAATCACCAACTATTTTATTGTTTTCAATAAAAGTTGGTGGAGGTTGGTAGAAGAGTTGGTTGCCTACCAACAATAGATTGTATTGAACAAATCATATTTTAATTTTTTTATGTTGGTAGGTAGAATTAATATTGATATTGGTAGGTAGATTTGAAGTCCTATATAGTTAGTTTGCAAATCATTTCAATCAATCAAGTGTCTTCTCTTCTAGTTATCTTTGTTCTCTCCACCAAAAGGCTTTTGTGCGTTTTTGCTGTTTTTTTTAGTGTTCTTCCATATTTTATTCCAAAAAAGTGGGTAGTATCAACAAATTCAAATGGTCTTTCATTCCAATACCCTCAACTCACCAAACACAATCATGAAAATTGGACACTCGTATGAAAGCCATACATAGTGCACATGGTGTTTGGGAGAGTGTTGAGAATGGCTACACCGTGCCGGAGAATGAAGAAGCTTTCAATCAAAATGAGAGGAATGATTTAGAGAAGCTACGCAAGAAAGATCAATGTGCTCTTACAATATTCCATCAAGGTTTAGATGATGATATGTTCGAGAACATTGCAAATGAAACCACCTCGAAGGGAGCTTGGGAGAAGCTTCAAAGATCCGTCATGGGAATTGATAAAGTAAAGAAACGTTTGACTCCAACTTTAAGGGACGAATTTGAAACACTTTTGATGAAAGAAGGTGAATCGATCCAAGACTACTTTACAAAAGAGTCTCGGCAGTGACGAATCAAATAAAACGGCTTGAAGAAGCCGTGATGGATGTTCGAGTGATAGATAAGATACTTCACTCTCTCACAAAAAAATTCTGGCATGTGGTGGTTGCAATCAAAGAATTGAAGGACTTGGAGGCCATGACCATTGATGAGTTGAATGATTCATTGCGGGAACATGAAGAAAGGATGAATCATGATGATGATGTGGAGCAAGGAAGAAATCAATGGTATGAGCGAGATCATGGCCAAGAAGAGCAAACACAAAAGGCTCAACCTAACTACAAAGGTCGAGGATAAGGAAGAGAATGAGGATAAGGACGTCACACCAACACTGACAAGATAGACAAATTTCATATTGTGTTATTTTTGTCATAAGCATGGTCATTACGCTTCGGAGTGTTGGTCAAAAAACAAAAATGAGGTGGCAAATCTCATTGAAGAGAAGGAAGATTCGATGGAAGAATATTTGTTATTGACATCGAAAGATGAATTAAAGGTGGAGACAAGTGTGTGGTATCTTGATAATGGAGCGAGCAACCACATGAGCGGGGACAAAAACAAATTTGTGAAGCTTGACACAAGTTACAATGGCGCGGTGTGTTTTGGAGACAATACAAAAGTTGACATCAAAGGAAAATGAACGGTGATTTCAAGACTAAGAGTGGAGACCACAAATTGCTTTGTGATGTGTATTATTTTTCAAAATTTACTAGTAACATTCTTAGTATTGGTCAACTTTTGGAGAGAGGATACAAGATTCATATGGAGGACCACACACTTTGGCTTCGAGATCACCATTCTAATCTTGTAGAGAAGGTAGTCATGACAAAAAATCATATGTTCTTATTGAACTTGAAGAATAATGATGCCATGTGCTTGAAAACTTGTGCCGAGAATCATGGCATATGTGGCTCGGTCATTTGAACTTTGGTGCTTTGAAAGAGAAGAGTGAAAAAAAGATGGTGAAAGGTCTTCTTATAATTGATCACTCAGATCAACAATGTGAAGCATATGCTTACTCGGAAAGCACTCGAGGAAGAGTTTTCCAAAGCATTGGGATTCGAAAGCCACCAAGCCATTGCAATTGGTCCATACCGATGTTTGTGGCCCGATAAAGCCTCAATCATTAGGTAAAAGCTAGTATTCATTCTTTTCATTGATGATTATAGTAAAATGACTTCGGTTTACTTTTTGAAGCAAAATAATGAGGCATGTGATGCTTTCGAGAAATTCAAAGCATCGATTATGAAGGAAAATATTATTATTTCAAAGCCTTGAGGATCGATCGAAGAGGTAAATTTTTGTCAAAAAATTCACAAATTTTTGTGAAACCATGGAATTCGGCGACCTATGACTGCACTAACTTTTCAACAAAATATAGTTGCTTAGAGAAAGAACATACTATTCTTAATATAGCGAGGTCAATGCCGAAGTCCAAATATATGCCAAGATATTTTTTTGGGAGAAGCTGTTGCATGTGTCGTTTATCTTTCGAATCGAAGTCCAACCAAGAGTTTAAAAAATGCAACACCTTAAGAACCGTAGAGTGGAGTGAAGCCAAGCGTGGCTCATTTGAAGGTATTCAAATCCATTGCCTATGCACATTTTCACAAACAAGAGAGATCCAAACTCGATAATCGTAGCAAGAAGTTAGTCTTTCTTGGCTATGATGAAAACTCAAAGGCGTATAGGTTGTTTAACCCACAAAATGAAAAGCTTGTGGTGAGTCGCGATGTTGATTTTGATGAGCTTGGATTGTGGGACTAAATTTCAAAAGATATAATATCATATAAAGTTCTCCTATACTTTGAAGATGAAGAAGAATGTGTGAACATTGAGGGGAGATTTCTCCACCAACTACACCACCTTCATCGCCATCGGAGGCATCAACATCAAGTGAGAAAACTTCAAGATACCGGAGTGTGGAAGATCTCTACAATGTGACCGATGATTACAACCATTGTGTTTGTTGATGGATATTGAGTCATGTCTTTTCAAGAAGCTAGGGAAAATAAGAAGTGGATTCAAGCCAATGAAATGAATAACACATGAGAACTAGTACCGCGACCACTTAATCATCAAATCATTGGTGTCAAGTGGGTGTATGAGACAAAAAAGAATGACAAGGGAGAAGTTAAGAGGTACAAAGCCCGATTGATAGCGAAAGGCTATAAACAAAAGCATGAAGTTGATTATGAGGAAGTGTTTGCTCCGGTGGTCCGATTGGAGACAATTTGGATACTAATTTCACTTTCAGTGCAAAATCGTTGGAAGATACATCAATTGGATATTAAGTTCACTTTTCTCAATGGATATCGGAAAAAGGGATGTGTATATCGAGCAACCACTCGGTTATGTTGTTTAAGACCATTAAGATAAAATCTTGAAGTTGAAGAGGGCACTCTATGAACTCAAGCAAGCCCCTCGAGCATAGAATAGACGTCTTGACAAATACTTGCAAGACGGTGGATTTTCAAGATGCCAAAGTAAGCATGCGCTCTATGGGAAGGTGGAAGATGAGCACGTGCTATTTGTTTATATCTACGTAGATGATCTCATCTTCACTAGAAGCAATCCGAGGATGGCTGAAGATGAAGGAATTTTTATCTCCTAAGAAAGCTATACAAGTAAAGTGCTAATGAAGTTCAACATATTTGGAAGCAAATTGGTGAGCACGCCTATTGAGTATAGAGCAAAGTTGTCCAAAACTAAGGATGATGAAAAACATGTTGATTCCACCACATTCAAAAGTCTTGTTGGAATTCTAAGGTACTTGACGTGCACTAGACTATATATTTTTATTTTCGATAGGAATTGTGAGTCGTTACATGAAAATTCCTAGCAAAGTACATTGGTTGCCGGAAAAGAAATACATTGATATATCAAAAGTACCCTTAGTTTGGCTTGTTTTATTCATTTTTCAATACTTCCAAGTTGATGGAATATTTTGATAGCGATTATGGGGATAATATTGATAATAGAAAAACCACTACGGGATTTGTATTTTTCAGAAAATAATGCAATGCAATTCCTAAAGAAATTAATATATTACACATATTTATTATTTTTATATTATTTATATAATTTTTTATATATTATATAAAAGAATATATTTTCAAACTATTTTACAAAACAAATAAACTCTAAAAAGTTGAGGAATTGTTTCTTGCAAGAATGATAGGGAACAATTTTTTTCTTTCTCTCTTCTCCACATTAGGAAATAGAGTACTTATTCCTTCTTTTAACATATCGTTATTTTTTTCTTTTTTTTTTTTTCCAATTTTATTAAAGATGGCTAAATTTATTCATATTAAATATACTTAATAAATATAAATTAATTTCATTAAATTTCTAATTTACAAGTAGAATCTATTTAAAATATTTTTATTTTTATCTTTATTTATTAAAAAAATATAATTATTTAATTTAAAACTTTTCATGTTTAATATAGTTTAAATTAATTATAAATAAACTAATAGTATATGTTTTTTAATTTATTTGTTTATGTAAAATTTTATTATTTACAAAATAATATTCATCTTTTATATTTAATTGAGATATAGTGCTAAAAGTATTTAAACACATATCTTAATTTTTTTAAAATTATATATATTAATTTATATTTTTAAAATACCAATAATACTATTCATATAAAAAATAAAAGAATAATACTATAATATAGTAATTTATACTATCTAAATTCTAGTGCTCATTAAAAATAAATCATTTTACCTGGATAAAGAAAATATTATATATATTATTTAGTATAAATATTATATTAATAAGTTTATTTAATATGATAAATTAATTTAATAATATTTTTATTATATAAAATAATTAATATATTATATAATAATTATTTTATATAAAAACGATTAAATCATATTTATAAATTATTTAAATTAAATATTAAATTATTTATATAACAAATTATAGCACATACATATAATTCATATAAAATAAAATAATAGATTTATTGATGCGAAAGAAAAAAAAATTAATGAATGCAAAATTTGATTCTACAATGAATACAAATTTGAATAAATTCTTAATTTTTAATCTAATATGACAATATATGATAGAGAAAGAAAATTGAAAAAAATGAAAAATAAATTCCTCATTGTACAATGGTCTAGATTACGACTCCCTCGGTCTTGCTATTTACATTCTGTGTAAGAAATAAACAACTGAATAAGTACTCATTCTTATAGATACTCTACATGGATATGTGATGATGCTGAGAGCGGGGCAGGGATGATGCTAAAGATCTCTATGTGTAACGTTGTGTGCAGTATATATATTAATATGTATGTATAAAGTAGTGTAAGCATACATATATAGATATATGTATATAATATATAATGAAGTGAGGAATATAAGACGAGAATGATTGAATGAGTGGATTTTAATTTTTATGCTGATCATTACAGTGACTCACAAATTCATATTTATAATAGATACATTAGCGAATGCATAACTTTCAATCATGCTACGTCCTACTTCCATTCCAATACACATCAACATGGTGTATATCATTTGCTTACAACCATTACTATAGAAAATATATTTATAGTATATCATTTTTTTTATTGTTATCTTCCTCGTAATAATAAAACATACTACTCATTTTGTTGTTAAAATTTATGTTTATTTTATTTTTTGAATTTTCATAAAAAAATATATTAATTTTGATGTGAAGTATATTAATTTTAACGTACTCTTTCCATTTCGACTAAGATGTCTTTATATAATTAATAAATAATTAAAAATATATTAATAAAAATAATTATTGTATAATAATAATATTTTTATATTAAAATTAAAATAATTAATTAATATAATTAAAATTTAAGAAAAAAATAAAATTAAAAATTTAAAAAGAAATTAAAATATATAAATTTTTAAGAAAAAATAAATGAAAGAATAAGTAGAATAGACGAAAACCAAAATATGGAGACGAGAAAATAAATTAGTACTACCTCCGTCCCACATGCCATGTCTGTTACACCGTAGACACGGTATTTTAGGAGGGGTGTAATTAGTAAATAATTAAAAATATATCAGTGAAAATAATTATTCTATAATATAAATAATTATAAATTAAGATTAAATAACTAATTAATTTAATTAAAATTTTAAAAAGAATAAAATTAAAAAATTTAAAATGAAATTAAAATATGTAAGAAAAATGACATAGTAGGTGAGACGGACAGAAACGACAACTAGGTAGTACTCTTTTTAACTATAAACAATTTGTAGAATCAAATTCTCAGCCGCACTCGACTGACTGACTACTGCTACTACAGCCTACAGTCAACAACCAACCACGCCACTGCAGTGCGCGCTGTGTCTGTTCCTTAATAATTAATTACTATCATCTTTCTCGTGACTGCAGCCAGCGTGTGCACGTGACATGTTAAGACAACATACACACATCCACCCTCGCACCCCATGTATGTGCCTACCAACTTTATTGTTAAGAAAAGAATATTATTCGTCGACAGATTAAATCAAAACATTACGATCGATCAGTAATATTTAATTATGTATAATATTAATAGTAACAGAACAAGACATGATCTAGCTAGCTCTATATCTACATACACGGATAGATACATGAAATGCCTGCATCATCATTATATATAGATTAATTGATTGATTGATTGGGTGATTCTATATATTTGGATGAGATCCAACCGAAGCGTGACCCGTGAGAGAATATTTTTGTATGGTGTTGGTGGCGAGCAAGCTAAGCTTTAAGGCACATAAGTATAAATATAAATATAAGCATGCATACATGCATCCACCACGGCCACACATTGCTACACAACAATAAAGAGTCACGGGATGGATGCATCCATCCATGAGGCCTACAGCTTTTCTATCTCTACCTAGCTAGCTAAGCTGCCTATATACATACATATATATATATATATATCTTTTTTAATTAACTATACTATATATGAATCAGAAGCTGCACCATGCATTGTTGATGTTCGTATACATACATACATATATATGTTATGACCACCACGTATGGGCGACCAATTAACCTGCCTACATATATTCCTACGTATGCATTTATAGTTACTATTATTACTACTTTATAATTTGATGACGTAGGTGTGCGTATGAATTGAAATTGATGGATACTCAATAGTACTCTTTAATAAAATGGCAGGCAGGGAGGCAAGCAGGCAGCTAGCTAGCTAGCATACAATTAAGGTCGGTGACTCGTCATCAGTTCAATTGTATTTGTATTTGTATTTGTATTGTCTCAGATCTATATCAGATCTGCCACACCTCGTCGTCATCTCAGCAGCAGCTCAACTCAACACAACACAACACACACACAATTAATTATAATGCTGCAGCTGGCTGCTGATTGCTCCTCCTACCTAATTATATATCATTATGATTTCTTCCTCCTGCTGCATTCACCCTATATATGCAGATCATATACATTAATCTTATCTTCTTCTATCCTATCTTACCCAATCCTATCGTATCACTCTGCAGTGAGCTCTTCTCAATTCATATATATATATATATATCCCATGGGATTACCTGTCCCAAAAATAAGCTATATCCTCACATACATAGTGTGTATGTATAAAGATTACTCTATACATATACACGTATGTATATATATACACAATGTGTGTATGGGTGGGACAGACTTCTATCTGGGATGATCCGTCGGTATATATATATATCTGAATATATTAATCTAGCTATATAGGTCATCATCCATCAGGATCGGAGGCTCGCGAAGCTGCAGAAACCAAACATGGAAGGATCGGAAGATCCATGCATCTATCTCATCCTACTACCTACTACTTGTCCTCTCTCTCTTGTAAGCATATACGATAATAGTACTATAATAAACAAACAAACGATCAAACAAAGTATACGAACAGGTAGCTAGCTAGCTAGCTTACTCGCCCAACATTTTTAACTCATGTTGGTTATTATATGATCAGTAGTACTAGCTTGTAGACATCGTGATCATGATTCAGGAGCAATCGACTTAATTTGTGTACGTTAAATCCCAGTTAAATTAAATGACAACACTACTCCAGTTAGGCAGCTAGCAATTCCCCGGCCCCGACACACACATACATATAAATCTATAAATATATGGGGATGGATATGATAGAATAAGCAAATGTAGCTAGCTAGGTCATATATATATATAATTTGGTCATGGTTACGTGTTGATAGCACAGTAACATATATTAAACAATACATTAGCTACCGTACATATATATATTTATAATAGAATTAACAATGCATACTAATACTTTATACAATATATATATATATATTGTCTGTTATATATCTTTTTATACCATCTATAATATTTTATGTGCTGATTGGAGCAAGGTACCGTAAATCCCGTATCAGTACTTACTCTACCGGAAGCGATGTATATATATAGCAATTAGCTAGCAGAATTGTATCAAGCAGCGGTTGGTTGTTGTTGGTACTCTGAACTAGCTAATCAATGAAGGTTCATCATTCATGTACAGTTTGTTTTGATGGATAATGGATCGGTTATCCTACTCTTCAAAGTACAAGTGGACGTGGCTCCTCGCGATCACTCAGGTGGTCACGTACTGTTTCTCATATCTCTCACACATATGTATATATATATATATCCATATATGTTTCCCTATTAATGCCACCGTACCGCAGCACGTCGTCAACCATCTCGTCTCTCTCTCTCTCTCTCTCTCTCTCTCTTTATATATATATATATGTCATCATCATCCATATTCATCACATGCATACGTTTATGTGTTTCTCGACACTACAAGACGACTATGATGTGATGTTTATTTTATATGAATGGATCGGAGGGAGACTGTGTGTGTGTGTGTGTGTGAGAGAGAGAGAGAGAGAGAGAGAGAGAGAGAGAGAGGATCGACCGAACATAAAATACAATAGACTAGCCGGGCGCGCCAATTGTACTCTTATATACGAATAATAATAATAAGTGAATTAATGCATATGTAACACCCGCCGGCCGAATCATTCATTCCAAAGAGGACTAAAAGTGAGTGAGTGGTCCGGTACGTTACGTGCTCAGACCAGACCCACCCAACAGTAGAATAGGAAAAGAATTGGGGAATAGGAATAGATAATTGAGCCAGACCTGACAAGTACACGTGTCGACCTCTTAACGTCCAACAGGTTAATTTGTTAATTATTTTATGCACTCTTTGCTCTTCTTGCAGACTATAAATCACATCCCTCACCACACCCTTTTAATTATTTAGCTAGTTTCTGTTTAGCAATTAGCGGTATATAGTAGAGTGTTATAATATACATATACTAGTGTTATATTACTCATCGTGTGTGTATATCTATCTCATCAATTATCTATCATCATCTCCCCACACAGCTACATCCTCCCCGCAACATCTCCTCTCCTCTCATCGCCCACCCCAGCTAGCTAGCTTGTTCGCAATCATTCATTCATCCCCTGCCCCCGGCCTAACTGTATGTCCCTCCTCTCTTTCTCTTCCACCACCTCGATAGATCGCCCAATCCAGACTCCCCGCATTGCTTGCACGTCGTCACCGCTCTCTCAGTTTTCTGTTTCCTGCACCTGCCTGGATAATTGCACTAGTGAAGCAATTCATGATTAGAGCTATCTAGTTTTGTTTTGTTTTTTCTTTTTGTATAAATTAACTAATTAATCGACTCTGCTGATCAAGCCAGCAAGCTAGCTAGCTAGCTAGCTATCCAATTTTGCCCTCTCACCACTCCCAGTCCCACTGCACTGCACTGAACTGCATTCTATCCTAGCTAGATCGAGATCGATCGTCTGGATCCGTCAAGCCCAATGATCAGAAGAATTCTGATTGGCCGCCGTTGCTGCTTATGCTTCTCACCCCTCTTGATATTTGTCTTGTTCGGAAGTCATGTGATCGGCAATGTGGGTGGTGCAAGGCATCTGCATCTGCATCAGCACCGCCACCACCACCACCGCATTGGCAGAACACAAAGGGATAAAAACACAGCTGCACAAGTAGTCTCCCCTGCTCCCAGCCCTGACCCTCACGACGAGGAGATCATCATCAGCATCGGCGCCCCGGCCCCGGCCCCTCTCGCACCAGCTGCCCCGTCTGATCCCGATGACAACTCAAGCTGTATTTTTGATGTGACAGCGTTCGGGGCGGTTGGGGACGGAGCTACCGATGACACCGAGGCCTTCAGATCGGCATGGAAAGAAGCGTGCCAAGTGGAAAACGGCGTAGTTTTGGTTCCTTCGGAGTTGGTGTTCGTCATCACCTCCACAATCTTTTCAGGACCCTGTCAGCCTGGTCTTGTCTTTCAGGTAATTCCACCACCACACACACACAACATACTGTTGAGGGCATATTTTGTTTTGATTTTCCACTTTTTTTTTTTTTTTCTTTTTCTGTTCTGAATGGGAAGGATACTAACAAAATAGTTTTAGAAAAAAATATAAATAATGTGTTTGTTTAGCAAAATTGTTTAATTTATTATATATATAATATAGAAAATTGAGTAAGTAATAAAAATAATAATTATATATAATATATATTTTTTAAAATTGCAGAAAAACACAACATAAGTATTATATATATATATATATATAAATAATGCATTAGATAGTTTTTTCTAACTTTTATTTATTTTATTTTATTTATTTGCAATAATACTTCAATAAATTATATTATTTCCATCCTATTTATCTTGTAATATTTTTTATTTTAAAATTTCTCATATATTAAATAATATTTTTAAAATAAAAAATAATTAATTATATTTGATTTTATCCTATCAATCAAAAAAAATATATATATTTTTATCATATCACTTAATTTTTATTTTATTCTATTTATTTAAATTTTTTCCGAATTAAAATATTGTACCATATATAGAGGGCGGAATCCTAGAATAAAAGTGTATATATATATATATATATCAAAGTAAAGAAAAATTGTAGAAAATAGTAGTAGAATATTTAAGAGTGTGATAGTAGTATTATTTAATAGGTAGAGTATTTGTTTTCTGTCATTTCACTTAATTAATCGTATAAATACTCAAAGGTGGATGGGGTGGTGATGCCGCCGGATGGGCCAGATTGTTGGCCCAAATCGGATAGCAAGAAGCAGTGGCTTGTGTTTTATCGGCTGGAGGACATGACGCTGACGGGCACCGGCACCATTGAAGGCCAAGGCTCCAAATGGTGGGATCTCTCGTGCAAACCTCACAGGGTAGGGTGGGTGGTGGATTGGGTTAGCTAAATTCCTGTTTTGTTTTTTCCTGAACTGTTGTTCTGATATATATCTGCTGCAGGGTCCTAATGGTTCGACTCTCCCGGGACCTTGTGATAGCCCTGCGGTGGGTTAAATAGATTATCAAACTCATCACCATCATCATCATTATCGCGTCTGCGTCTGTGTCTGTGTCTATAAGAAGACTATATCTATATCTATATATAACTGTACGTGTGTGTGGGTGGGTGCAGCTGATTCGATTCTTCCTGAGCTCCAATTTGGTGGTGAGAGGGCTGCGCATTCAGAACAGCCCCCAGTTCCACTTGAAATTCGATGGGTGCCGGGGCGTGCTCATCGATAGGCTCTCCATCTCATCCCCTAAACTGAGCCCCAACACAGACGGAATTCACATCCAGGATACCAAATCCGTCGGCATCTACAACTCCGTCATAGCCAACGGTACGCTATTAATTAACATATATACTCACTCCTATCCTATGTAATACTCTATCAATTGAACGAATTGAAGTGAAGAAGAGCGTGGCACTTACTAAGTTGTCCCTCAGATTCGGACACACATCCATCGAGCTCATAATTAATGTATGTATATGTGCAGGGGATGATTGCATTTCAATAGGACCAGGGTGCTCCGACGTTGATATAGAAGGCGTAACTTGTGGGCCTAGTCACGGGATCAGGTGCGTATTAACAGAATGACGAATAATTAATCAATCAAGAATCAAGATGATTCTGTGCATACGATACGATATATATATGTGTGTGTGTGGGTGTGCAGCATCGGGAGCCTGGGGGTGCAGAAGTCGCACGCCTGCGTGTCCAACGTGACGGTGCGCAACGCGGTGATCAGGGAGTCGGACAACGGGGTGCGGATCAAGACGTGGCAGGGGGGGACGGGGGCGGTGACGGGCATATCCTTCGCCGACATCCAGATGGAGAACGTGCGCAACTGCGTCATCATCGACCAGTACTACTGCCTGAGCAAGGCCTGCCGCAACGAGACCTCGGCGGTGCGCCTGTCGGGGGTGACCTTCAGGAACATCAAGGGCACCTACGACGTGAGGAGCCCCCCCATCCACTTCGCCTGCAGCGACACCGTGGCCTGCACCAACATCACCATGTCCGAGGTGGAGCTGCTGCCCTACAGGGGCCTGCTCGTCGACGACCCCTTCTGCTGGAATGCCTACGGCGTGCAGGAGACGCTCACCATCCCCCCCATCGACGACTGCCTCCAGGACGGCATGCCCCCCGACTCCCCCTCCCCCTCCGCCGCCGATGCTCCTTTCTTCTACGGCTGCGCCTAGCTACCTGGAATAATCAAGTCTATCTAGCTAGATGATCATCACCATCACCACACACACATATTATATATACTATATATAATAATCAATGCATACGAACTACAACATCATATCAGATAGACCCATATAAATTCAGTCAGTGAACGAAACTAATCAATAATACAAATATGCTCAAATTTGGAGATCAATGCGGGCGCGGGCCAAGGTCGTTAGCCAATTTGATTTTTCTGTTACGGTGTTAGGTGTGATGTTTGACCGGAGCTTGGGTGGTGGTGGATGTGGCCGGCCGCCGGAGTCGAGTAGCTCTTCCGGTGGCTAATTGTATGTATAAAAATATAATAATGGTCTGAGTTCAAATATCTTTACTCTATTAATGTATCACCATTGTAATTTCATTGACATGAGTTTGGAAGTTACAGACGTGATTCAATTCAAAGACCATTAATATTGTATCTTTATAGATAATATTAACTTAACTTCAACACCCAAAATCCTTAACATCGAACTATATTGATAGTAAAGGATTGTTGTAGATACTATCACAACCAAAAGAATACAATGTACAAAATTATACGATATCCTCTCCTTGAAACTTCATTAGTTGTGTTTGAGATGGCCACACTATATTTTTTAGATTATTTCACTTGTTGGAAATCAAACCATTTTTTATTTTTTTTGTGTCGGCCTGGTTGGATAGATAAAACATGAGGGTTGACTTGGTTCTGTTTGACACTGTCAACAAATGACACTGACAGCTAATTTCACCTAGCTATTCGTTAACTCTACTATATTATTATTTATTATTCTTCAATGAGTCTTTTGAAAGAGCGAGTTCGACACTTGGATTGTAATGAAATTTTTGAACAGAGGCATAACTTCCAAAATAAAAATCATTTAGAATTCAAAATCTTTTCTCAATGGAGAATTTTCGGCCTTGTTGACAACAACGATCCATCATTTTTTTATTGTACATTGGATATCTCTATATAACCTAAAAATAAGGCAAGTATCGAATTTGGTCAATTTATTGAAGCTTCTCGTTGGAATTTAACCCTGAGCCCAAAATCTACCGTATTGTAATAATTGAGATAAAAATAAAGCAAAATAAATCTAACATTATTCCTCAACATCATCGGATTCAGATTTACAAATCGACAAAGGATTTTGTGTTCTTCAAGCCTATGGCGCAACCCCTCATGAGAAAACCACTAGGGTTTCTGCCGTTACTCCCGCGATCAGATATGAAACGTAATGGTTGTTGCGTCTAGACCTGAGATCACAACCCTATTTATATCCCTTATTATTAATTGACCTCATTACACAATTAATAAATTACCGGATTTATGCACATAGGAGGTCCGCACTTATTAAATACATATAAGCCCGATAAATTAATAAATCACTTAATATAGGCTTAATCTGACTGATAGCCCAAATAGTTACATTTAACCCACAAATTGATTTTTAATCCAACAATCTCCTACTTGGGTAAATATACATTGAATGACCTTATGAGCTCATAAAATTTTGTTATCGGATTCTTTAATGTATATCACCAATCTTATTTATAAGTCACATCAGTGTGGATCAAAGCGGCCATCACTGCATTTATCGCAATGGGACCGATTAGTGGTCACAACATTAATATAACCTAAGATTCGATAAAGTGTAGATGCACAACATGGAAATTTCATGTAATGTGATCTTAACATGCCTATTTCCACCTGATCCAACTTGGACAATTCAAATCGAACATGAAATTTTTGGGTGAAGATGAGGTAGAGAAATATGATAGGAATTTTACTAGCTAAAATAATATGCATGAATTAAAAGAAAAAGGAGGAGAAAATCAGTTTGCTCGTGACACAAAAGTGAAAATTTCGTATTATTAAACTAGATAAAAATATGGGAGAAAAGAAATTGAGAAAATGAAGTGTATGGAATGTATATTATTGTGTATATATGGTGTGTATATGTGTGTATATGGTACAATTAAATAGGATATTTATAAGGGGAAAGCTTCTAGAAGCTTGGCGGTTACAACCGTCAATAAATAACTACTTCTAAAAATAGCTAGTAACTACCTCTAAAAATAATCATAAATAACTAACTTTAAAAATAGCTACTAATATAACTACTAATAATTACCTAATTTCTAGAAGGTTCTAAAATAAAAATTACACAAAAATAGCCAAAAATTGGCTAAAAAGTAGTGCAGGAATTAAATATGGGAGCTGAGAGAGTGCAAAAATAAATGCAGAGCTGAGGGAGCCTGGGCATTAAATGCAGCCGCTGACCTAGCGGCAATAAATGCAGTGAGAATTAATGCGGCCGCCGCTCATGTAGTCCACGCCAGCCGCCGCTTCGTTCACTTCCATGCATAGCATTCCTCTCTACTCACATTTCCGTGCCAGTCACCGCTTCGCTCACTTCCATGCATAGCTTTTCACGCTCATAATTGCAGCCACCGCTCACGGATTAATGGACATAGAATTCCGCTTCGCTCAAATTTTTGTGTAGCCGCCATCGCTTTGTGCGCGGCCGGCATCGCTTCGCTCACTTCAACGCCAAAGTTTTTGCGCAGCCGTCGCTTGCCTTCCGCGCGTCCGGCATCGCTTCGCTCACTTCAACGCCAAAGTTTCCGCGCATCGGTTGACTTTGACTTTCGTGCGTTGACTTTTCTGCGTTGACCATTGACTTTTGTTGACTTTCGCTTTTGAAACTTTTTTTTTTCGCCTTTTAAAGCCAGTTTGGACTCTCATATCAGTTTTCAAACATTATTTCACTTGTATAAATAATACACACCTTATAAATATTTATTTAAATAAATAATACTTATTAAATAAAATTAATTTAGCCAAAATTAAAAATACTTAAATAGTACATAAATAATGCCTAAAAATATAATTTAAGAAACACATCAATTAATTTAATTATACACCAAAAAAATTATAAATTACACTTAAAAACTAATAAATTAATATTATACAAACAAGATGAAATGAATACAATTATTAGAATAAATTAACATAAATAATACCAAAATTTGATATAAATAAATAAATAATTAAATAAATAAATATAAGCTATAAAATATGGCAAAATCAAGAGTTATCAAACCCACAATTGGATTTTTAATCCAACAATCTTCCATTTGGGTAAATGTACACTGAATGACCTTATGAGCTCATAAAATTTTGTTATCAGATTCTTTAATATATATCACCAATCTGATTTATAAGTCACTGTATTTATCACAATGAGACCGATTAGTGGTCATAACATTAATATAACCTAAGATTTGATAAAGTGCGGATGCACAGTATGAAAATTTCATGTAATGTGATCTTAATATGCCTATTTCTAACTGATCCACCTTAACTTTAATTCAGAACAACTGAATATTGAATTAAAAATTAATACTGAACAGTGCATACTGAATACTACAGTACAAAATAAAGTAACCTTAGTGTATTTGAACATTACTAATTAGCTCCCACTAAATCAAAATATCTTATATGGTTCCACTCTCATACGAGCAACATGTTCATTATAGAACTTATGTGAAAACCCTTTAGTAATTAAGCGAATCCGCAATCATGGAAGCTACATGAATATGTTCAATAACTAATTCATAATATGAAGTCATATAATTAAGCAAATGATGATGATTATTATCAAATAAGGTACTAGTTTTAACGAATCTTGAATTCTAGAATAGACAAAACTTTATATCTGAATGAACAATAATAACCGAATTTGTTCAAAATAGAGATCGAAATTAAATTTCGACTAAAGATGGTACTATAGAAAAAATGTCTCATCCAAATTCAAATAGTAACCAGTACTCAGTAATAATCTAAAATTGTCAATGACTTGAACTTGAACTTTCTTGTCGTCACCCATATAGATGTATCTTTCAACATCAATTGATTTCGACAATAAAATAATCTTGCATAGACACACTGATGTGTGTTGTTACACCAAAATCCACCCCCAGGTGTGTCTATAAATTGAAATTAAATTAATTTCAAGAGCAATACTAATAGGACAAACATGTCCTCCGAAAAGTCTAACTTAAGTGCCCTCAATTTAGTAAAAATATTAGACATGTTCATGATGTATTCCCTTATGTTTCATTTGTCGTTGTACTTCATGTTAATGAGATTCTTAAGAAGAATACTCATTTTTCGCCTTATCGCTCTTGGTAAAACGTTTATTAATTTCGACAAGGATTCCATATCATCATATATTGTAATCCTAAAATTTATGAAGTACTTTTCTTAATGATCATCAGACTTAGACTTTGGATCTATCCCACTTCTCGAATAACTGTTTTTCATCTGCAGTGTTTTTTTTCGTATAAGTGGGTTGGTCTACTCTTAATGTCAAGTCAAGATTCATGCAACCAAATGAATCATAATGAAGTTCAATAATAATGCATTATCATCGCAAGACACGAAGTGCAACATCAATGATCAATCTTTGGATCAATAACATTTATTGCTAGCAGTCATTGTGGTGCAATAATCATATCCGGACAATAAAGTAATGTCAAACAGTAACCAATCTTTGAACTGATTCACTATTCACATAAATTAAATCCATATAATCGTTCTATACATATTATCGCAGGTGTATAATTCGTTCTGTCAATTACCAACTCTCTTTGGGCCCGAAAAATAATCACGTAAAGTCATTGGCAGTTCACAATTTCCTAACCACATGATCGATCTCCACGCATGCTCCTCGCCACATTGATCAATCTGAATTTGATGCGACAAAATACTATAAAAATAACAATGAAGTAACTGGAATTGTGCATCGAGTGGAAGACGGAGAGTGAGATTGGAGTTTGTGAGCCTCAAGACGAACGAACGAATCACCGGAGTGCATTGCAGCCGAACCAAGCCAAGCAAGCAAATTGAAGATGACCGCAGGAAATCAGCCGCCGGCAAGCAGCAGCCACACCCAGGCTTACGGAGAAGCGTCGTACTGGGACAACCGCTACGCTCTGGATCCCTCCACCTTCGATTGGTATCAGAAGTACCCTTCCCTCGCCCCTCTCATCCGCCTCTACGTTCCTCCTAACGACCGCGTTCTCATCGTCGGCTGCGGTAATTCTGGTACGGTACACAACACACCACAACACAACACAACACAACTATTTCGTTTTCCATCTGACCTAATGAATGCTAGCTTCCGCGAATTCTTGCGTTTATAAATATATTGAGCGAGGCCAGGCCGTTAATTAAGCATTCGTATCGGTTCCTCGAGCTTTCATGAAAATTGAAAAGATCCCCCTTTTTTTTCCCTACGACGAAACTCCGAAGCACCCTACATAGTACATACCGTCCAGCTCAGATATTACCCTTTGCTTTCAACACATTATTTGATTAAAAGAGATGTAATAAAAAATACTCTACTCACAAGAATAGCAGTGCCTCTGTTTCCTTCTGGTTTTCAGAACCATGAAATGGCTAGCTCCGTTACTGTTTCATTGTGCTATTTATTACTTACTTCTCCCGGCAGCCTTCAGCAAATGCATGGTTGATGATGAATACCTTGAAGTCGTTAATATTGATATCTCCTCGGTGGTCATTGATGCAATGCAAAAAAAGTATTCTGCCTGCTCCGAGCTCAAATGTATCTTTGATAAAGAACATATGTAATATTTTCAGGCCAGTGTGTGTCAGTTACTTTCTATTAGCAAGGCCAGAAAACACGAATACAAAGATTAATTTAGGCCTGATAAGGCGATTAAAAACTGTAATACTACATGACTGGAGAAAGAAACACAAAGCATCTCATTACTTACTTGATAGAAATGTGCCTTTGAGAATAGAGTAGAGTAGTTCAGTCAAATTTCCTTAATGCCCAAGCAGATATGAAAATGGATGTCCGAGATATGAGTGCCTTTGACAAAGGATCTTTTGGTGCTGTTATTGATAAAGGTACTTTTTCATAATACAGAGTGCTCTTTTTATTTTACTGTATGGTGCGGAGCGCGGCTACAGCCCACAGTTTCTAATTAATAATATATGCCTTTTGTGTATCCGTCCAGGAACGCTGGACTCTCTTTTGGTGAGTCATCTATGTTCAGTGTTCGCTTGGTCAATGGATATGATATACCTTGACCTGACAGTATTACGTTCGTCTTGCAGTGTGGACAAAACTCACGGCAAAATGCAGCTAAGATGCTTGAGGAAGTCTGGAGGTACATTCCAGCAACTTGAATGTCTTTTATCATTTTCAATCTCTTGGTGTTGGTTACCTTTTCCTACTCTGTTCATAAGTTGAAGCAGTTGATGACTATATAGGGTCCTCAAGGATAAAGGAGTATATATTCTGGTACTTCCACTCATTTTATCCTCCCTTGGCTTTTATTCTATCTTATTTATTTATTTATTATTGTATGGAAGACTGTAACAAAAAAAAAAAAAAACAATAAAAAGTGGGAGGTGGATAAGTGAAATGCAAAACCCAAAAGTTGCATCCAAGCCATCCTACATCTTGAATTTCGTAAATCAATATGGATCGTATGTTGCAGGTTACGTATGGATCGCCTGTTTATCGATTACCCTTACTGAAAGACTTGCCATGGACAACTAAGCTGCATGTGATAGGTAATTAAACTTTCTAGCCCTAGGGAGCCATGTTCCCACATTTATATTGAAGCATTCCCATTAAAGGTTACATTTTGGGGTTGAAACATGACTTTTCTGTTGCCTTTCTTGTCGGGGAAGGACATTATGTGAAGTAGGTTCTTTGGCAGCGATTAGATATATTTTTAGAATATCTTTGTGTTATTAGTCATTTTAATAATAGGAAATTTTTGAATTAAAAGATAATTATTTGATATAATATAAATAATGATTTGATGCAATATTCTTAATTGAGAATTGATTTTTTATGTAATATTACAAGTATAAAATATATATGTATAGTTGTTGATTTTGATAATTGTTAGAAAGGAAAAAATGATAAATAGCATGAAAATAAAGTTTAAAAAGTAACTAAACAGATCTATACTTTTGTGACATTTGTCCAACAATGCTTTGGTGGTTATTTTCTAAATGCGGACAATGGAAGGAAATATAATTAAATGATTTTTCATCAGGATCTAGATATGTAACAAGAATATAGATCATATTTTACGTCAAGCTAGATACGGGAATTAACTAACAGAAGAATTTTGAGTACGTGCTATATGATAATGGGCTTTAAGATGCTAGTATGTTCAATTGATTTGTGGAATAACAGATTTCGTATCCGGCAGAAGCCATGGAACAATCAGAGTGAAACTTAGATGATACAATTGACACTGCCTTCGTCTGAATAGCAGTATGCATTTGTTCGAATTTTATGATTTAAGTGGAAACCATCCCTTGTTTCCATCCTTTCAGTCGTTTGTATGATTAGGAGCATTTGTTTGATTACCAGATGAAGGTTCCTCTCTTTAACCTTGTTGTGTTTGCTGCATGCAGAAAAGCTTCCATCGGGAAATAGTTCACATCAGATCACCAGGGATCTCACCTCTCCCATTGCTTTAGATGTGAATGGAACCTCTGCAGAAACTATCGCAGGGGTGAAGGCTGATGTTCACTATATCTACGTATGCATTAAGGTGGGGGTTACTTAAGAGTAGCATTCTACTTACACAGGTTGCTATATATGTTACCTGTACCTGATAAAGTAGGCAAACTGGCAAAGCTATATAGTGCCTGAAGTCGGTTGTTTTCTACACATACTACTAACTGGCCTCATCTTTTTCAGGACAATGAGTGAAATACAAGCACCAGAGGAAAGAGTATAAGATTGGTTAGCTTCAGCAATGCGCACTAGGGTACACTACAGCCATTGAACTGCCAGTGAATTTGTTTAAGCATTATTGATAGCATAGCATACGACCCGCTGGTTTCGTTTGGTGTGCTGCATAATAGGGAAAAAAAAGAACTTGTGAACACTGTGGAAGTTTACTCAAGGCCTCAACGAGCGGAGCTTTGACTTTGATATGTTACTACGTACTTCTTCGGAAACATTCTCTACAATTTCATGTTGAATATTCTCACTCACATAGCTGGCAGTTTAGACTGATAATAACCAAACGAAATATAAGCAAAATCTACATGCTTGAAAAGTTTGCCTTTATTCTTTAATTTTCTACATTTTTTTTTTTTTTTTTGGCATCCGAGTGAAGTTGGAATGCTCAGTATTCAATACACCACCACCAACAAAACATCACTTTGGAAAGAATGAATGTGCATGCATGCCGGTAGCTTCTTATTCACCATCAGATTCCCCCTGATAACCACTCTAAGTGGGAGTGACAACAACTTGGGGACGCTATAGCGACACCTTAACAGTGCCGTGACGGTGTCTAAGCTAACCCAGAACGTTGTTGTTCTCTAGCCCAACTCATCCAGGCCCCTAGACTCCAATTCTCAGCCCCTAAACTCTTGAACCTGGTCTACTCAGCTCTCTCTTCCCCGATCCCTCCCAATCTCACTGTGTCACTGTTGTTGCCCGTAGGGGTGACCAAAATATTCGAAAAATTTAATCCGAATCAAACCGAAATTTAAAATTTGGTTCGGATTTTTCGGGTTTTCGGATTGGATCGGATTGAATTTTTAACAAATTTCGGATTTTCGGATCGGATCGGATCGGAATACTTAAAATTCTAACCAATCCGAAATATAATATTTTAATATATTTTTTTATTATATATATATTTAATATTTTATTAGAAAATATTATATTTTAATATAAAAAACTCAAATTTATTAATTATGTTTTAATATATTTAATTTTTATATATTATATATATTTAATATTATAAAATAATAATAAAATATAAAAGAAATTTAAAAAATAATAATAATAATATTTAGAATTTTGGATTTTTTTGGTTTGGTTCGGATTTTTTAGGTCGGATTACGGATTTTTGGATTTCGGATTTCGGTTATTTCGGTTCGGATTGGTTTTTTCAAAAATTTTGGATTTTCGGATCGGTTCGAATTTGGCAAAATTCGAACCGAAAATCCGAATGCTCACCCCTACCCGCTTTATCCTACTATTAGATTGTGTTCTCACGTGGATTTTAACATAGGTTTTTACTATTCAAATTCTTTATTTTTTTCAAAAATATCAAATCAAAATATTACTTTTCGTTTTTTTATATTATACTACAAGTTTATTTTACATTCAAAATATAACGTCAAAATCTATTTATAGCAAATCAAACAACTATTCAAATTAATTTTTTACTATTTAAATCCAAACCCAAACCCACAAACAAACACACCCTAATCACAAACACACCCTTTATAGAATGAGATTATAATACATATATTATTATAATATATAATTATATGATAAAATAATTTGGTATTTACTTTAATTGATTAATATATAAAATTATTAATTTTATTTGAAATATTTTTAATTATATGATAAAATTAATAATAAGTTAGTTATTAACTAATGATAAAAATAATTTTTAACATTACTAATATAATTAAAATTTATAATTATATTTCGAAAAAAAATATATATATATCTAGTGTGACTTGCCTAAAATATAATTAAAACGTATAATTATATTTCGAAAAAAAAAATGACAAATTACGTAAAAACGAAGAAAGTAAATAAACCAGGTTCAAGCACCTAATAGGATTTCTGGTGATAATCCAGTTGCCTCAAATTTCATAAACGTACCAATAACATCCTCTCCCTTACTTTATGAAACAAATATCCTCACATATAAACACATTTTAAATACAATTGTGAGTATGTCTTTAGTTAAATGAACCTGTAATAGACACCAAGACCTTGTAACATAAGCAAAACTATTCACATCAGTAGGAACACCAACATATTAAAAGCAACAATATGCATTTCAAATTGATCTTAACATTAAATAAATAAAATTAAATTAAATATATGGCTAGTATAGAAAAGATGAAGATAACTGATTCACCCTTGCTGAAGCTAACCTTCTTGATCTATTAACAAAATCAGGATACAGAATATATGTGTACAAACAACAGAGTAAGAGAACCTACTAAAATAGATTTTTACACCCAATATACTAATCAGATGCTTTGTTGTCCCATTCTATTGTCATATCGTCGTCAATAAAATTGAGATCTTGATCAGAGCCGGATACTGGATCATTCCGAGTGTGTTTATCAGCACCCAAAGGCTCTACATCTGCAAGTACCATCCCAGCCAGTGTTCCGTTTTGGGAGTCTGCATTTCCGTCATTGAAATCAAATGAATTGGTCTCATATGCATCCCCATGTTCCCTTTCGCTATAAAAAACTTCCTGCAAAATTTCAGTGGAGTGAAAATTATGGTCCAACAATGCCTAGAAGTTCCAAATTACCAAGAGTAAACATCACTAAGGAGAATTATCCAAGGCAGTAATATCAACCAATTGTAAACCTCAGGAAACTTCAGTAGAAACATAAACCGTAGCTCAGATATTATGATTTTCAATTATTTTGCATGTGACTAATTCCATTGTTTCTGATTCCAAACATGTCACAAACAAGAAGTGAATCTAAGTATCAGAAGTATTCAACAATTGCACTATGTAAGACCCTTGATTGATAAGGACGAGAAATTCCTTTACAGTATGTATGGGACAAGGATTTTTAGGGGGTGAAAAGTCATTGTAAGCAGAACCCTCATTTTCCTAGGCATTTTGACAAGGAAATATAAAATCTTAATGTTGTTTTCCTTGCTGTTTTCATTATTATCAAGCATTCAAAATTACTGTACCTTCCTCCCCAGCATCCTCGGACAAACTTGGTGTTGGAAACAGGTGGGGAAATGATAATCAGAAATAACCATTATCAGCAGCTAACAAAATGATGAAACTAAAGCATCTATTTACGGAGACAAATCATTAAGAGATGCTACTCAATAGCAGTTAAAATCCCAGCACACAAATTAACCATAAATTGAGAATTAAAATGTTTATGCTGATTTAGCATGTAAAGGGATATTTGTACATATTTCAAGAATTAACCAGGAGTCGAGACCTAGGGGTTGTTTCTTTTCAAAAAAAAATCCAACATATTTCCCCAAAAAAAATTTAATATATTACACACTCATTATTTTTATTTTATCTATACCATTTTCTATACCTTACATCAAAAAAATTTCTTCAAATGAAAACACAAAACAAACACACCCCTAGAATTGCAGGCGAATGAAATTGTAAATAAAGAAAAATCAGAGAATTGCGAATTGATTCTTTCGTTCAGTAAAACAAAGAATTCAACCGAGAAATATATCATAAAAATGTTAAAAGAGAAAATAATTGATAAAAAAGAAAGAGAATCAACTAAAAGATGTTTTAGCAAATAAATATTAGTATATTTAGTTAGTGAATTTTTATTTATTTTATTTAATTTTGGTTTTGATTTTTTATTTAGACGGCAGTTTAAAGATGATGTTTTAAAAAAATTATAAAAGTTAAATACTAAAATATAATGTGAACAGAATCTATTTTGTTAAGAATTGTAAAAGTTAAATAGTAAAAAAAATTGTAATTCTCTGTATATAGGGGAGAAATAAAATAAGAGAATAGAAAATTAATTTCCAACTATCAATTCTCTATATCAATCACATTCCTAATGCTTAATTACAACAATCACTCAAGTAAGCTTTTACAAATGCTCTACAAACTTGCACACGTTGATACAAACTATGAAGAAAATGTCAAATCTCAAATTCTTGGAAACACAACATTCACAGGTGTTACCTCATCATCTTGCAAAGCCTGTTTGTCTGTCTCTACAATCCAATCATACAAAAGGTCTTCTTGCAGAACTCGCTCCAGGGACAAGTTGCAAGACCTTTTCTTGATCTGGTGTTCCCTAAACCTCAAATTGTAGTGAGCATAGAGAGCTTCATTCAGCCTTTGCTTTGCAAGTCGATTGTGCCTTTGTTCATACATCCGGTCATGTATGCTCCAGTTATGGTCACACCCAAAAGATGAACAAGTCTGACTCAATATACGCACAGCTATCTGTTGCAGCTCCAGACAATTTATCCCGTGTTGTTGCCACCAGGAAGCTAAGTAAATGATAACAATCAGCATAATTAAAGACCGCATGTTACTTTGATCATATATATTTTTATGCCATAACCTGGATCAAGCACTGATCTGGTACTAACGGCCAAGTCAGTTCCGAAATCAGCTCTTGCAGTGCCAAAGTCTGAAATCTGACAGCATACAAATGACAATGAAATACAAGAGCCTATGCCCATGCTAGAAGACAAGAAACCTAATGATTGGGATAAAAATGTAAGGATTGACAAGATAACAACTTGCCTGCATAGATGCTGAAATCCTCCTTGTGTGTTCTGATTCTAATCTCACAACACAAGCATTCAAACCACGCACAACATCTGGATTCTACATGGTGTGCAGTTGTACTTTTTATTGTTATGTGAGCATAACTAATTCAAGCAAAATTATCATTTGTATAGACAATCATTGTCATACCAGAATAAAGTCCGGACGATAACGGTATGAAGGGTTCAGGAAATAAGCAGCCAAATATAGTGGGTGATGAAACACCGAACTCCAATGATTGTCAATCACACTCCAAAAGGGTTCATATTTACGTGCGTCATCATTATGATTTATTTTAATCACAAGCTTCGCCCTGTACATGTCATGGTAAATGAAGGGCATTGACAGGTTCTCACCCCTCTCAATCTTTTGAAGCACTTCCACTATAGGGTCTACTGATCTTCTAACAAACTGTACCTTCTTCCAAAACAGGGAATCCAACACAATACTTTTAACCTCTTTACCCTTGTCCAGATTTGAAAATCTTGATGAATCCCATTTGCCCGACTGGAAAAGTCTTCTAAGACCAGCCCTGTGGTCAAACAAACTTTGCAAAGTGGTAAAATTTGAAGCAGACTGGGTGATAGATGGCTTCAAAAGTTCCTCACCTCCTGTATACTCTTTCTTCATTAGATTCAATAACCAGATCCTATTGTAAATAAATTGTGTAATTTTTTGCCCTTTCTCAATACAGTCACGCACCCGATTTAGTTTCATAAATTCTTCTAGCATTTGATCAATAGAATACACAGCACAAGGAGTCCAAAATAAAGTTCCTCTTCTCTCTTCAAGCATCTTCCCAGCAGCCCGATAACTAGGAGTGTTCTGAGTTATCACCTACAGTCAAAGTTATTGAGGGAGAAAATTGGGATTCATTTCTTAAGGTAGGGTAGGATTGTAATGAGTAAAGTAGGTTGACAAGAAAAAACCTAAACAAACAAGTAATAAAACTGCATTTGAAGATGCAAAAGGCTTACCTGCACAACATTTACCTCCCCCATCTCCTCTACTACTTTATCAAGCAACCTAAATAAATATGTTGCATCCTCAACAACACCTGTGGCATCAACCGAACAAACAAAGTATACTCCACGAGGGCAAGAAACCAAAATATTTATCAGAGTCCTGCTTTGACAATTTCTCCAGCTATCAGCTAAAATGGAACATCCTGTGACAGCCCAGGAAGACTTGTACTCCTCTAGATAGTTTTTAATGGTCAGAATTTCATCATGTAAAAACCGCCCTGATATCAAGTGGCTAGAAGGTCCTGTGAAATCTGAGCCATACTGAGCAACCAACTCCAGCATTTTTTGAAAATACGGGGAATTGGCTGCATGCGGAGGCACTCCCGTGTGGTAGAAAAATTTGCAAATAGCAGAAATGACTTCTCTTCTAGACCTTTTCGAGGAACCTGTTTTGACTTGCTTTCCAGTTCCTGAAATCGAATTTTTGGGTGTTCTCAAAACATGCCATTCCAATCTCGACCTTTTCGAGCATAATTCAGGCACACTAGAAGGACACAATCCTTTGGAAGTTCTTTCCAAATCTTTATCAAATCCTCTACCACTAAGTGCAAATTTATCTTTAGTAATTGGAGATTCAGCTTCCATTTCTTGTTCTTCCTCTTCATTGTCTGAGGTTAGGTAAAACGTAGATGTGTCCTTGGAGTCAGGTCGTCTATGTCTCCTACCTGTCCGATGCCATTTCATGTTCTCTTTTATTTTGAGATATACTTCCTCCGGTGCATTATTACAAGGAGCAACTTCACCTGGGATTCTAGCTAGATGTTGCTTAAATCGGTTGATTCCGCCACTCACAATCTTGTCACAGTAATTACATTTGACTTTCTTTTTCCTGTCATCCTGAGGAACACCATGTTCCCATCCAGGGTCAATATATCCTAATGAGCGAAATGAAGTCGTATTTATCACTACATCCTTGTTATTTGGCGACTGATTACCTCTTTTCCTGTATCTGACATGTTCTCCCTCCTCCGCATCACAAGTTGCGTTGAAATTCAGGTAGCATAGTTCATCACACTCACTTTGCCTTGATTGTTTACCAGCACGGCAACCCTTTAAGTTTTCCTTCATTTTCACAAGGACCTCATCTGGAGCTTTGTCACAATAAGTTACTTCACCAGAAAGTCGGGCAAGATGTTGCTTCAATCTGTAAATGCCACCACTCACTACTTTGCCACAGTAATTGCATCTTACCTTTTTCTTCTTATCGTCTTGAGCGACACCATGCTCCCACCCTGGGTCTACGTATCCAGAAGCTCGTATGGATGCCATCTTTCGGTCATTCTTAATCATGGTTGGCCGACTCGATACAGATCTGTATCGAGCGAGTTCAAAACCGGAACAAAGAAATCACGGGAAGATATTAACAACCAAATCGATGTAAAAACTATGTGGCGTGTATGTAACGGTGCAACTGGAGCAATACTAAAAGTTCTACGCTGAAAAATCACTGAAATGAAAAAAAAAAATAAAAAATTCGGCGATGTCTTCCAAACCAATTAAATTGAAATAATAAAGCAAGAACCGTGTCAAATTTGAGGGACGGAACTACGGGACTTACCACTTGCGCACACATTGGCGCTGCAGAGGGCGAAGTCGAAGACAAAGCCTGAAGACGATTAGACGAGGCAACAATGGAAGACTTAGGGCTTGATTTTATCTTAAATTATACTATTGGGCTATTGGGCTCTTTGAGGTGGGTCAACCCCTGGTTGCCCAAACGCCATCCAGTTGGCTTCAGCTGATAGAGAATCGAATAACATTTGCTTAGTACTATATCACCACGGGCGGCAGCTACGGTTGTTAAATCTTAAAATTTAGCATCACGTGGACAACTCTAGTAAATATATAATACAAATACAGCAATGAACTAGCATTATATGTTATAATTTTATACAACACATACTGTCCTACATTGTATTTGTAATTATAAACCAATAACACAAATATATGAACTAACAGCATTTGTTATATACAACATATAGTGCGTATAATAAAATTGTGTGTTGTTTATATATACTGCATTAAGTCGAACTGGCCCAATACTGAGTATTTTATAACAATTATTAATTTTAAATATAAGACAATTTTGAAATTGAGTATTTTGAATATACTGTAATATTAATATATGATTAGTTGATAAAAATATTAACTATTTATTCAGCTAACCATTAGTTTTATATATTGTGTGTATATAAATGTGTGTTATTATATATATAGTATGATGTGTGTGTATTATATATATAAGAACATGTATATAAATGTATGCAGTATAATAATTAATAAATGAGAATGAAATTTGAGAGAGTAAATAATGGATTGAGATTAACGTGTAGTATACAATGAATTTTTATTACAGAATGAGAATGAAATTTGAGAGAGTAAATAATTGATGAGATTAATGTGTAGTATGCAATGAATTTTTATTACAGAATGAGAATGAAATTTGGCATACAATGAATTTTTATTACAGAAAGGTCATATATATAGGAAATCAAAGTCTATTATATTCGCTACAAATTATACACCATTTCATCTACGAAGGTGAGATGTGGCAAAAGTACACGTATGTATTATGTGTATAACACTCCCTTTTTGATGTTTTTATATAAAGAATGTGTCTCATTAAAACTTTACTATGAAAAAACCCTGTGGGAAAAAAATTTATTGAATGAAAAAGAATAGATCATTCTTGTATTGATTCTCACTATGATCTGAGCACTTTTTTTAGATCCCTGAACCAACGCATTCCAATTTTCTTTTCTAATTTTTCAAAGGTTATCGATAATGCATTGGTTAATATATCCGGTAAATTATTATTTGATTTAATTTGCTGCACATTAATTTCACCATTCTGTTGTAGATCACGAGTGAAAAAAAAAATTTGTGAAATATGTTTCGTTTTATCTCCTTTAATGTAACCCCTTTCGATTGAGCAATACATACTGCATTATCTTCATACAATGTATCTGGGGGATTTTATCGTCAGGTATTAACCCATAATTTTTCAGAATATGTTGAGTCATTGACCTCAATCAAACACATTTTCGACTAACTTTATGTATTGTCAATATTTCAGCATGATTTGAAAAAGTAACAGATAAAGTTTGTTTCATCGATCTCCAAAAGATCACTATTTCACCAAAAGTAAATATATAGTCGATTTGAGACTTAGCTTTATGTGGATCAGATAAATATCTTGCATCGGCAAAACCAATCAATTCATGTCGAGAATCTTTCAAATAAAATAACCCGAGATCAATTGTTCCTTGGAGATAGCGAAAAATGTGTTTAATCTAATTTCAATGTCGTTAAGTAGGCGATAAACTGAATCTTGCCAATAATTTTACAGCAAATGATATATCATGTTGGGTGTTGTTGACAAGGTACATCAATGCGCCTGTAACACTCATATATGACACTTCTGGGCAAAGTATTTCCTCATTTTCCTCTTTTTGCCTAAATTGATCATTTATAGGATCAAGTGCTCTGACGATCATTGAGTTACTTAGTGGATGTGATTTATCCATAAAAAATTGTTACAGTACCCTTTTAGTATATTTTGATTGGTAAATAAAGATTCCATTTTCAAAATGCTCAATTTGCAAACTAAGGCAAAATTTGATTTTTCCAAAATCTTTAATCTCAAACTCCTTTTTCAGATATTCAATAGCTTTCTGGATTTCATCAGGAGTCTCAATTAAATTAAGATCATCGACATATACAACGATGATTACAAATTCAAACCCCTTTTTCACTATGAAAACACTTGGACAAGTAGGGTCATTTATGTAACCTTTTTTTGTTAAGCTTTCGCTTAGACGATTGTACCACATTCGGCCCGATCGTTTGAGCTCATACAAATATTTTTGCAATTTGAGGGAATATGATTCTTTTGGTTTTGATTTGAATGATTCAGGTATGTTAATCTCTTATGGGATTTTCATGTAGACATAATTGTCTAACCATAAAGATAGACAGTAACCACATCCATTAATCGCATATCAAGATTATTGTGTACTGTCAGGCTCACAAGATACTTGGATGTTATTTCATCCATGACCGGCGAATATGTTTCTTCAAAACCAGTGCCCGGTCTCTAGAAAAAACTCTGGCCTACAAGTCTTGCTTTATATCTTATAATGTCATTATTTTTATTTTTATTTCTCACAAATGCCACAAACGCCCACATGTAGCCAACATGTTTAACATTTGTAGGTGTGTGGACTGTGGGGCCGAATAATTGCCATTTATTCAATTAGTCCAATGCAGATTGAATTGCGTCTTTCCATTTTGCCAAATCATCTTTTTTCCGACATTCATCAACTGATTCTGGTTCATAATTCTCGTCATCTTTCATTATGTCGAGTGCTACAGAATATGCAAATGTATTATAAACATTTGTTTTCTTTGTGTTCCAATATTTCCTATTAGTGGTATAGTTAACAGAAGTTTTGAATAACTTCATCGTTACTTTCACCAAAATTTTTAGTATCAACATTTTCGAGGGTTGTACTGACTTTTTCAGGTTTTCGTGGATTCTTATCCTTGGAACCCAACGGTCTGCCACGTTTTACGTGGACAGCATGTTCATTAGCACTTGACACCTTCCCTTCTAGGATATTTATTTAGCTGATGCATTTGCTGCTGCAATATATGATTTTGTAACTCTGGTAGCATCATTAAAGACATTAGACAATTGATTTACAATTTTTTGTAGATGCACAATCTTTGAACTTCAAGTTCACTATGTTTCGTACAAGGATTAAAGTCAAGTGATATTTTCCACGAAATTTCTTTTTTCAGTTGATTACTTAATGTCGGGAAATGAGATTCATTAAAATGACAATCCGCAAACTTTACCGTAAATAAATCACCCGTTGTTGGTTCAAGATATTTTACAATCGAGGGTGATTCATACCCGACATATATACCAAATCTTATTTGTGGTTCCATTTTCTTGTGTTGGGGTGACGCAATTGACACATAGACAACACACTCAAAAATCCGTAAGTGAGATATATTTGATACTTTTCCAGATACCAATTGTGTGGGGGAATGACAGCGATAACTTTTCGGCCGTATTTTCACAAGGGCTGCTGCATGTAATATAACATGTCCCTAAGTTGATACGAAATGTTTAGACCTCATTAATAATGGTCTACTAATTAATTGTAATACTTTGATAAGGGATTCAACTAGACCATTTTGCGTACGTACACAAGGAACATGACGTTCCACAGTAATCTCAATTCACATGCATTAATCGTCGAATGTATGTGATGAATATTCTTCAGCATTATCCATTTTCTTTATCAGGTGATCTGAAAATTGTGCTAATTGGTAAAAAGTATGAATACATTTTTTTTTCTTTTTTTGCCAAACCTGATTATATCCCCCTGTAGTTTGGAAACTCGGCGCCGTTTTCCCCTATACTTTAAAAACGGCGTAGTACTCCCTTGTATTTTCAAAAACCTCGCACACTCTCCCATTTGATCAGTTTGACCTAACGACATTAAATATCTTTTGTAATGAACCGTTGTACCATTCCTTTAAATAATTCACTTAACACTATTTCATCACTTCTCTCTCCCTCACTTTTCTCTTATCCCTCTCCACCCACACCTCTCCATCATCGCTATGCCCGACTCGAAGTTCTTCTTCCACCCACGAGAAAATCGATTACAGGTTTGAACACTGATCCAACAACGGCGTTCACATTAAAAAGTTCATCGTTTTTTCATAGAAAATGGTAGCAACGAACCCAAATTCTTGTATGTCACCGAGTTCGATCGATTTTGAATGACTTTTGTGTTAGGGCTAGGGTTTTTCGGTGTTTTTCTCATATTACGTCCAATTACGAAATTAATTGATTATGTTAATTGATATTTTTTTTTGTTTGATTGCTGTTGGATAGTGTTTGAGGGTTGGGGTTGACATATTCTAATGTAGAAAAACACATGAAAAAAAAATTTAAGGGAAACGAAGCAAATGAAGAAGGTGGAAACGAAAACATCACATCTATTTTACAAACGCCTACCTGAAAATCGAAAATCAGTGGTTGACCAGCGTCAAAGAGGGGATTCAGGGTGTTCTGGGTTTGCTTCGGTTGTGTTAGATTGATTGATAGATAATTGTTGTACTTAATGGGAGTGAAAGGGTAAATTAAGGAATTTGGATAGTTTAAGATAAACAATAAGTCTACTCACTTATTCCAAGCGTGTATTCCACTTTCTATTAACTTTTGCGGTTAGGGGGTTAAACGCTAGGTTTTTGAAAACACAAAGGAGTACTACGCTATTTTTAAAGTAGAGGGTAAAATGGTGCCAATTTTTTAAACCACAATAAACTACTATTGTATTGAGACCGAAGTGAGTAATAGGTTTACAAGACGTCAAAATACCGTCGGTTTTAACCGCTCACGGTTCGTAAATTTTATAAACCGAGTGGTGGGGTTTGAAACCGGCCGTCGGTTCGAAACCTAATGGGCAAAAGGGCAAGTCTGTTCAGACAGAGCCCCCATGTGCGTTGACTTCGGTCGCCGCCTACTAGTTCCATCGACTGGGAGGCGATGAGTGGAGTTCCTCTGCCCAATTATCGTAGCAAGCTATACGGCAGCAACTCAGTTGGATACCGTGGGTGCCGGACTCACTTTTGTGGATGGCGGTAAAAACCATGACTTCTGCCCCAGCTGCCGCTGTCAACCAGACCATAACCTCGGGATGGAGTAGAAAGAGCTTTTTAGCCTTTCAAAATCCCGCAGTTAGCTTCCCTTACATTCAACCCTTTCCGACTCCTAGCGCAGTGAAGAAGAGAATTACTTATCGATGTGCTGCCACGGAGAACAGTGGTGTGTTCTCTGTGACGCCCCAAAGCAAGGCCGATATTGACTACCTCGGCCAGAGCACCAAAGGCGATCTCAATCTTAATTCAGGTAATTACTGTTCAGTAAAGCCGAGTCACAGATTTACAATCTAACCAGTGATAAGTATGACCTGCATGTATTTGCAGAAATTGATGACGAAGAGGCTGGCCTAGACGGGCCTATCGAGGAGGTGGCGAGAATGGAAACTGAAGAGGCAGAGCAACTGCTTAATCATTTGGGCATTGCGGTTACGTTTTGCTTACTGCTCACTTTATTTGGTCAGTTTTGATAAATTTCACACCAAGAAGCATTTAAAACGGTTGATGCTTGGATATGAAAAAGGTCGGCTTCAAATTATGTGATTAGATATTTATGCATGAAGCTTTATCAAAGCTTACAAGTAGACAAGTAGTCGGGGAAGAAATGCTCGTTCACAAATGTTATTGATGGCGATGCATTTTTCTTTCTTAAGAATGCAGAATAAAATCATATTGGATTAGTTTACGAGCTCCTTGATGAAATAGTTTTGTCAATTGTCTCCAAAATATTCATGGGTTTCAAAACCTAAACCTTCCTTGATCCACATTGAGCCTGATCACTACATTGCACAAAAACCCCATGTTAATGTGTATATAACATCATGCTAGGAATTATGTGGTGCTGAATTATCTGTCATGATCAAAATATTGAAGTTGTTTATTTATTCTTCAATGCAACTTCATCTTCCTTAATCAACAAGGCCGCCCTTCTGAACAAGGGTCATCACAGCCTCTGGAAACTTTCTTGCTGAACTTTAGAGTATAGGTCCAGAGGGCAGTGGGTTTGGCTCCACTAGGGTTTGTGCATCAATCCAAGTCTGGGAGGAAAAAGTATATTTTGAATAGAAATCATATTTTGAGCTTGAAATTTGCCAAACTATTCATTTCTTCTCATCCAAGGTTTTTTCTTTCTTATTAGGGAGAATATACTGATTTGAGGTTTTTGGATCAACATGCAGGATCCATTTTCTGCTAGATATTCTCCTCGTGGCATTTTCTGCAGCAGAACACTTAATCTGAGGTCAATTAGTGCCATTGGATATGATATGGACTACACCTTGATGCATTATAATGTGATGGTAAGTAAACGGTTTTCCTGTTTGTTCTGGGTACTTTAATCCTTTAATTATTTGGTGACTGAACCGTATCACTGCATAAAAATAAGGATGTATGTATTCCTAGTTTCTGCCAAACTGTCACCTATTTTTATATTTTCCTGCTATTCATATACTTGTTTCATAGACTATTTTACCAGAAATGATGTTCATTCCAAAGGGTTTATTTAAATAACTTCAAATAGCTGTTTCAAAAGAAAAAAGCTACTCGATACACATCGATGAATTTTTTTCTGATTAAATCCAACCTCTTGCATTTCCTTTTGGAAATATTTCATAGGATTATGCTTTTTCAGGCTTGGGAAGGAAGAGCTTATGACTATTGCATGGGCAACTTGGGAAATATGGGGTTTCCTGTTGAAGGACTTTCATTTGACCCAGAACTGGTATATGACCTGTCTAAAATATGACAGGTATGCATATTCTGGGTTTGACCTTGAGTCTGCTTTTATCATCCATTGTAGGTCATTAGAGGCCTAGTGATAGATAAAGAGAAAGGAAATTTAGTCAAAGCAGACCGATTTGGATACGTCAAACGGGCTATGCATGGAACAAGAATGCTGTCAACTCAAGATGTAAGGTGTGGTTCAAACTTTCTTTTTCTCTACGGAAACACTTTTATTGGAAAGCTAGTTCATGTGAATGGGAACACAGCTTTCTTGTTTCCACTACCTGATGGTGGTTTTGTCAGGCATTGCATTTTGCATCAATATGTTAGGGAAGATTCTTCATAATAATCTCTCTTTTATTCAATTGAAATTGTTTGATATGTGATGCACAAATGACGTATATAAGTTATAGTTGCTTGTATCAATTTACTTTCTCCTCATGAAAGTGAGATATATGGGAGAGAGCTTGTGGATCTGCGAAAAGAGAGCCGGTGGGAGTTCCTGAATACATTCTTCTCTGTTTCAGAGGCAGTTGCTTATATGCAGGTATAACATTTACAGAATTTTAGTGGATGGTCTGTTATGCAAGCTTTCTTGAATGGAAATCCTTGCTTCAAGATGCTTGCTTTATTTGTTATCACTTTGTCCTGGAATGGTGTAGTTCAGTATCAGAAACTGTGGCCTTGCTGCGTTTGAACATTCAAACTGAAATGTTATGCTGATTCTAGAGCTCTAAATGAACTACACCAAACAGACCATCTCATGTTCGGGTTTGGTTTGTTCAGGTGATTAAATATGTTTGTGTTGATTCAATTAAACCATTTGGAAACAAGCACGATTAATTTGTCTTAAAACAAAACTTTTACTTCAAAGGTTGGTTTGTATTAACTTTATCAACTAAAATTGTACTGTCTTTTAAGCTTCCATGCAGGTGCCACATGATTCCTCGCTCCCCCCCCCCCCCCCCCCCCCCCCTCTCTCTCTCTCTCTCTCTTCGATTAAATGGATGTAATTAATATACTTAATGGGCAGATGGTCGATAGGCTTGACGAAGGAGCTATTGTATCAGAACTTGGTCCACTTGATTACAAGGGGCTTTATAAGGTTTAACTTTTGAACTATGACCATGACCCTAGGCATATTACAATACCTTGACTTCATCACATTATTGTAGGCTGTTGGTAAAGCATTATTCAGGGCACATGTTGAGGGCCAGTTGAAGGTATTTCGTCCTTAGTAATTTGAAAGTTTTGATGTGTAGTTGCACAGAAGTATCTAATTACAGACTCTCATAGAGTGAGATCATGTCCATGCCTGAAGTCTTTGTGGAGCCTGACCCTGAGCTACCTTTGGCTCTACTGGATCAGAAAGAGGTATGTTTTTGTCCACTTTTGAAATAGTTACCTCTATTTTTATTTATTTATTCTTTTATGTAAATTCTTAGTGGACAAAAATTGGCTGTTCTTGAACAGGCTGGAAAAAAACTCCTGCTTATTACCAACTCAGATTATCACTACACTGCAAAAATGATGCAACATTCTTTCAATAAGTTTCTGCCAAATGGTATGAACTGGCAAGATCTGTTTGAGATGGTAAGTGGAGCTGTTGGATTCCTACTAAACGGTTTGGTGTCTTTCTTTTCTTTGTCTAAAGTTTTAGTGAGGCTTTATCAACTTTCTTCAAACTTGATGTGATATATGATTTGAACACGGTTGTTCAATAAATTGTTTTACTGTTAAATAAAATTCAAGGTGATCACTCACAAGGAGGTCCATTTTTAGGTATGTGAAAATGAGTTCTTTTTAGCACGGATTCAAAGTATAAACTGTATTCCAGTTTTTGGAATGGATGCGTGATTTGATTGTCATATCTTGTATACAATATTGATTGATGTACAAAATATGAGGCAGTGATTATATTTTTGGGTTCTAATCTGCAAGCATAAATACTTTTTGTGTTAAATGAGCATCTCAAATTTCACTCAAAAGCTTAAGCTAGTAAGGAAATGCATCATTCGCGTGGCTAATTTTTTAAGAGGATTCTCTCATCGCATATGGGTAGAGGAATTCACGTGGTACTGACAGAGGGTGGTGGGGCGAATACGGAACTTCCTTCACTGCATGTTAAATGACCATCTCACCTAAAATTTTAAACTATTAGAAAAATGCATCATTCTTTATATATTATATAGTCAACCAACAGTGTGATTATATATAAACAGAGAAATAATTGAAAGTTGAATATTGTATGAAACTTGTAAGAAACATAGGCAATGTTATAAGAGCCTTTATCTGTTGGTTGATTGTTTCTATAGGTAATTGTCTCTGCTAGGAAGCCAGAATTTTTCCAGATGTCACACCCTATGTATGAAGTGGTGACCAATGAAGGTCTCATGCGCCCATGTTTTAAGGCTCATCCAGGTGATTTTTCTTGGTGTAAGGTGTGATGCTTTAAATGCATGCCGGCTGCAATCCCACTTTTTGATGAAATATCTACTCACATGATTGAGATGATATAATGTAACTAATTAACTGCAGCTTTATTTTAATGCAAGCGTTTTGAAACTATGTAGTGTAATTTTGAAATAGAATTTTGTTGATAAAAACTGCGCTTTACATTTTAACCCTGCAGGGTTTCATCCCATTATTTTTTGCCTTGATAAATTGTCTTTTATCAGGAAGTCAGAACACCTCTTCTTTCGTTATTCTCAGCAGTTGCTTACTTATGAAATGGTTAGGTCTTTTTGGAGATAAGAACAGTTGACGTTTCTGTTCTCTCTCTCTCTTTTTTTAACCAAGCATTTAGAAGCATTTCTCATTTGATTGTCAACAGGGGGGGTTTACTCTGGAGGAAGTGCTCAAATGGTTGAGAATTCACTTGGCATCCATGGAGATGAAATTCTATATGTTGGTGATCATATATATACTGATGTGAGCCAATCTAAGGTTCACTTTCGGTGGCGTACAGCACTAATATGCCGGGAGCTTGAGATGGAGGTTAGTAGTTATTATTTTACTGAGAATTAAGGAGTTATTAGGAAAAGCGATTCCCTGTTTTTTTTTTTTGCTGTCCACAATTCCCCTTGTGAAGAATTCTTATCACTTGAACTTGTTGGATAAATGTCATTGATAAGCTATATCAGAGATGCTAAATTCGCATTTCTCATTATGCTAAGACTGATTGCCCTATGGACCTAAGTACAAGAATAAACAAGGTTTGAGGTTCTTGTTTTAGCAAATTATATAGTTAGTTTTAGGATAGTTATATATTAAACTAGCGCTCTACTTGAGATGAAACCAGGTGAGAGTGAAATAGATTAGACTTACAAAAAAGGTTCAACTTGCAATAGAAATGTCAAATTAGTTCTTCGCCATAGCTATATAATTTCAAATATGGATTACAATATTTCATTTAATGAGGTGAATTAATTTTAGCAAGCAATTTCCTTAAGATAGCCTCTTACATTTGTTGTGCACATGCCACATTCTTAGAACTTCCAAGTGCCAATTTATTTGTCTATGAACTTTCATTGTTTATTCCCTTCATATGATTTCCTAGTCTTGGGCTTTACGTTGCAGCATAGTGCTTTAATTCATAGTCAAAGTCATCGTGCAGCATTGATCGAGCTTATAAATCAAAAGGAGATCTTAGGAGACCTTTTTAACCAACTTCGGCTCGCACTGCAAAGACGGAACAAAGGACGTCCTGCGCAGGTAATTCGATAGGAACATTTACAGTCACTTATATATCATTTTAAGGAGTTGTGTGTATTCTAAATATGGGCTCCAGATCTATATTACTTTTTCTAACCTGCAATTTTATTTCTTAAAAAAATCCCTCTCATGCTTGAAAAAAAGTAATAGTCCATGCCTTGTGAAGAAATGTTGCTGTATTAAAGAAGAAAGGAATTGACTAGTAAACATTGAATAGTTAAATGATGTATTTAATTCCAACATGATAAGCCTGTCAATGAATAGAAACGTATCTTTTCATTATCAAACCAACTTTATATAACTGTGTACTGAATGTCAACAACACATTCTTACTCTTATTTTGCAAGGCTGGGTTTTTTTACTTGGTGGTTTTGGTCTCTCTCTCTCTATCTCTCTCCTTTTTTTTTTTTTTTTTTAAATATTTTATCTCTTAAGTTCCTTAAAAAAATATCACACTAAGCACCTATTTTCTATGAAAAACATGACATTCAATAATTTTTTCACCTAAAAAAGATCAAAGCAAATGACACTTCTACAAATGGGAGCCACGAAATAAACAAATCCTTGTGTGTTTTTATTTATTTATGTCTTTCATTTATAATCCGTTTGTTATTTCTAAATTTCCCAATGTCATTCAAATGGGTACTTGTGTAACTAGAACAAGATGACTCTAATGGATTAACATATTAGAGAAGTATGAGTTTGATGATTTGCCATACTACTTTAAAGCAATCATATGATTGTAATAAACTACCTGTTAGTAGTGGTGGATCTTATAGTGCATATTACATTGCAGATGTTTATTCTCTATCGCTTACTTGGTTCAACTTCAATTAAAGTATTCTTTAAGAAAAAGCTAAACTAATGAAAGCCCTAAATATGCTAGATGCTAGATCATAACATGGATTGAATAAGTTGGAATCAACATTTTATTGATGGAGAAGCTAAGGAATAGTTAAAAGGCTCTATGTTAGTGCACGTTAAATTGCTATAGCACCGATACATAACTAGTGGTAATAACAAGATAACAGTTTCTATTGGATGTAATGGCATTCAATCTCGATATGTTTAGATGAGGCAATGTGAAAAGAATATGCTAACTCTTTCTTAATCAAAGATTAGGTATAATTACAAGTTACAACAATGAATATGTAAATTCTGAACTGTAAACTTAATGAACGGGGGTAATGAGCATAGTCCAACACCACAACTCAACCAAGTGGTTATTAATATTTTATATGCTTTTCACAGGGCCGTTGACATATCATGATATTTGTTGAGATATTTTAGATATTCGATTTTAGATTTAATAGATTTATATTTAAATTTGATCATATTCATAGATTAGATTACTTAGATTTGAGTTTATTGAGTCTGTTTTGTATTGACTTCTTATTTTGAGGATCAATAACACAATCTCATTATTTCCCCTCAAAATTTCTAATATGGTATCAGAGCCTATTTTTCTCATGTCGTAGATATAGCCTACCAACCCGTGTTTCTCCGGGTACATTCAACCTGGATTGTACCCAGAGGTCTTGTGATTTTGAGATGGTCCTGCGTGCAATCTGAAATTTGTCTGCGATCTGCATATGAAATCTACCGAGATCTGTTTGCTATCTACTATATGTCGACTGTCTGTTTGTTGCCTGCGTGCGATTTGTCATCTGTCATTGCCTGTCTGTTGCCTGCGTGCGATTTGCCATCTTTCTTGCTTGTTTGTTGCCGGAAATCTATCTACGATCTGCCATATATCCGCTGCTTGTCTGTTGCCTGCGTGCAATCTCGTTTTCGGCTCCGATGGACAGTCAATTATTATTTTTATTTGTGTTTTTGTTTTGCGTCTATATTCAACTTTCTTATCAAACTCAAATTGGTTTCTGTTATACCACTTGAGTTTGAAGGGGGATGTTGAAATATTTTAGATATTCGGTTTTAGATTTAGTTGATTTAATTTTAGATTTGATCTTATTCACAGATTAGATTACTTAGATTTGAGTCTATCGAGTCTGCTTTGTATTGCCTATATATAGACTTCTTATTTTGATGATCAATAACACAATATCATTATTTTCCCCAAAAATTTCTAACAATATTGTTAAAAGGTGTGAGGGGCTCGCAACTTGGCTTGATCTGTAATTTTTCAGGTTCATTGATTGCCACAAATTTCACCTTACTCTTCCTCTTGGATTGTTAACACCATTTTCACCATTTTGTCTACTTGGAGTTGCCAGTGATAACAAACAAAAAGACACTGACATTTATCTTTTGATGATTACATTGAAGATTATTTTGTATGTTTAACATACAATAGTCTTTGCGTGCCGTACAAAATTATGTGGTAAATCATGCATGTTTGTATCAGTTAGATTGAAATCAACCTCTGTTGTATGTGTGTTCATTATTATCCCTTTGCTTTTGAATGTGATGCGAGGCTTGTTTGAGGAAATGCTGTTTTTTCCTTCAGACCGTCGCTGCCACTCATATGGATGATAGGGAACTCACAGGAAGCATTCAGAAACTTCTAATTGTGATGCAAAGATTAGATCGCAAGATTGCCCCATTGATGGAATCAGATGGGAATGTCTTTAATAATAGGTGCTTTATTGTTTCACGCTGCAGGCAAAGTTGAACATTCTTCAAGTTCACTGCATAAATATGCACCATTTTCTTATTAGAACATAGCTGGAAAGGCGGTTCTTATTTTTCATTTTTGTATATATATGTATATATATATATTTTTTAAAATTCAGGTGGGGTTTTCTTTCCCGAGCAGGCCTGTGGGACAAAAGCCATTTAATGAGACAGATTGAGAAGTATGAAATGACTCTCACATGAATGGTAGTTAAACATGCTAACTTTCATCTAAAGTACCTTCCTTCCCATGTTGCAGGTATGCAGATATTTATACCTCGAGGGTTTCTAATTTCCTCCACTATACCCCTTTCATGTATTTCCGAGCTCAAGAACAGGTATGTAGGTTAATATGTACTTGTCTTATTCCATTTTTAGCTACAAGAGATCTGGCAAGTGTTAATTCTAATTTGGGTCATTTAATCACAAGGAGACCACGGGTCTTAATTTAGTTTCAGATTTTGTTTACCATTTACTTGCTTTCAGTGTAGCTAGTTAGTAAGCAATAGAAGGTTGGGCCTTTTTTCTTTTTTAGCATGTACTTGGTGTTTTTCCATAATTCAGAAATATTCTTCATTTTTTAGTGTGTTGGTTGCTATTAGTTTCCAATCATATTTGGGCATAAATGCGATCCTGAGTTTTTTGTCTATCCAACATAAATCAATTAAAATAGTCATTTGATGTGAGATAATAGGTGTTTGATCTCATATTTTGAATAAAAATAAAATAATAAATTCTAGATATAACATTTCAAATAAAAATGAGTGTTTGATGTGATGTTTTCAAAATGAGGGGGGAAGGTTATTGTATATGGATAGTGGTGGTTGTGAAAACACAACCAAATAAATTTCATCCTTGTAACTACAGTTGTATTATCTGCATTATATCAGTAGTAGTGTGGAATATTTGCGAGAGACCTGTTATAGCCCAGGATCAGTGTGGCTTGTAGATAGTTTCGTTGCACTTTGAGCGTTGAGCACCAATTACTTTTAGTGGTGTGCATCTTGATGCTATTGTTTGGGTGTTGGTGCAGTCGCTTGCTCATGATACATGCACATTCCACCAGCTAAAGCATGGCTCAATTGATCACGACGTCAACAGGCTTTATGGCTAACAGCACATTGGCTTATGTTTCATTGTTGCGTGCTGCATTATTCTTGATTATCGACCAAGGTTTGTTTACCTCTGGTAATATTTTAGATTGAACGTTTTGATATTATATTATCTTTTGCCTAATTTTTAGAGTTATAGCATATTCTATCAATTTAACTAATAATAATTTAGGAAATATTTTGTGAGAGAAATAATTGTATTTTTTTTTTTTTTTGAGAAATGTAAAATTCAAATAGTAAAAATATGATGTTAGGGGTTAAAAGAAACAAACCCTTAATATAATCAAATCAAATATAAATACTAAATTTAATATTAATCAATTAGATTTAATTTAAATATTAAAGAGTCGTAAAGATTGGAGCCAAATCATCCGCTCAGAAGCAGGGCGGCCCTTGGCGGACTTAAGGGCGCCTCCTTCCAGGACCTAATTTAAATAAGTATTCATTACTTATTCCCAATTTAATTAGGGGTCATTACTTATTTATATTATATATAAACTATTTATGTATATATATAGTTTATTTGATAAATAGTTTATTTGATTTTAATGTAAATATAAAGGAATATGACTTGTTGATTAAGTGCTATATATGAGTTTAAATTCATGTACTTTCAAAATTTAAAATTTTTTAAAATATTTTTTTGTGCATTAGAAAAAATTAGATAAAATTATTTTGTATATAAAAATGATAGAAAATTTCTTTTATTTAATTATTTATATTTTATTATAGATAAAAAATATATCATTTATATATATTTAGGACCTTCTAATTTTTGTTTTAAATCTTAGACAATTAATATTAATATTATTATTGCTATTTTATCTAAAAATGCTAGAAAAAGATATTTTATTTAATTATTTATATTTTATTATAGATAAAAAAATATATCATTTATATATATTTAGGACCTTCTAATTTTTGTTTTAAATCTTAGACAATTAATATTAATATTATTATTGCTATTTTATCTAAAAATGCTAGAAAAAAATATTTTATTTAATTATTTATATTTTATTATAGCTAAAATATAGAGTATCATTTATATATATTTAGAAATTTTTTATCTTTGTTTAATCTTTTTTTTTTTCCTTAAAAAAATTAAGTATTAGACAATTATTATTGATATTTTTGACATAAAAAAATACTGAAAAATTGTTTTTTAAATTTATATTTTATTATTAGTAAAATAATATTACTCCACACGTCATGTAAAAATAGAAGTTTTTCCTTTTATATTAAAGAAAAAATGGTATTGTTTTACTTAAAAAAAATAAAATAAAAATAAATTTGAATAATAATTAAAAATATATAAATAAATTTAAATAACAAAGAAAATATTATTTATATATATTTAAATGGTCTTGAATTTCATTTCGCCCGGAGTCCTTAAAATATCGGTCAGGGCTCTCAATGAATCAGAGTCGGATGGAGGTTTTGAATGGAATTGAGTCGGTAGCAGCAAGATTTTGCGTGGGATTAGTTTGAATATTTAAGGAACGGGAAAAGATTGAAAATATGTTTCTTTTATGAAATTTTATGAAATTTTATTATTTAAATTCTGTTTTTTTTTCTTGAAAAAAAAATATTTTTTTTTTCTCACAAAATATTACATCAAATATTATTTTCATATTAAATTTAGGGCATGTTTGATTAGCTGATTCAATTAGCTGATAGCTCTTAGCTGATTCAATTAGCTGGTTTGACTAGCTGATTCGATTAGCTGTTTGTATTAAAATGTTTGGTAAAACAATTGTTTGATATTAGCTGTTTATACGTAAAATGACAATTGAAAACATTTCTATTTTATTCTTGTTTCTAACATATTCAATTATGTTCTTTTGAGTTTAGAATGTTTAAAATTTTTTGTTATTAGTTATTGAAAATTGTAACAGTGTTATTAAAAGTATTTATTTTTATTACAGTTAGATTTAAAATATAATATATTTTTATTAAAATATATAAATAATTTTTTTATTAAAAATGATGTAAAATATAAAATAATAAATTTTTCGTGTATATATTTATTATATTAGTTATCGATTAGTTCATTATATTTATAATTTTTAATAAATTTAATTTATTTAATTTATGTTTAGTATAAAATTTATATAATGTAATTTTAATAAAAAATAAATTATTAATATTTATATTTTTATTTTATGTTGATTTAATAAATTTATATATTTTATAATTAAAATAATTTTTATATAAAAATCAATTATTTTAAATTTATAAAAGTAATACTATAATATAATAAAATATTCTAATATAATTAATAAATAGTTAAAATACATTTATTTGTCTAAAATTTATAATAAATTTTTAAGGGCATATAAAGAATAAGAAAAATTATTTCAAAACGTTGGAAAGTTAGCTTTTCATAAATTAGTTTTTTGGGTCCAAAAAGCTATTCCAAAAAGCTAATTTATCAAACACCTAAATTAGCTTTTTGACTGGTCAAACTGTTAAAAATTGTTCAATAAACTAAAAGCTCTTCAAAAAGTTATTTGCCAAACACCCCCTTAAATTAATTTTTTTTTTCAAATTCATAAAAAAAAACATATAGTTAAAATTATAGATCGAGTCTTGGCAGAGATTAGAGTTGAAAACATATATATATATATTTAATAATAAATATATACATATATAAGAAGTCAACTGATGAAAAAATATTAAATAATTATTCCTTCGGTATCGGTTAAGATGATCACAAATAGTCAAGGTAGGTTAATAAATTATTAAATATTATTTTATGATTTTTTATATGAATAATATTATAGGTATTTTAAATATTATATCTCAATAAAATATATACCATACAAATAAATAAAAAGGTTTTGAATAAAATGATAATACAAATAAATGAAATTTTTTATTATTTATTTATAATAAAATTAAAATTAATTTTATAAAAATAAGAAGTTTTAAATATAGATAAAAGTATTTGCTTATCAAGATAAATATAAATAAAAGAATTTTGAGTAAATCCTACGTATAAAATGTAAAAAATTCTTAGAGCGGATGCAGGTGGTCTCCCGATTTTCTGTTTCAGTTAGCAGGCTTTAACCTCTTACTTATTTTTTTGTTGGGACACTTAGTGTTGATATTACTTAGACTTGATAATATTAGTATTGATTGATTGGTGTTGATGTTTTAGGCATGTTGCGTTTGCTCTTTGATAGTTAGACTACCTAGGCTTGTCTGGTATGTTTTATTTGACTTTGATTTTATAGTTTGTATAAGCAGAACTACGTATGGCTTGATCCCGTTTGGGTACGTAGGCAACCTACTTTGGGTGCAGCCATTGATATGTAGGTTTTACAAAAAAAAGACCCTAAACGCTAAACTCTAAACCATTCACCAACTTCCTAGCCACTAGAAACCCTAACCCCGACCTCACCACTACTATTCCACTACTTCGCCATTTTTTGATCAAAATCGCCATTAAGCTACCCGTTTATCTAACCATTTTTTGGCCACCGCACTACCGCAATTATCTTTATCAGCCCCAAAAACCTTTAACCTGGTTACTGGCACCACCATATCGCCGCCGGAGGCGCCAGAACTACTTTTGATCAAAATCCGTCCAAAACTGCATCGCCGGAAAACTGTTCCTCCGGCCGAGTTTAGGGTTTAGCGTTTAGGGTTTAAAGATGCACATTCGCAGATATCATATATATATATATATATAGGGAAGGGAACCGTGTCCCGGATGCCTTAGCGGCTCTGGCAGTTTCTCTTTTGATTGGACGGATACTTATCCCAACAGATATCCTTTCATCGATTAAAAGTTTCATTCGAGCGAATGCAAATGGTCTCCCGATTTTCCGTTTCAGGTGGCAGGCTTCACCCTCATACTTGTTTTTTGGGACACTTAGTGCTGATATTACTTAGACTTGATAGACTTAGTATTGCTTAGTTGGTGTTGATGCCTTAGGCATGTTGCCTTTGAACTTTGATACTTAGACTACTTAGGCTTGTCTAGTTTGTTTTGTTTGACTTGTACTGTATAGTGTGTATCAGCAGAATTACGTATGGCTTGATCCTGTTTGGGTACGTAGACAGCCCACTTTGGGTACAACAATTGTTATATAGTTTTTTTTTTTAAAAAAACTAAACCCTAAACCATCCACCGACTTCCCAGCCACAATAAACCCTAATTCCGACCTCGCCACTGCTGTTCCACCACTTCGCCGTTTTCTAATAAAAACTGCCATTAAGCTACCCGTTGATCCAACAATTTTTCGGCCATCGCATTACCACCATTGTCTTCATCAGCCCCAAAAATCCACAACCTGGTTACTCGCATACCCGTATTGCTGCTGGAGGCGCAAAAAATACCCCAGATCAAAATGCGTCCAAAAATTCGTCGGCGGAAAACTGCTCCTACAGCTAGGGTTTTTTTTTTTTTTTTTTCTTTAGGGTTTAAAGATGCGGTTTGGAAGATATTTCATATATATAGGGAACGGAACCGTATCGCGGATGCTTTAACGACTCTGGAGGTTTCTCTTTAGATTGAGCGGACACTTCTCCCGACTGATATCCCTTCATTGATCAAAAGTTTCATTCTAGTTTGACGTAGATGGTCTCTCGGCTTTCCGTTGTAGGTAGCAGGCTTTACCCTCTTAGTTGTTTTTTGGGACACTTAGCGTTGATACTACTTAGACTTGATATACTTACTATTGCTTGGTTGGTGTTGATGCCTTAGGCATGGTACCTTTTGCCTTTGATACTTAGACTACCTAGACTTGTCTGGTTTGTTTTGTTTGACTTGGGTTGTATAGCTTGTATCAGCAGAACTACGTATGGCTTGATCCCGTTTGGGTATGTAGGCAGCCCACTTTGGGTGCAGCCATTGCTATATAATTTTTACCAAAAAATCCTAAACCATCCACCGACTTCCCAGCCATGGGAAACCAAAACCCCGACGTCGCCACTGCTGTTCCACCACTACGCCATTTTCCGATCAAAACTGCCATTATGCTACTTGTTCATCCAGCCTTTTTCCGGCTACCGCATTACCGCCATTGTCTTCATCAGCCAAAAAAACCCCCAACGTGGTTACTCGCACTACCGTATCGTTGTCGGAGGCTCCGGAAATACCCCCGATCAAAATGCATCCAAAACTGCATCACCGAAAAACTGCCCC